TCATTAACATTTTTTGTCTTCGCTTCATCACTTCGTGTTAAATATCCATGGTAGTCCGTTATATCTGTTCGTCTGAAGTATATAATGAACATGGTTCTTGTCCGCTTAACTATTTAATGTAGCTTGAAGTTCATTTATATCGGAGATATTGTGTTTTATGTTCTTTATCTGCTTTTTCGGCTAATTTCTCTTCTATCTCATTTATTTCAAGTTCATGCCTACCACCACCTCCCGAAGAAGTATTTTTCTTCAGCTCTTGAAGAACGTCCACTTCGCCATCTTTGGTGTCAATAATGAACTTTGAGTTTAAAACCTTTCCTGTCTTAATGGATGTTTGTAAAACTTCTTCTTCACCGTGTTCGGGGTCATGGTCGTCGTCATATCTTGTGAAATCAGAGATGTTGTCATACATTAAGCATATCTGTCTCAAAAGTTCTGCTATTTGGAATTGGAACGAAAGATATACAGAACTTTCATCATCTCCTAAAGTCAAGTCTGCTTTCTTAAGTATTTCTTGAATGTATGCAATGAGAACAGAGTACTTGGAAAATATTCGAACAATATTTCATTAGCTGTTGGTTTTGGTGGTTCTTCTGGAGTTTCTGTTGTTTCAGTTCCTTCTGGAGTTTCTGTTGGAGTTTCTGCATCTCTTGACTTCAATGCTCTTTGCTCTCAAAGACCTAAATGTTAGAGCACCAGGTTTTACAAAGGACTTTATAAATGCTTTAATAGTTCCTGGTAAGTTATTGTTAGCATTAAGTAAGTTCCTTATGCTTCCATCATGTACGTCCATAGCACTATGTAAAAAATCTATACTTTTCTTGTAGTCAGCAATAGACTGACTGTGATTTTTAAAGATTTGTCAATACCTTTAAGCCAATCTTCATGCATGTCTGATACTGAGCCAAGAATATCATTTGCTTCCTTTAGTGTATTTTGTGCTTGTCGTAAAGTATCCAATCCCGTACGTGCATTGTTTGCTATACGTCTTACAGTATCTATTTGACTCCTTGTTTCTTGCAATCCAACCAGATAAAGTTTTAATAGTATCCGAACCATTTGAAATGAAGTTCAAAGCATTTTTAACATCATTAAAGCTTTCTTCACCAAGTACTGCCATATCTTTCCGATTTGGTATTGAAGAACTCCATATGAAGCAGCTGTTAAACCAGTATTATAAGGTCCCATATCCATGATTTAGCAGTTTTTCCATCCTTTCCATCCTTTCCATCCAAACCGTTTTCGCCTTGAGGTCCTTGTATTCCTTGTATTCCTTGTGGTCCTTGAGGTCCTTGAGTCCGGTGTCACCCTTCTCTCCTTTCAGTTTCATCTTTATGTTCGTTATAATATTCTAATGTCATAAGGTGTACATCATTACTGCTACCAGCAACGCCTAATAATTTGTTTCTCATTCATGACTAAATTCTTTAGGCATTTAATGTTGTCGTCAAATCGAAAGCTCTTTAACAATTCAATGAGAACATTCAGTACTTTCACTAATGAGGCATCTACTGTAGAATTTATATATTGCACCGTTCCATCATTTATGATAGGAACTTTACTTATTGTAATGAATGGGTCATAAGTGTTAAAAGTATCGAAATCAATGACTTTTTTTAGTTTTTCCATCGTCAATGACTAAATCATTGCCTTCAATGGTTAAAGTTGAGTTTTCGTTTACTAGTTCATGTGCTCTTCTTGCTTCATTTTGTTTCATACGCATATGCAGCAATAGTCATATTTTAATGAGAATAAAATGTTGTTCTATTTGCAAAGTACTGACCCAAACGAATACGGACAGTAAAGCTACAACAACTTAGGTCTTCAGAATGAAGCTTGCTTTCAGAGTTGTTGACTTCAATACTATCGCAACTTTTGTCATAAACAGATGAAACAGATTTCATAGGAGTTTGAAATAGATGGAAAGAAGCATGAAATAAGATTTCACAATAATGTAGAATATAAGATGGAAACATTAGCTGGAGTGTTAAATGCTCTCATAAATACTACAATAAACAAGGATAACGAAGAAACTTAATGAATGTTAAAACTTATTTGCAGGAGTTTTTGAAGTTCAGTTATGCAAAGGAGTTTAAGATAACACGAATGAGTCATAGAGTTCAACTTCTTTTAGGAGCATACCATATGACATTTCCTTTGAAAAGTGTTGACAAAACGATTGAGATGAAATCTGTTCCATACGTATGTTATGGTAATTGTTTGTACATTGAGTCAAAATAGCTAATGTCACAGGCATTTCAGGAGTTTAATAGTAAAGGTTCAGTAGAATAAATCTTTCTGTTATGCAGTAATTCAATGTTCATTCCAAACGTTTCCTGTCATAGCAACTCATTTAGGTAAATGGGTTTCGCATTAGTCCTCATAATTTGAAAGACATGCAATTCAGACTAGTTGACTTTCAAGGCGAGCCTGTAGAACTGAAGGCACCAGTGCGAATGACTGTTGAAGTTGACTTTTTAGAAAATATTAAATGCAACAGCTTACAAGAGAACTCAGAGCTAAAAATATAAAGTATGAATGTTATGTATTAGGTCATGAACTTTGGTTGTTGCTGTTTGATGAAACAAATGAGTTAGTTATGTCAGTCAAGAGAACAGAAAAAGGCGTCAAAGGCGCCGAGCGCAAAGCGCTATATTGTGTTAGTGAAAACCTGCACCAAGTCAATAAGATTAGGTTTGCATTATGAAGATGAGTTCGATACTGTTGAAGAAGTTTTTGGATAGATATTAAAATTGCTTTAATTTACTAAAACATATTTCAAGCAAAGTTTATCTTCTGTTGAAGTTTTGTATACTCGTTCGAATATTTATACTTAAATCAACTCCTGTGTTCCTGGTGTTTCAATGATGCGGATGTTACCTATTTTCATGAATATGGCGTTTGACCACAGCATTCGATTTCAGGGTCGAGATAGTCAATGACACATTGTTTCCCTGTTATTCGTGAGATAACATTTTCAAGGTCCTCCTTTGTTTAGAATTATTTGGTTCTTACTTATAAGATTTGTCAAAAGCTTCTTATCGTCTTTGAGTAAAATTGTTTGGTATAACTGAAGAAGGTAATGGTCTACGTTATCTGAAGGATTTGTTTGAACATTTGTGTAAGGGTTGTCGTTGGCTTCTCTTGAAAGAATTTGGTCCAGTGGTGGATACTCTAACTTAACATCTGATGTAGCGTTAGCGTTTGAAGCTGGTTTAAATTCACGGATTTCAGCTCTGGTTCTTTTTCTTTCAAACACTCTCCGAACTATAGTTCTTTATGACAATATTGTTTGTCGTTCGTGAGTCAACATTTGATGTTGGTTCAATTGGAACATTAACGGCACCAGCTAAGATGGATTTGCTTCTCATTTCATATAGAATAAAAACCTTTTATATGTATGAAATGAACAATATACTCGACAAGGGTTTGAATGTAAAGCTAACGAATGAAAATATTGTTGAATTCACTGAGACAGGTGCTGTGTATAAAGATGTAGAACTACTGAACAAAAGAGCTAAGGGAAGAAGCAGGAACATGAACAAAGGGTGGAAGCCTATAAAAATTTATGTCAATGATGGCTCAGGAGGTTCAAACATAAAGTATGCAGAAAGTTATAGAGTTTATGCTCTCAAAGGTGAAAAGCCTTCATTTAAGAACAGCTATTCTAACGCATATCCTCAAAAGCTAACGGATGGGGAAGTGGATGATATGAATGACAGCAAAAATATTAACAGAAATGGCGACAGAGATGCATGGAATTTGTTTACCATCAGTCAATTGAAGGTTAAACTTTAAAACAATGTTGGTCGTTCCCATGGAATATTTTTGACTTTAATGGTATTAGTCATGATATGAATCTCAAGGTATGAACGAGGAGAGATGAGAGACTTATATGCTTCCCAAATTTCTTCAAAAGGTAATGTTATACCTGACTGTTTCCAAATGAGTTCAATATCATAACGTGAGAAACCTTGAAAGATAACGAAGTCAGTTATGAGACGTTTTATGTTTAAAGCAAAAACGCCATGTTTGCATAAGTATTGCTACAGTTAAGTGGTAATGTCTGACTTTAGTTATGATGTTAGCTAATGGTGAGTCTGGTTTTGACACTAAACCTTTTCCGGCGAAGTCGTCACAAACGAGCAGAGTGTTTGAAGGATACTTTTTGAAGGGGTATTTTGAAAGTTTTGACAGAATGTAGTTTGTCAGTCGTTTCATATCGTAAACTCCTGAGTACTGACGTAAGTGGTGTTTGTCAATAATTCTTTCCATCTCTTCTGAAGTCTTTTGCATTCCTGACTGTATAAATTCAACGATGGCATAATATTTCCTCTTACGTCGAATGTAACGTTGAAGAAATTCAATGAGTTCACTGTCTGGAACTTTAACGACAGAGGCTTGAACTTTTGACATAAATGTTTTCGCTGTTGAGTCCATAGAGTCTGAAGTTGCTGATATAATGATTTGGTCATAATATGAGTCATTTCCTAAACGTTCTGTTATGAGTATATGACGAATGAGGTTAAATGTCTTACCTGAACCCATCTTTCCACAATAGAAATAAACACCATTTGAACAGAACTCATAGTCCTTACTGAAAGGAAGAATGAGAGAAGAGTTAAGTTTGTCTGTAGTTTCATTCATGTCTTCATCTACGTCATGTATTAAATGCTTCATTTTATCTCCATTAAAAATGCAAGTCAGAAATATTCAGAACATAGCACCGAGTCTAACTGACAAGAGTATAAAGATATACTATGAACACGTTATGATGAAACCAACCAAAATTCAAGAAAGTCAGTATACTTATGAATATCCAAGACACTGGGTAGAGTATGTAGGAGGTGAGAAAGCTATTGAAATAAGACAAGTTAGAAGTATTCCAGCAGGAAGACAATATTATTGAAGAACTTTAATGTTTTGAGATATAATGATGAACAAAGAAGCAAGATAGTTTTCCTATTGCTGTGTATGTGAACCTAGACACAGGAGATGACATGAAAGTTTTTAACACAAAGCTTCAAACGGTAGTGAGAGAACAACTGACTGCGGAAGGGCATCCATTACCTTCAGAAGTTACCATAGCATATAATTTTGAAACAAACTCAATAGATTTTAAAGTCATCTCTGCAAAGAAGTCAGGTTTTACATTTAATGAAGCAGATGTATATTCGAATGAAAACTTCAAAGCTATTGCATGGTTAGATAATGACGATTGCTTTAAGAAAATATTTAAATTCAGTGACTCAAAGATGTCAATAGATGACCTTCGTGGAATGTTACCATCGACGTTTACAGTAGAAGGTTCAGCAGGATTGCTTACAAGATTGTCAATTGGTGGTATTTGGTCTCGTGAGAACATTGTTATAAAATCCAGTATAAGTGAATTTGCTGAAGAATCTATATTATGTCTTTCAAACTACATGTATTCGCCGCCGAAGCATTATAGTATAACAAACTTTGTCAGTAAGTTTAACATAAGACTTGTCGAACCTTCTTCAATGAAAGATGTTGTGCTACCTAAAGATGGAAAGGATGGACTCATTATTGAGATGATTTTAATTGCATATTAAATGAGCTTGTTCTTGAAGGTCATTCATGATGAAATAACTGTTGTAGAAGATGTTAGCAATTGTTCAGACATTTTGAAGCGTATAGATGATATAAGAAAGAAGTTAGATAGACCGCAAAGCGGTGAGGGCGAAGCCCGTGAGAATGTTTATGTTTCATTGACTTTCTCCAGTAAAGAACTTTTATGAGATAATATTGAAGAGAGATGATTTTAATATGGTGTAAATGGTAGCTTGGGCAGCTTTAGGCGCAATGGGAACAAAAGCATTAGCATTTGGAGCAAAAGCACTTGGGCTTATGACGCAGTAAATAAAATGAGTGGAGGAAGAGTTTCGAAGACATTAGATGCAAATAAAGGAAAGATTGGAGGCTGGGTTGCAAAGAAGTTAAGATTAAATAAAATAGGGCTCATAAATAAAGCATCCAATTTGGTTGCGACTGAGTCAGAAAATGCTTTAGGAAAGGACGATGAGTTTGCAAAACATGCAAAAGACTTTAATGACCAGATGAAAGGTGAAACAATGCATTTAAATAGAGTCGATGGAACTAAAGAAAATGTTTCTTCTCCACCAGTAGTTCTTCCGTATGGTCCCTATGGAATGTATGGAAACCCTTACGAAAGACCATTTGACCCATTGACTGGTGGAAGTAACTGGTATCATTACGGACGAAGAAGAAAGACAGTTAAGCTGGAGACAGACGTGAAGAAAGCAACTAAAAAGAAACCAAGGAAGAGAGTTATAAAGTAATGAATTCAACAGACCCAAAGGGTCAGAGCCGCTTTGCGGCTAGGGTGAAAAAAGAGGTGAAAAAAGAGGTGAGATTTCACCACTTCACCTAAATTTATTTTTGCGCTATGTTTTCATACGTGTGAGGGTGGTGATATCATTAATTTTTAAGTTTATTTTATTATTTTACTGAAAATTTTTATTTGGATGTAAATGACGAAAACTATTGAGATAACAAACTACAACGGTCATGAGTTCAAGAATTTGTTCTTCGTTCCTCGTGAAAATACATTCTATCAGATACGAGGGAGAAAGGGTAAAGTTAGTTTGAGCGTTTATGAAGGAATGAAGAATGGAAAGTTTATACAAGCATACGATACAAACGGTAAACGTGTTTCATTAGCTTTGTCAAAACTTACTAACATTCATTTTGACAGTGATTTTGACCTATATGAAGAAGAAAGTGAGTCAGAAGATTATGAGCTGTTATGTGAAGCACAGCAATGGGAGGAGTTGCAATACTTTTGTAAGTGAGAACGTTTATTTTTTACATTAGTGAAGTCGTTTGTGAAAACGTTTATTTTTTCATTAGTGAGGTGAAGTGGTTGGCGGCTTTATAAATATTTAAGGTTAAGTTGGTGTTTGTGTTTGTGTTGTAAAATATACATTAACGGTTTCGTAAAGTGTCAAAACCGCTAAGTTGTGTACGGAGGCGCGCAGTGCCACAGTACACGACTTAGGTATACTAACTATTACACCTGTCTTGTTATAGATGTAGCAGAAGAACTTCAAGTTCTGATATCCGGTTAATTCTTTCGTCAAATGATCATCGAACTGTGGACAAATTGCAATTCTTGTTGGATCAAATGCTAAATCGATATCGAGACCTTCAACTTCGATTGATCCGTTTGAAAGTGGTTCTTCTTTCAATATCATTTTCATCAATGTTGTCTTTCCTGCACCATTCGAACCGAGGAAACCAAATAAAGAACCTTGTTTGATACCCAAAGAAACTTGGTTAACAGCGTATATTGATTTACCATTAGAATCAACGAAATGTTTCGACACATCTCTGATTTTAATTACATAATTCTCTGAAGATGAAGAATTCAAAATGGTTTGTTCCATATCAGTAGCTTCTTTTGTTCTCATATGTTTATCTTTTTCTCTTCTGAACTCACCTTCATGTCCTGTCCAGCCCATCTTTGACATTGTCTTTGTTGCAAAGAAAATTAAGTATTCTTCGAAAGAAACAATAATTGGCCATAAGAAAAGATCAATGAAAAACATGACAATTGCTGTTCTTTGAGGACCTGTTGAGAAGAAATTGTATTTCTTGGGGACATTGAATCTTAATTCTATCAATTGGTTGGCAACTGATGAAATGACATTCAATGAAGCAATAAATGGAAGAATGGAGAAAGCTCCACCAATCATATCTGCTGTTTTCTTGTTTGAAAGGACACTTTTGACAACCATCATAGCTATTAACAAAACTGTGTTAACTACTGAATAAACACCTGTTCCTATTGTCTTGCTCTTGAAAATAAAAGCCCAGAAATAGGTGTAAGGTATAGTAACAATATTCGAAATTAAAATGAAGGGTATTGATATGTAAGCGAGTTTTCTGAATAATACATTTTCTACTGATTCGTAAATAGCAATGAGAATTAGACTATATATGGTTGAAATTCCGAAATCGAATATGTAATTTCCGATCCAATAGGCTTTTCTCGACAAGCCGCTGGCTATCATGTAAGGACGCATTGGTGTCTGGATATCATCGATGAGAATTCCTAAAGTAATTGATAATAAGCTCAAACTTGCCAATGGTATGAATAACGGGCCAAGAAGGCAAATAGCTGAGTCGAACAACGCCGATGAATCGAAGCCTTTAAGTTGTTTTGACTCCCAGTATACGTTAATGTCGGCTTTCGGATCTTCTGGATGGAAAGCTTTAAATAAGGCACGTTTGATAATATCACTAACATCAACATCTAAGTCTGGCTCTGTTCTATTGTACATGTAATCGTAATCGAATTCTACGGTGAGTTTATCTGTTTCATTGGCTACAATGAATTCTGTTGAACTCTTGATTTGGAAAGCGAATGCAACATTCATTGTGTGATGTTCTGTCTTGCAGCGATTATATTGCCATTTGTTAAAATCGTCAAAACTATCAAAATCAATCACATTTAAGTCAACTTCAGCTTCTTCTTTTGCAAACTGCTTAATTATATCTGTAACATTCGGAAAACAAATTCCATCCGCACATTCTGGGGTACGAATTCTAGCTATGGACAAATTTTCCTTTCTGAAGCTCTTAAAGCTAATTGTTGATTTGTGTACTGGTCCTTTGATATTATCGAATATAAGCGGGATAAATACTGGAATGCACGTGAAAATAGTGAAGAATATTACATTTGCAAGAAATGATATCCACGTGCCTCTTAAGATAAGAAGACGTCTGTAAATGACGCCTTTAAGTTGAAATACAAATAAGGATTGCTCAGGCATTGTATCTCTATATTATTTTTTTAATAATAACTATTTGTATTATTGTAAACTTATCAAAATACAGAAATCGGATATGGGTTAGATCGGATCTATAAAAAATCGGATATGGGTTAGATCGGATCTATAAAAAATCGGATATGGGTTAGATCGGATCTATAAAAAATCGGATATGGGTTAGATCGGATCTATAAAAAATCGGATATGGATTAAATCGGATCTATAAAAAATCGGATATGGGTTAGATCGGATCTATAAAAAATCGGATATGGATTAAATCGGATCTATAAAAAATCGGATATGGGTTAGATCGGATCTATAAAAAATCGGATATGGATTAAATCGGAACAGTTGAAATCTATATGTTTCTGCAATAAGATAATAAATATCTCAAAATAAAAGTATTTCACTTCCTATCAGAAATCTCAAGTGATAAGAAAAAAAAATTTTTTTTAGGAGTATTTTAAAAAATGAATCAGGTCCTTCTGCAGGACTTGACGTCTGAAGATCAAAAGAGTAATCCAACTACAGCCAATCGCTCTCAGTGGAACATATATACTCAGTTCACAAACCTCATTCTTAGATTAAGATTTAAGAAACCTTCCTTTTGGATTGTCCAGGGCATATGTATTGCCATAGCATTACTTTCCCTCGCAGTAAAACCCAAAAACAAGCCCATGGATACCAGCAAAACTGATGATCTTACTATTGAATGGGAATACGAGGCTTTTCTACCAAATCCAGATATAACATTAGTTCAATATAACACGCCCATGGGATTTTATCCATCCAATAAATATACAATTGATATAGCAAATAAAGTCAACAGTTCAACTTACAAAAAGACAAATAGTATAACTGTATTTGCTAAAGAGTCTGATTACAAGGAATTCCTTGAAACTAATTTCAAAACTTTCATCAATTTCCAAAATCCATCTCCAAATGTTTTCAACATTACAGGTGGAGCCATGCACAATCTAACATACCTTTTTTCTGATGCTGTTGCGTCTGAATTTCTTGGTTACGTACTTTATAACGAGACAAATTATCAATCTCAAATTAAATATTCCAGAATCACCGATTCAACGAAATTTACAACAGCCACAGAGTTCTACCAAGTTGCTGCGTTTATTGTTATTGCTGATTTCCTTATGTTCTTCCATTCATTTACAGAATTCCTTGAATTCAGAGAAAAGAAACAATTTTTGTTACTTGAAATATCCGGAGCCAAAGAATCAATATTATACTTGGCATGTTTCACTGTAGATCTTTCTCTTTCTTTCTTGCATTCACTAATTCAAACAGAAATCATTAATATTTATTCAAAGAAACCAAACTTTTTGTTTTTATTTGTTATGATGTTTTTCTTGAATCTTTATCAATATTTCTTCTATTTTATTATTGTTATTTTGACATATATTCAAAAATATTTCAAATCAATAATTATCATTGTTGTATTGATTTCTTCTTTATTCCCTTCACTTTTTGGAATTCTCAATGGCATGGGAAAGGACTTAACAGTATTAATACAAATCTACAGATTCTTCCCTCAAGGATCTCTAACATTATTCTTTGATAATCTCATGTATTGTTATATTTATGGTCATCATCTTTCTTTTTCAAATGCTGCTATTAATTATCACTTCGTTCCTACATCGCAAATTGCTTTGATAGCGCTAGGAATGTTCTGTGCTGTATTGTTTATCTTGTGGTTCCTTGATTTGATGTATCCAAGATCAAGTGGAACTCCTCCAATCGGATTCAAAAACATTTTCTTATGGAGATATTGGAAGAAAGTTTTTCTTAATTCAAAAACTGACGCTTCTTACAGAGAAGAATGCCATTTCATCGATGTACAAAATATCAATAAGATCTATAGTGGAAAGGTCAATGTTCATGCATTACAAGATGTTTCTTTCTTCATTGATAAAGGTGAAATCATTATTTTAATCGGTCCAAACGGTTCTGGCAAAAGTACGTTATTAAATTCAATGACAGGAAGTATTGATTGCAATTCGGGATCGTTGAAGTTATATGGTAATGAGTGTGCAGCAGGATTCAGTGAGATGCAGCAGTGTTTAGGAATTTGTTTCCAAGAAAACGTCTACTTTGACAGATTGAATGTCAGAGAACATTTGAATTTCTTTGGATTGATAAGAGGCATGTCGAAGAACGCTTTGGAAGCAGAAGTTGATAGATGCATTGATCATTTCGGATTGTCCGCTTGTGAGGGCAATAGAGCTGAATCATTGTCTGGCGGACAAAAGAGAAAACTTTGCATCGCATTGGCTTTCATTGGAAGTCCTCAATTTGTTATTTTGGATGAACCAACAGCTGGTATCGATGTCACAACGAGACAGACAATTTGGAAGGCTATCTCTGGATATGGAATTACTTCTTTGGTTAGTTCTCACTCTTTGGAAGAAGCTGAATCTATTTCAAGCAGATTGTTCGTCATGAGAAATGGTCAAATGATTTTCGATGGACCATCAAATGAATTGAGAAGAAAATACCACTGCGGTTACAGATTGCAGCCAATGTATATCTCTGATATCAATAAAGCACAGGCAAACCAGAACTTGTTGGAGTTCTGCAAGCAAAGTATTCCTGACTCTGTTTTGGATGATCAACACGAAGACAGCATCTTGATGCCTGCCTGCAAAGATGTCGTCCAGTTACTTGATAACTTGGAAAAGAGAAAAAAACAGTTCCAAATGAACGATTTCAACATCATCGTAGAACAACTCGAAAATGTTCTTTACAGAATGTACGTCGATGATGAAAACGCCGCGCTTGTTTAAATTTAATTAATAAACTTTTAATATATATACAAAAAAAAACTTTATTTCTTTATAAAATAAAAATAACGTGGGTGATTTTTCACCCAGCCATAAGGGTCTCAACATTTGAGAGTTTTACGTGTCATTTGCCAGCAAATGCCATGTAATTTATTCTCAATTATTTTTTGTTATTATTTTATAAAATTATTAACAAAAAAATTAAATAGATTTTTGGTTTTTGGCGTATTTTGAGATGTAATTTTTGATTTTTGGTCAATTATTAACTTCTTTTGGTTAAATAAAAATTTCATTTTTCAAATTTAGTTTGTTTGCAATGAATTAAGAGCTTTCTCACAGATTTGGTTGGATTTTTGGAATTGGATTCCTTCTTTGAGTATTTGGATGATGTTTTTCTTTAAAATTAATCTTTTTTGGCCTTGATTGAGGAATTTTGCAAATACAATGATGGTTTTGGCAGTCTGTATATATAAGTCAATTAACTCATTGATATCATCTTCGATTAATTGACATTTCTGAAGATATGAAATCAAATTTTCGAAATACAAATCTTTTGATGCGGTTTCTTGAGCAAAATATGTAGCAGCAGCAACCATTAATGCATAGCCTACATTGATTGCATATGTTGCTGAACAATCTTTCATTTTCAGTAAAGATTGTGAAATTTTTTCAAGAAAAGGTTCTTCTGCTTCTTCTATTGAGTAAACGGCCGATATCATATCAGCCATAGCTTTAATATCATATCCATCAGGTGAGAAATACGATGAAATATGAAGAAAAACTTCTTCTCCGATTTCTTTTGTTTTTTCTCTAAAATTCAAAGAAAAACAAGTGATTAAATTGGCTGTTTTAGCGCAATCTACTTCAAGGAAGTTATGTATCATATTTATTATGAATTCTACTGTTTCATCACTGATTATTTCGCATCTTTTAACAATAGATGCAAAACAATTTAAAATTTGAGGAGATTGTTCACAAGAATTGAACAAATACTGGATAAACTGGTCATATATTTCTTGGTTATCAAATGAAAACTTGTTTATTATGCTCTCTATTGAATAAACAAGGTTTTGATTTTCAAAAATTAAATTCACTAAATTTTCTATGATATCTGGTACATAATCAGGTACTATATCAATCAAATATGATAACATTAAGTCAACACTTTCAACAGAAACTTGTATTGGTTGAGAAATTAATTCAATAAAAGAATTACATATTTGTCTTATAGATTCAGAAGAATTAAACAGTCTGTTTGATGATATTGATTCAAACAAATCGATAATTAATGGAATATTACAAGTTTGAATGATATTTGAAATTATATTTTCATCAATAATTAATTCTGGGTAATTCTTAAGTAAACTACAATTTTCTTCTATAACAAATTCATTACTGCAAATAAAACTTATAAATGTTTCTTGATTTCTAAAAATAAAATCAAAAAATTGTTGATTTCTTGGAATATTAATGAATATCTGGTATACCTCAGCTATTTTTCCTTCATTAATATAGTTTTGAAATAGTTCTGATGTTCTTTCAAACATAAAATCGAGATCAACGTTCATTAAATACGTGAAATAGTTTTCATACAATAAAATATCATCTTTGCAAAAGTTCATGAAAATATTAGTTGAAATATTGTAGATTTCTTCCTTGTTTTGTTGATAATCTTCATGAAGATTTTCATTAAACTGTTTAAGGGAGTTTTCATGTTCTGCTATGATCATTATTGAATTTAATGATATATTTTTGTCAATGGAAATTGCAGAATTATAAAATGGCAATAAAAAATCTAAAAATTCGAAAGCATTATTGTATTTTGCAATAATAATATATGATATCATGTCTAGATACTTTTGTAGATCATTAGGATGGCTTTCTATTAAATTTGTCGCAAAAATAAAAGAAAAATCTTCGATATTTAGTAAAATTGGAAATTTGGTTGAAATTGTGTAGATGTAAAAGCAGTATACGTTAAAATTAATGTCTTTGTTGTTAGATTTGAATGTTTCGAAGATATGATTTTCAAATTCTTTAAAAAACTTTCTAATACTAAAAGGAATCTTCTTAACATCTAGACTCTGAAGTAAAACTGCTGATGTTAGAATGGATTTGTCAATAAAGCTCGAATCTTGCGAAATAAAATTAATTATTTGTTGAAGCTGTGTTTGAAAGAATGAAACTGATAATGAGATAATGTAGTCTATAAGCATAATAATAGGATCTTGATCGTCGGCTTCTGGTGAAATCTTTTCGTATAAATTTTCAATTATGGAAAAAATATCCTGAAAATTCATCTCTGATATAAATCTATTGAATTTATCTGTGTTTTTCATTGCAAAGAATAGCATCAATGCGACATTTTTTTCATTGCAAATTAAAAACGCATCAAAGAGTTCTTTGGCTTCAAATTCAAGAATTTTCCATTGTATCTCTTCTACATTACCTTGTTTTGCATTCAATAGCTGCTTAACTAACTCAAAAATATTACTTTCCATTCATTTTTTTGTAAAAAAATCTTCCCCCTCTTATTTTTTAAAATGACCCCTTTTAAGATTTGAAATTGTCACTTTTTCAAAATGCCTACTCTTCGAACTATTTGGAGTTTCTTGAAGGAATATAATGTTCTTGATTGGATGCTTATCATTGGTATAAATGTTGCAGGATTTATCGCATTAGGAATTAAATTTGACAAAGATTTCAACGAATTTTTAGATATTGATATTGATCAAGAACGAAAAACAGCAACAATTCCATACATCATCATTTTGGTCGTTGAATATGGTGCTGTTCCTATTTTAATGCTCTTAATCATCATTTTTGTCTCGCAAACAATATCAATTCGAAAAACCTTAACAGCTTATTACTTCGCAATTGGCTTAAATTTACTTATATCGAATTCCCTTGCAAGATTTATCGGTAGACCACGTCCAGATACGATAGCAATCTGTGGTGGTGATGGATCCTTCCAAAGATGCTATAATGTATTGTCAGCAACAGAACTTCGAACACAGTTTACCTCATTCCCTTCTGTTCACACTTCAGAAGCCATGACTTCCTTATTATTCTTAAGTTTCTTTTTCTCAGATCTTTGGTCACAATTCCATATGGGAATTTTGGTTCTTCGCTTATTCCCAGTTTGTTTGGCGTTTCTTGTGGGTGCAACAAGAATTTGGGATAGAAATTCTCATGTAGACGATGTTCTAGCCGGATTATTCATCGGTGGTGTTCTTTGTACAACTGTGTACACCGTTTACAGGAAAGGTCAACGTGCAAAATACAATATTAATTAATTTTTTTGATACCATTGGTATCGTAGCCTGATTTTGAATCATATCTATCTTTTTATATACTAATTTAGTAATTTCATAAATATTCTTTCAAAAATACCTTATTTTTTCTATTTACCAAATTTTATTGAAAAAATACTTATTTAAATATAACAAATGTATTGACATTCTTTGGTATTTTAAGATAACTGTTTGTATTTTAAATTTTATATTTATAAGAAATAGATAAAAGAATTAAACAAAAAAAAATAATCAGGAAGTGATGTTATTTCAACGTAGTTGTAGGTTGGATTAGGAACTTAATAAATTTAAACGCATGCAACAGCACAACCTTCTTCTCTAGATTCATCTCTATGAATGCAAACACAAAGGCAACCATGTGATGCGCAAAAATAAAGGAAGCATAAGACAGCAATGAAAGCTATTGGGACGCCTATGTAGGAAAATAGTGACATTAATACTTTTGCTAATTGAAGAATAATTGATGGCTAAAAATTTCGGAAAAAAAAGTCGTAAAAAATTGAATACTACTTTTTTTTAAGAATTTTGAAGTCTGAATCTAAGTTATTTGATGTAAAATGAATGATTAGATACATCACACACTCTTTTTAATTGAATTTTGTAATGAAATCAAATATAAAAAAGAATGTTTTGTATTTGAAGAAAAGATCATAGTGGAGGTGCGTTTAATTGGTCCCATTTGTACTCTATAATGGTTTTATTTCCAATGTCCTTAAATGTTTAGCCTTAACTTAGAGTACGAAAGGAACTGAAAAAAAAAATTGATCTATCAACAATATGTATACAATATTATGATTTGCTAGTGAGTACGCATTCATTTTATGATATTGTTTTGCATTCATTCGGTTCCAAATTTTTATTTAATTTTAATAATGATTTCACGCTCAATTGTATTGTGTATTAGTTCACTGCACATGTGTTCTATTTGGTGTAATGCTTGCTCAAGAATTTTTATACTTGGTTACATTTCAGTTCCAATTCATATCTAAGCTATAGGAATTTTTATTGGATAAGCAATCCATTGTGGTAGAACTGCAATTAATTTTAAGATAAAATGTGCGTAATCATAAAAAGGTTTCCATTTCGAAAGTTATTACCGGTAAAAATAAAAGGGAATATCAATTAAAAGAGTAATGACCTAATATACTACCTTGTGAAGTGTCTTGAAATCTTGGAGAAATCAATTTTATTTCAAAAATGTTGTTTTCCGCTCATAAATTGAATTGCAACGATCATTGAAAGTTTTACAATTTTATATAGCCATACCATTTGGAACCGAAATTAATCAGATTACTTCTTTTTCAAATCAAAATTGAATGATGTTTCGGTTACGGAGGTTTTCCTCTCAATCGAGATTTTGCAATAAAAAGTTGACAGAAAAAACGATGATGGAATATGAATTGGACTTCTGGGAGCAACTCCAGAGTTTCTTAGCGTCAATTAATGATGACAATGCAAATTCTATTGCTGTTGATCTCAATTTGGATGTAATTTCAAATACGGATGGTATAAATCAGTTGATTCATGAAATTTTCTTCATTTTATCCATACGTTTGAATGTCACTGATGCTCTTGTCAAGTTCACAGTGGCAATTAAGAAGCTTGCAAAGCCTAATAGTATACTTCAAGCACTTCCGAAATTTATTCTTCGCAATTGCGAAAGATCAAAGAATCCCTTTATCGTAGTTTACATTTACAAACTTGTTAAAATTGGATTCTTAAACTTATATGAAAAAATTCCTCGTGTTTTATACTTAGCAACACACGATCTCCCTATTGCACGTGATATTTTTGCTGAAGAACTATATAACGCTTTTCCATGCTTCTTCACTGCTCCAATAAACTATTCAATAAGTACCATTGAAGATGGTTGTTTACCAGGAACAATCGAATACGCACTTAAGCACGACGACATCGACTTTTTACGCGAGAGATCAATCGAAGGAGACTTCAGTTTCAATCAGACTCTTTATTGTTCGCAATTATACCACCCTGTTATTCGAAATCAAAGAGCAACTTTGTTAGAAGCTGCTGCTTTATTCGGATCATTAACATGCTTCAAGTTCCTTATGCTAAACAAGGCAAACTTCCGTGGTATCGTTGAGACAGCTCCTATCATTGGAGGAAATTTGGAAATTATTCGTCTCTGGGATCAGAATCGCGAGATTGATGGCCAGCATGTCGAAACAGCAATGAGAAATCGTCGCAATGATGTCATTGATTGGATCATTGATACAAAATCCACAAGATTTACAAATGAAGACTTATTTAACATGTCAATATCAGCAAACAACGCCTATTTCTTCAACAAATACAAAGATGAGATCAAAGTTACATCACACATGGTCAATTCATCATTCAACTCGAGATCATTTTTCGCTCAAAAATATCTTATCGAAAATTGCATCGAAGACATGTCATTACTCTACGCGAACTGCATTACATCGAAGTCAGTAATTGAATCTCTCCTCGAAAAGAATCCTTCCGGTTCTTACATTTGTGACTTTACATCTTCTCAAATTTCTCCCTCAATTTTATCGGTTTTATACAGCAAAAACCTTCTCAAAATCACTGACCAGTTTGCCGAATCTGTTGCCAAGAATGGAACCAAAGAAGTACTCGCATGGCTCAAAGTAATGAAACTTTATGATATTTCAAAATTGTCACTTTTGGAAACTGCTGTTTCATCCAAAAATTATGACGTGATCAATTATCTGATCAACTTGGAAGAATTCAAATTTGACAACAGTATCATTGACCTTGTCTTGAGCATTGCTGTTTCGAAGAGAATCCTTCTAATTCCTTTCGTTCTCTCCAAGAAAATTTCTGATAATTTCAGATCATTTTTGACAAATTTGCCGTTTATTAACGACTCTAATTTGACTGAAAGAGCGATCTACGAGAAGTGGTTGTTGCAAGATTTCCTTCCAGAGCACATCCCTATTCTCACAAGGTTCTTTTTGATTTCTGAACCTTGCATTTCAACTTCTTCCAATTCGATGCTTGTAATTCTCCAGAAATTGAATAATTTTCCTCAAATCAGAGCGGTTTTGTATAGTGAAGTGAAGTCAATTAATCTTAAACTTCCTATCAAGCAGCATTTCATTCCTGTTTTGGAAATGATCTCCAAGATGGCACTCGATGACTTGGAAATCATCTACAAAAATAAAAACGTCTCTAATGTTAAAGGTGACATTGAAAAAGGTGACATTGTTGAATCAGAGATAAATGACTTGATGGATGTTCTCCAAAAGATGTTTACTAATAACGTAATAACATCTGAAACCGTTATTAAAAAGTGCCAAGAGATAAATGACATTGATTTCACTTTGATGATGTTAGAAATGTCATTCAGAGAGATTAAAGAACCAAATCATAATCAATGCCAGTTATTGTCGACTTTCTACAATATGTTGGCTTCGAATTTCAAATCTCAAAAAGTGACATCTGACAAATCACGTGAAATTATCATTCAAAGCATTTCTCTCCTTCCTCATTGTTTCCCATTCGAAACTGAGAAAATTGTCAAAGAACAAATTGATTTTTCTGACAATTTGTCTGACAAATTCTGCCAGAAATTTTTGACATTGATTGAATCAAAGAAAGTCAAGCTCCAAAGCGATGAACTCAGAAGGATTCAACTCATGATATCAAATTACTCAATTTCGAATGCAAAAAGATGCCAAAAGAATCCAATCATTGGTGTCGGATTGGGAGAAAAACTTTTCTACAAAACTGCTTTTGAAAACATTTCTAAAAATAATGATGATAACGGTTTGTGTCAGATTTTGGCAGCGATGAAACAAAGCTTGATGGAAAACAAATGGAAGATGAATTACAAGAAGATGGAACATTTCTTCGATATCAAGTTTGATGAAAACGAAAAACTTTTGGAACTTTTTGCTTTCATCGGAAGTTTTATTGTCAAAAGTGACACTGATTATTTGACAGAAAAATCATTAGAATCATTATTAAGTTCGCTCAAAATTATGTCAAACAAATGTCCAAAGAGTGATGAACTAACTGTTTGTTTGACAAATTTGAGTGAATCTATCGAAGAGAAAGAATATTTGAGTGAAGAAATGATCAACGAAATCAAAATTTATTTGAAAGACATCAAAGAAAATCAATTGTTGATCAAAGCTTTCTTTTCAAAGTTTTCATATAATGATGATGAATTCGTCTTAGATTTGTTGCGTAATCTGAATGATACGAAATCATTTTTGTATTGCGTTTTGTATTCGATAAGAGGAATCACTCAAAATATTGTCTTGGAAGAAATTTTCGACCTGTTTTCGAAAACAGTTTTGAATGATGAAAAAATCTGCAGAAATGCAAACCAAGCAAGAACTCATTCATCATTCTACACACTTGGATATTCGGATAGCGATTACGATATTCCTTCTTCTGTTTCTGTTGATTCAGGAGTCATCGAAATCGATTACTTAGTTGTTGGAATTCTTTCCGAGTTCTCTGGAATATTCAACAAGAATTCTTATCTGAAAGATTTTAATAAGTTCCTTGACGCAAAGGCTTCTATTATGCCTTCAGCAGAAAGGTTGCTTTCTCGTATATAATTCATTTTAGTTTTTAAAATTAATCAATTAGTAATTTTTTTTTTGAAAAATATTTGATTTTGCAGTTCCACATATTTTGTAAAGCTATCAATATTGGTCAAGAATTGTTAAATGTGGGCATGGTATTAATATGATTTCACAATGATATAATGGACATTCTTGATTACATACGAATTTTTAAATATTGCATAAACTAACCATATAACATCCAATAATTCTGTTAGACAAAAAAATGTATAATTGGCAACAAAAAATATATATTGCGTATAAATTTTAGACATGATATGAATCCATGAGGATGAAAAAAAAATAAAAAGGAAAAAATGGGGCGAGCCGGGAATTGTAAGTGTTTATTCGGAAAGGGTTAAGACGAGCGAGCGAAGCGAGCGAGCAAAGTTTTAGGTGAGCGAGCGAAGCGAGCTACTTGGGTGGAGGTGGGGCAGGATTTGGTCTAGGTGGATTTGTTGTTGGTGGTTTTCACTCCAATGAGTGTATCATGGATGTGGTGCTAGTCTGTTATCAGACCATACAGACTGATGGATGGGAGGTTAATATTATTATCTGTTTGAGGGAGGGTGAGTAATTTTCGTGGTGTCTCTTTTATTTTGGCTTGTGATTCCTAGCACGGAATCCGGTGTTTGGTACACGTTTCGTACCGAGTGACATCGCTTAAGCTCTGCCAATCCTACTATGCTTCTGTTCTTCTCACTCGTCTTATCTCTTCTTAGTTAAGGAATTCGTCCTCATCGGGTTGGTCTAAGGCTTGTTCTATCGCGTTGTTCTCAGCATCTTCTTCGATGATTTGATCAACAGAGATAGTTTGTTCGGTTGAATTATTTATTTGTTCGCCTTGGCCATTGTCTTCTTGAGCATTTCCATTGTTGGTTGGTTGCTCTTCAGAGGTTGCCTGTTGGTTCTCCTGACCATGATCTGTGTCGTTATTGTTTTCATTGTTGTTTGGTGGGATCGCTGCATTGGGAGCTGTGACTCGTCCTGGGAGGGGACGGCAGCGCATACCGAAGAATTCTGGCACTTTTTCAAAAACAATGCAAGCACTCGCAGCTATCGCGTGCATCGAAAGTCTCTTGAGTAGCTGTATGTGATCTGCAGGTGAGATTCTCAATGCGTCGAGTTTTGTACGGAGAGGGATGACTCCTAGTGATGAGACTACGATAATTGAGAGCGTCGTGGTCCAGTTAAATAATCTCTCTGTTTGTTCAGCAAGGCTCTTATACTTGTTAACCTTTTTGTCGTATGCCGCGTCAAGAGAGTTGCCAACATTGTTGTCCGTGCCGTAAGGGCATGTGACTTCAATGATCTTGATCATCTTGTTCGCTTCATCGTAGACAACAAGGTCTGGGAGGAGATCTTTAACTGTGTCGTCGAGCTCTGGGCCTGTTGTTTGGTAGCCGTCACTTGTAATTCTCGCCGAGCATTTGATGGTTACTCCTGGATAGTGATCGTGAATGAATTGGTAAATGTCATCGCATATGATATTGTGGCGCCATTTGTATAGACTGAAACGGTTTCTGCACATGTTCAATGTGTGGAAGAGAGTGCAGGATTGGCATCCGCACAATGGACAATTAGCCAAAACTTCTGGGTTGTGGAAGTGCATGTTTGCTGGGGTTGGAGCTGTGTTTGTACGGAGAGCAATAGCCGCTGAGTAGAGGTTGTTTGGAACAGCTTGTGGTCTCTTCATGATGTCGTGTGACTCCGCTAGCGCTGCTGGTTCGCAGAAAGTGTGTGAGTGTGTTTCGTCTTTCTTGAACTCCTCGTACTGCCTCTGTTGGATGACGCGACCGATTAAGGGTGAGATTTGGCCGATGTGTTTCGAGCGGTACCAGTCTGTTGCATTTTCTCCTACACCTCTGACTTGTATGCCTCCTTTGTCCCATTCTTTGAATCTGACTTCCAGTTTGTCTGCTGCTTTAGCCGCCTGTGTGATGAAACAATTTGTGCGTTTGGATCTTTCGTTCTTCTGGACAATTTTGCCGTTTTCCATCTTGATGCCTAAGAAACCATTTTCTTGGTCTTCGACGACCTTGCGGAATGACTTCTCTTCTTGAGCCATTGTGTGAAAGAAGGCTTTGGTTTCTGCTTGTTGACTTAACCATAACCTCGCAAATTTAGTGAGAACGAGCTGAGGCTGGCGAAGTTCCAATTTAACGAGTCCAAAGCCGCCTTTGTTCTTCGGCATGTAGAAAAATGAAACCGGAATGTTTGACGTCGGCGCTTCTTTGTCGATCAGGCCTCGGATCATCTGATCTGTCGCTTTCAAGTCATTGACTCTGAATACGTTGTGGAACATGTAAAAGTCAAGTTGTGGCAAGATGAAGACTCTGAGAGCGATAATCTTCTGAGAGAGAGCGAGATGTGACGCGAAGACGACTCTGATCTGTGCTTTGACCTTTTCCAGAATGCCAGTTGCAGCTGCAAATCTTGATGTCTTTGTTCCAGAGATTGGTATTCCAAGATATGTGATGTTGTCCATGCTCGTCTTGATTGGGATTTCGTCTGGACCAATGCGGAAAGGTTGGATTGCAGTGGATGTTTTGGCAAGTGTGACGCATTTCTGTGGTGCAACTTTGAGTTTCGCAATTTTCTGGAATTCATCTACTGTGTTTAAGATTCTTTGCATTCCTTCATGTGTTGGAGAGATGACTAGAACGTCGTCAGCGTAAGCTTGAATGGCAATTGAATACTGTCCTGCTTTGTCTTGGAATCTGTAACCGTCCTCAAAGTGTCTCCTCTGGACTGCATATAATAAAGGATCTAAGCAGCAGTTGAAGAGGATTGGACTGAGTGGACAGCCTTGGATGACACCTCTGCGAACCGGAACTATCTCGGAGTGTGCATGTCTTGTATAGATAGCCGTTCTTGCTCCTTTGTAGAGGTCCTTGAGCAGATTGATGATCGAATCGGGAACTTTCTTCGCTTCGAGAGAATCAAAGATCAATTGATGAGGAACTGTGCCGAAAGCGTTCGTGAAATCGATTGCTGTTTGGAACATTTCAGACTGTGTTCTGGTTGATTGGCAAAGGACTTCGTTCGCGACTGCAATGTGCTCACTCAGTGTTGCTCCGCGAACGAAACCTTTTTGCATTGCGTGGAACATTGGGATCATCTGTAACGCTTTGTTGACTAAAGTCATGAAGATTCTGTAAGTGCATGACGTGATGCCGATTGGTCTCCAGTTCTTTGCTAACGATGGGTCGTCCTTCTTAAAAAGCATCACTGTCTTGGAGAGCTTCCAGCAGTCTGGGATGTGACCTGATATGATGATTGATCTGAATAATATACTGAGGAATTTTGCGGCGCTGACTGGGAATAGCATGTAAACTGAGTTCGGAATTCCATCGAGGCCGTGTGCCGATAAATGATTCTTGTTGCGGATTACTTCGATGATCTTCGATTCATTTGTCATGAAGTCGAGGAAGTCGTTTGCGAAAGCTTGGCCATATCTCTCCGGTAACGCGTAGTCATGATGCAGGAAGTTTTCGTAGCCTTCAGCTTCGTTTGCCCATTGAGGTCCGTAGTAATCAAGGTATTCGCTTGGCTTCAATGATTGTTGTGGAACTTTGTCGGCTAAGATTATGTTTCTGAGAGTCTTTGTTGGGTTATCGGCGAAACATGCTTGTAACTTCTTCCTTGCATATGGTGATGCATCCTGTGGTGTTCCGAGAATTCGGTTAATGTAATCCATTTTCTTGATGAATTCGTTGTTGTCCTCCATGTTGACGATGTTGAGAATACTCTGGTCGGAGATCGGTCCTTGAAATATTTCTTCAATGTTATATTGTTCGAATTTGTTATCTCTGAGATCGTTTTTGATTTTTGCAATCATTTCGACGAATTTATTGTGTTCATCGTCTCTCGTGCTGTCTTTGAGGCATCTCGCGTGACTTATGTGTTTGACTACTTTGATGAGAGTTCCTTTTATTTCATTGGCTGCTTTTTGAATGCGATCTCTTGTGTCTTCCGATATCCTTGGCGGTGGTGCTGTGTCTTCTCCTGTGTCTTCTCCATTTTCTGCTGTCATAAACTTTGGTTCGCTGTGGTTATTGGTGTAGATCATTTCTCTCAAGGCGGCATTGCATTTTAGTGTCAAGTAATCTACCTTGATTTTGTCTGCTTCTGTATTTCCTGTAGCTGCGTATCTTGTGGCTAATGGAGTGAGTTTCTTGTTGAAAAGTTCTCCTCCTCCTTTCAATAGTTTTAATCGGACGAGTGATGTCATTTTCGGTGTAACGCAGCCTCTCTCTTCTGCTTGTTGGAGTTCTGGAATGTTTCTTCTTGCCTCGGCGATGATGGCTACCTCTTCCTCTTCTGTTGCTGGTGGATTGATGATGACGGCATGAACCGCTTCATCTTCTGTCTCTGTTGTGTTATTTGGCGGGTCGAGGGCATCTGCTTCTTCGTTGTTTCCGTTGTCTTCTTGGTTCTCGTTGTTCTCTTCATTGTTGTCAGCATTAATTATCTGTTGTACTGGAGTGTTGTCTACTTGCTCTGCTCTTTCTCTTGCTCTCTCGGCATGTAATGCGTCGAGTTCTTCTTTGGTAATCCAGCAGTATGTAGCATCAGTGTGCGCGATTTCTCCGTCTACTCCTGCTGTTGTAGACTTATGTTTCTTCTTTAGATGTTCTTTGATGTCGCTCAATTCTGTTACATATGTGTTGCATCCTGCTTCTGGACATTTGCGACAAGCGTGTTCTTTGATGTCTTTGAGTGTCGGGTAGACGATTCCTTTTGGTCGGTTGACTCCTTCTATGACAATACCCCAAAAGAAGCCGTATCTCTCGATGTATACGTTCTTGGCGTGTTTCTTCGTTTTCATGTGGTCCATGAGTTTTGATCTGTCGTTGTTCGTGTATGAGCAGTCTGCATAAGGGCATTTGAATACGTGCGTATCAAGGTCGATGTTTCCGTTTTCATCTTTGTAGACAAACGTGCCTGTGCCATAGGCTTGGGCCAAAAATTCAACCCAGATGTCTATGGTGTGAACCTTTGGGTCAAAGCTCGTTTTCGCGATTTCTCCTTTGAAGTGGTCGCAAAGTTTTCTCAGTGATTCGAATGCCTTGTCTTCGTGTCCTTCGTATGATTCAAGTGGGCATCTAAGACCTGGTTTTGGTAATTTCCCTTCTTCTACTAGGAAATATACAAAGATTGGTGTATCTTCGGCGATAACCTCTTTGTTGACTCTGTAGTCTTTAATCGTTGTGTAGAAACGTTCTAAGTCTTCAAGTGTTTTGATGTTCGTTAAGTAGTCTTCACATTGTATTAAAAATTCTGTAAGTTTTTCGGCTGAGTTAATGTATCTTCCATTGTTGTTCTGGCTGTTCGTTGTATCATGTTCTTCTGCGTTGGCTAGAGCTCCTTCGACAAAATCTGGGCTGTAATCGATGTCTTTATCAGCAATTAGTTCCTTATTGTTCAGTGATTTAATCGGGATATTGTGTGCGCTGAAATCTCTTAAAAGTAGAGTCAGAATTCCGAGATCTCCTTTTGGTGGTTCATCCATGCATGGTACAAACCTGAGTTGACAGGTGTCTGTGATGATTATGGATGGTTTCCGATCTGTTCCTGGTGGACTTGGAGGGAATGCTTCTTCAATTGTTTCTATGGCTTCTCTTCCTACGATAAGTCTGAATCTGTTTGTTTCTTCTTCAAGTGTGTCAAAAATTGCGACTTGTGTTTCTGGAAATAAATTTTGTACTGTTGGTTTGTCGATAGTTTTGTAAAGGCGTAAAATGTCGTTGAAAAAGAAAGATATATCTGGTGATAATTTTTCTGTGAGATGTGAAATCATATGGATGGCATGATCTTCTGCTTCGGTGAATAACTCGTCGCAATACGAGCATCTGTATTTTAGAGGGTTAAGTTCTTCGATGCCTGTCTTGTCTATTTTGATGGCCGTTATTCTTCTAAATGTGTCTTCTGTTGTTTCAAATGTATTGATCATGGGGTCAGTGTTATGGTGCTCTCTGATGTGTTCAACCATTCTTTCACAATTGTCACAATGGAAATTACAGCCATCAGCGTTACAGTGGAACGGTTCTGTACTCAAGTCACGGTCTTCAGGTGAGAACATGGATGCGACTAACAAACTGATGGGCAATGATGCGATGGATTGGCTAAATAATTTTTCCGAAATCCAGTAATTCTCTATTTCTTTCGGGTAATCTAATCTGAACTCCATCTTCGATAGGCTCCTGATTAAGTCGGAGTAATTTTCTGGATTCAACGCTGCAATATTTTTCAAAACGATATCTAAATTTTGTTCCTCAGGCTTCAAAATCGTTTTCGCGGTTGGCGTGAAACTGTCTGTTATAGCTGTGTTGCCACAGTACACGTACGATTGCAGTGGAAGCTTCTCGGGACCTCCTGTACCCAAAACAGGAATCATACCACTAGACTACTCACCCTTCTTAATTATTTCTATTAATTTTAATCCTTAATCAAATCTTGAAATTATTAATACTAATATGGTTCTTGAAGGATCAAATTCTCCGATCAAATGTCAAATAAGGTTCATCAAATGATGCATAAAAAGTTATACTAATAAAATATTTTAAATAAAAATCAGAGTGATTGTAACAAAAAGTGCCAATAAATTTGAATTACCCAGATTTTCCTTACTTTTACCACTCCCCATGTAATTTCTGGGGAAAACGATAATTCATTTTTTTTATGGATGAATAGATCGTTTTCCTAGAAAGGACCTCATATCTCTGGCTAAAAAGAGTGTCAGATCCTAAATAGATTATTGATCTAGTGTACAAATCCAATAAAAAGCCTATTTTTTTGGCTTTTTTGGTGCTCATTTTTTCGAAGATCTACATGAATATGGGGAAACCATCGGATTTTTTTGGTTAACCCACATCTTCATGTAGTCTGGACTATCTTTCCTCGAAGGACCTCTTTACGGGTGTAAAAACTCATAAAGTTCTCAAAAGATTCATTCTCGATCTCCATGCTGAAAGAATTTACAATAAAAAAGAGATCTACGCATCAAACTACAGCCATAAATGAACTGAACCCCTAAAGCTCAGCTCTTAGTTTATCAAAAACGTCGAAATCCTTCTCATTGCAATCAAATTTTCTCAATAACTCATAAGAAAAATCGAATTTTGATTAAGCCGATGTTATAGGTATCACAAATACTACAAACTTGAGCAATATCGAAATTGCCAGCAAAAGTTTGAAATTGCATTGCTCATATTTGTTTTGTAAACTAAAAATCTGCTTATATTATTCATTAATTTTTTATATATTATTCATATACTTTAATAAAACAATACTATTTCACCTTAAAAATGAATTTCATAAGTCAATTATTATTTTTTTGAAAATGTATCAATTTTCGATTAAAACAACATGAGAATAAAATTTACGCAAAATTATTTTAAAAAATGGTTTTAAAAATTTACAATTGATTAGGAATAAGATTGCAAGAAGTTTTGAAGTTTAATTTTAAGAAAAAAAAATTCGGATATTATTCATGGATCTAAGTAATCTGATATTTGAGTATCGCACTATGCATAAAACATATATTTATAGTTTTTTTGGAGTTTTATGATTTTAAATATATTCATATTTGGCAATCCAATAGATTTTTAAAAAATAGGTAAATAAAAATAGATTACATATGCAGCAGATTTAGAACATGAAACAAATCTTATAGTGACCCAAAAAAAAATTCATGATCCAAAAAAGAAAAAAATTGGCTAAATGGGAATCAAACCTTGGCATAATAAATCAACATGTCGGATGTTTCCACTACAATACACCGGCAGTTCGAAAAATACCCTTGGTGGTTCTATTTAATAGCTACTCCCAACGATAGGCGGTGTCCCCAGCTTTCGAGAGGTGGTAAAAGTAAGGCAAATCTGGGTAATAATAGTAAAATTTTTTCGATCAACTGTTTAAGGTTAAAAATTAGGGCAATGTCAAGTTCAGAGCAACCAAAAAATGAAAATTGGTCCAGTTACAGTGACCTTAAGCCAATTAAAGTATTCGAATACCCAGATCAAGCATCAAAACTTATTTGGAGTGTCAATTCCAATAATATAATACAAATATCTTCGCAAATTATCGAATTAATAACAGCTCACAAAATATCTATCCAAATGTCCCTTTATTTGATTGATATTTTTTTCACAAATTCGTGTTAAAGAAATCAAATTATTTTCAGAACTTTATCAAAAGATATCAAACAAATTTTCATGCATCATAAAACCAGAAAATGAGAAATTAATGGTGATTCTACATTATAATGGCTTCAAATTCGAAGATTACAAACCTAAAATGAAAGAAGAAGAAATTCTGAATTTATATTCAACAAAATCTCCTTTATACTATATTGCATGGGATAAAGTTGATGATCTTAAGAGTAAATTCCCAAATCTTGATATTAATGAGCAAATTGATTATTATATCACACCACTTGACTGTGCAATTAAATATGGATCAGAATTGTGCTTCAATTACTTGAAAAATTTAGGAGCACAATACACCGATAACTCCGAAGAATATGCTGTTCAAGGCGGGAATAAAAATGTTTTTATGCAAATGATAGATGAAGGTAAATCATTTGATAACATGGTTAATATGGCATTGGATTATCGACACTTTGAAATTGCTGACTACCTTAAAACAAATTTTGAACAAACTCCAAATTCAATAGCAGAAAGTATGCATTTCGGAAATTATGATATTGTATCTTATTTACTTAATAATGGAGAAGATATTAACAAAATTTATAATCTCATTCTTTTCAAATTTATCATAGTTTTATAATATTCTCTTTCTTTTCATATTCATCATTGTTTTATATAATTCACTTTCTCTTAATATTTGTCATTTTTTGATAGAATTCTCTTTCTCTTAATATTTATCATTTTATGATAGAATTCTCTTTACTTTCATATTTATCATTGTTTTATGAAATTCTCTCTATATTAATGAATGCCCTCTTAGTATTGCTATCAATAAGAATTCAATAGAAATTGTCCAATTCCTAGTTGATCATGGTGCTGATGTTAACATGAAACTTATTCTCTTTCTTTTCATATTTATCATTGTTTTATAACATTATCTTTCTTTTCAAATTTATCATAGTTTTATCACATTCTCTTTATTTACATATTTATCATTGTTTGATAGAATTCTCTTTATTTTCATATTCATCATTGTTTTATATGATTCTTTTTCTCTTAATATTTATCATTGTTTTATAGCATTCTCTTTATTTTCATATTTATCAATGTTTTATGAAATTCTCTTTATTTTCATATTTATCAATGTTTTATGAAATTCTTTTTCTCTTCTTATTTATCATTATTTTATGTCAATCTCTTTATTTTCATATTCATCATTGTTTTATGAAATTCTCTTTACTTTCATATTTATCATTGTTTTATGAAATTCTCTCTATATTAATGAATGCCCTCTTAGTATTGCTATCAATAAGAATTCAATAGAAATTGTCCAATTCCTAGTTGATCATGGTGCTGATGTTAACATGAAACTTATTCTCTTTCTTTTCATATTTATCATTGTTTTATAACATTATCTTTCTTTTCAAATTTATCATAGTTTTATCACATTCTCTTTATTTACATATTTATCATTGTTTGATAGAATTCTCTTTATTTTCATATTCATCATTGTTTTATATGATTCTTTTTCTCTTAATATTTATCATTGTTTTATAGCATTCTCTTTATTTTCATATTTATCAATGTTTTATGAAATTCTCTTTATTTTCATATTTATCAATGTTTTATGAAATTCTTTTTCTCTTCTTATTTATCATTATTTTATGTCAATCTCTTTATTTTCATATTCATCATTGTTTTATGAAATTCTCTTTACTTTCATATTTATCATTGTTTTATGAAATTCTCTCTATATTAATGAATGCCCTCTTAGTATTGCTATCAATAAGAATTCAATAGAAATTGTCCAATTCCTAGTTGATCATGGTGCTGATGTTAACATGAAACTTATTCTCTTTCTTTTCATATTTATCATTGTTTTATAACATTATCTTTCTTTTCAAATTTATCATAGTTTTATCACATTCTCTTTATTTACATATTTATCATTATTTTATAGCATTCTCTTTATTTTCATATTTATCATTGTTTGATAAAATTCTTGTTATAGACCGAAAATAGATTTTTTCAGTTTTCTCTTCAAATAATTGAAAGAATGATACTATTATAGGTTTATTATATTATATAGCATATAATCATGCTATAGCCGAAAATTATAAGTTTTGAGAAGATTGAATATAACACAAATAAATTTGAATGTAAGTTAAATTGCTTGTTGTTTTTAATAGCTATTTAATGAGAAATCCAATATTGCAAAATTCAAATTGAATGATTGAAAGAACAGAAAAAGTCATTCTTTTCAATTTCGAATATGTTTCATTGTATTTATATTATATGGCAAATAAGATATTTAAACTTGATTTTTGAAGGAAAATTCACAAAATTGAATAAATTCAAATAATTTTTATTCAAAAATAAACTAGTTATTTGAGTTTAATACTAATTATCTATTCAAACTACAAAGTTTGTAATTTAAAATATTTTGTGAGATCAGATTGAATTAATTCAAGGTTCTTTTCAATTAATATTAATGACCATATTACGCATTTTCGAACATTCTAAACCAAATATATAAAAATGGGAGACGAATGTTAAATTTTCTAGACATAAAGAAGTTGTTTACCGAGTTTTAGCTCTTATCTCTAACAAAAAATTAATTTTTAAAAAAATGACCGAATACGTTTCACAGCGAGAAAAAAATAAAAGGCAAGATAGAATTTTCTAGACATAAAGAAGTTGTTTACCGAGTTTTAGCTCTTATCTCTAACAAAAAATTAATTTTTAAAAAAATGACCGAATACGTTTCACAGCGAGAAAAAAATAAAAGGCAAGATAGAATTTTCTAGACATAAAGAAGTTGTTTACCGAGTTTTAGCTCTTATCTCTAACAAAAAATTAATTTTTAAAAAAATGACCGAATACGTTTCACAGCGAGAAAAAAATAAAAGGCAAGATAGAATTTTCTAGACATAAAGAAGTTGTTTACCGAGTTTTAGCTCTTATCTCTAACAAAAAATTAATTTTTAAAAAAATGACCGAATACGTTTCACAGCGAGAAAAAAATAAAAGGCAAGATAGAATTTTCTAGACATAAAGAAGTTGTCTACCAAGTGTCAGCTGTTACTTCTTCTCAATACTGATATAAAATAAAAATCTTTATTATTTATTTAACCTTTATTGTTTCATTAAACTTCATTTATTTTATATTATAGTTTTATTCTTTTAGCTACTTGTAAAATAATCTAATTTTATATCATCATTTTACCGGATTATTCTTCAGTACATCGATTGTGTATCTAAAATAATATCATTATCCTTATTCTGTTTTTTCCAAAATTCTTTTAAATATCTTTTTTGGTTAGATTACTTTATACTTTTTACTTTTTTTTTTAATTTCAAAAAAAAATTTGGTGATTGTTCTATTCTGTTACAATGTGCATTATCATATTCTAATGAATTATTCATTACATACATTTAAAAAAACTTGTTAAAAATGAAATTAAAAAATTATGTTTATTATTACGCTGTGAATGTGTCAACAGCGGTCATGCCTGTATCTGTATCCCATATTTGCCACAACCTTTCTGTATCTGCATTTGTGTATTTCGGTTTCAGCTGATACATTTGATTTGGCGTGTAATTTGTTCCAGTTAATGGATTAATTGGGAGATCTTCATGCGGCGTGTGTTATTATTGTACTCCCAAATAAAGGCAGGAATAGCCTGAATGCTTTGGCAGCGCTCCAATGTCGGCCAGAATCTCTCAATCTTCCCATTTTGGTAGGGAGAATGAGAGTCTGTATGCCGCCATTGGACGCCCCAAAGATCAAGTAGATCTTGAAAGGCGCCCCTATTTTCTGAACCGTTGTCGGTCCAGAAACAATAAGGGGCGCCAAATTCAATGAAGGCGGAAGCCGCAACGTTCGCTGTCGTCGCTGCCAGCATATCTGGTATTTGTATACACGCTAGGACTTTGCGGCTAAAATCGTCGATTATGCCATAAATATACTGGCCACGAACACCCCTAAAATAATGAACATCTGCGTGCCAGATAAGATTGGGTGAAAGCGCCCAATATCTTACTGCTGTTTCTGGCCCGGCATGCTCTAATCGCGTCTTGGTGAAATGATTTTCTTTGAAGTATCTGCGTACTTCTCTATAAGATACATCAATTTGTTGTAATTTCAAACGTTTCCATTGTTTTGTTTGACCACAGGGAAAGGCCCAGTGGTCATGTATCACAGCAAGAGCTTTGATTTGGTCGTAGGGATTGACCCTACGACCTTTCTTGCCTTTAGGCAATGGGATATTCTGTAAGCTAAATTGATTTTGTAAAAAAGATTTTGAAACATCTAAATATTTGAAATCATTTGATTGAAGGGTTGGGGCGATGGGAACATGGGTGCAAGCTTCTTCCCATGTCATTTTACCTTCTTCAATCTGATTGGAAATACCAATTAGGTAAATTCGATCGACATACCCTTTGTAAGGATTCATTCTAATGAAGTACGTTAACAATCAAAATATTCTATAAGTGTCTAGTATGGAATTCAAAAGAATAAAGAAAATGGTAACGTAAATAAACGTATTATGAAATAATTTATAATTAAAATGAAAAAAAGAAAAAATAATAAGTAAAGTGACTGGAAATGAAAATGAAAATCAGTGTACAGTTTTATTTTTTTCTCGCTGTGAAACGTATTCGGTCATTTTTTTAAAAATTAATTTTTTGTTAGAGATAAGAGCTAAAACTCGGTAAACAACTTCTTTATGTCTAGAAAATTCTATCTTGCCTTTTATTTTTTTCTCGCTGTGAAACGTATTCGGTCATTTTTTTAAAAATTAATTTTTTGTTAGAGATAAGAGCTAAAACTCGGTAAACAACTTCTTTATGTCTAGAAAATTCTATCTTGCCTTTTATTTTTTTCTCGCTGTGAAACGTATTCGGTCATTTTTTTAAAAATTAATTTTTTGTTAGAGATAAGAGCTAAAACTCGGTAAACAACTTCTTTATGTCTAGAAAATTTAACATTCGTCTCCCATTTTTATATATTTGGTTTAGAATGTTCGAAAATGCGTAATATGGTCATTAATATTAATTGAAAAGAACCTTGAATTAATTCAATCTGATCTCACAAAATATTTTAAATTACAAACTTTGTAGTTTGAATAGATAATTAGTATTAAACTCAAATAACTAGTTTATTTTTGAATAAAAATTATTTGAATTTATTCAATTTTGTGAATTTTCCTTCAAAAATCAAGTTTAAATATCTTATTTGCCATATAAGTATAAATACAATGAAACATATTCGAAATTGAAAAGAATGACTTTTTCTGTTCTTTCAATCATTCAATTTGAATTTTGCAATATTGGATTTCTCATTAAATAGCTATTAAAAACAACAAGCAATTTAACTTACATTCAAATTTATTTGTGTTATATTCAATCTTCTCAAAACTTATAATTTTCGGCTATAGCATGATTATATGCTATATAATATAATAAACCTATAATAGTATTATTCTTTCAATTATTTGAAGAGAAAACCGAAAAAATCTATTTTCGGTCTATAACAGTTTGATAAAATTCTCTTTCTTTTCATATTTATCATTGTTTGATAGAATTCTCTTTATTTTCATATTTATCATTGTTTGATAGAATTCTCTTTATTTTCATATTCATCATTGTTTTATATAATTCACTTTCTCTTAATATTTGTCATTTTTTGATAGAATTCTCTTTCTCTTAATATTTATCATTTTATGATAGAATTCTCTTTACTTTCATATTTATCATTGTTTTATGAAATTCTCTCTATATTAATGAATGCCCTCTTAGTATTGCTATCAATAAGAATTCAATAGAAATTGTCCAATTCCTAGTTGATCATGGTGCTAAAAATGTCAAATAAATCTTTCAATTGATAGTAATTTTTTTTAATTTAATTTAATTTAAGGGTCCACGGTACATTTTCGATACTATTCAAAAATTGAATGCTAAAATGAGAATTATCGTTATCGTCTTCCTCATGAATCGATTTTTTTGAGCTTCTTGGTTAACGAAATCCAAAAATTATATTAAAAACAGCATATAAATATGATATCAAATCAGAATCTATAATTAGATATGGGCCTTGCCATATAAATTTTGAAGATTAACGATAGCCTTCACTTGGCCGGGCCGTGGACCCTTAAGGGTGCCGGAAAGTGAAGTGAAAGTTATTATAAAAATAACACTTTTCAAACACATTAAATCCTTTTTATTTTGATTTCTTTATATGGGTGTAAACCTTAAGTGATAATATATCAAAGTATCATATTTATACTAAGTAAAATCGATGTTTATGAATATAAGGTTATCAAAACACACAAAAATCATATAAAATTTTTAAAATCTGGGAGAGAAAAAGTGCATTTATCTCAACATATGAGAATTAAAAATAAAATTTGTTCTGTAAAAGTATAAAAAAATCTCGACTCTTAAAATCATCCCCCATTCATTTGATGATTCTTTACAAATGGGAGTATCCCATTTAAATATATATATATATATATACAATTCCACGTCAGTAAAGGACGAAATACATCGTTTTTAGGCAGGACGAAAATACCACTGATCAGAGCATAGTTTCGTTATTATTATATTGAGTTATATAATACCGATAATCTGATTATTAGAATCATCTAGTTTGAGCAAGATCAGATCTTGATTTTGTGCTTTTTATGACGAAGATGTGCTTTATAAGTTAATCTGTTTTATAATTCAAAAGATATCATGCAAAAAACTATGTAACTCATATAACATATTGCAATTTGTTATTATGTAGCTGTGCTTTGCAACACTTAGATTATCGATTGGTGAACTGTGGTAATGAAATAATAACTATAATTGATAAGAAATTTCTTAAACCTGAATTTTTTTAAACTCGAAATCATATTCTTTCCGTTTAACCTTTCAATTCACTCAAAATTTGAGAGACAAAAGTGAAGAATATGATTTCAAGTTTAGGAGTAGCTCGTGCATTTGTTTGTCTGCTGAAAGCAGTCTTGAAGTTTATGGTAAGCGAATGAATTTGATTTTATCCATATTGAGGATTTACTTTCCATAGTAATATGGAATATCGTCCTAAATATCATTGATCTATATTAAAAAAATTATAAACAATTGAGTTTGAAATAATAATTCATATATGTCAATGCTATCATATCACAAAATAGCAATATCTAAGAATTCATATTCATCCCGAAAACTAGTTTTTTTTACGTTATAAAAAAATGGTATATTACCCCTCCACTTACAAATGATGATTTGATCAGAAATTCATCAAAAGTGACACCTCAGAAAAGCTAAAATATTGAATTTTTGGAACTTTTGATAGAGCACGATTTTAAATATTAATTAAAGTAAATGTATATTTTGTAAAGATTCTTTTTAATAAAAAAATAAAATTTTGAAGAAGAACACAAAATCTTCTGAAAAATAATATCACATAAACTCATATTATTTTCTAATATATAACTATTTTATATAAAAATCAAATTCAATGATCTTAAAAGCGAAGAATAAACCTCAAAATTTACGAATATAATGAGTGGGAATAGGCGTAAAGCAAAAATTGATATTTCATATGGTTTTATGATAGATAAGCATTATATTTCCACTCATTATATTCGTAAATTTTGAGGTTTATTCTTCGCTTTTAAGATCATTGAATTTGATTTTTATATAAAATAGTTATATATTAGAAAATAATATGAGTTTATGTGATATTATTTTTCAGAAGATTTCATTCTATATGCCTATGAAAAGTACTCTCAAAACTAACTTTTTCCTAATTATAATTAAATCGAGAATATTGTATTATGCTTAGTATTATTTCATTTTTCTCATTCAATTTAGAATTTACAAATGTCAAAAAATTGAGAGCTGTCACTTTTGATGAATTTCTGTTTATTACAAAAAAAATTAATCAGATACTATTATTTTTAAAATTGTAAATTGAAAGGCCAGTCAAAAAAAATTCATCAGAAATATTAGTCAAAAATAATTGAATACATAACTTCATTACTGACCATTTTCTAATGGAACCCAAACTCGAAACTGAGGCAAATGAAGAGGTACTTAAACAATTAAAGGAACTATTTGATATGGTTGATAAAGATAATAGTGGTGCGATTGATTATCATGAGATGTGCTACTTTTTAAATGAACTTGGAATTAAAAGTCCTTCTTTCTTCTCGGTCCTCATTTGGTACATAACAGATAAAAATGGTGATGATTTGTTATCGTATGATGAATTCAAAGTTCTCGTTTTGAACTTACCAAAAATTGAGAAATTACCAGAATTTGTTGCAACTTTAGCATTTATCAAGCTGGACAAAGATCACTCAAATTCATTAGATCTTGATGAAATGACGAAATTATTCAATGATCTTAACAACCATATATCCAAAGAAGAAATCATTAAAATTTTCAATCATTTCGATAAGGATCACAGCGGAACAATTGATCTAAAGGAATTCAAGAGATTCATTAGAAGAATTGCTAAAACATAAGGTTTGGAAAAGAAGGCATAAAAATTTAAAAAAAAAATAATAATTTCTCATATCTACTAAAAAATATTCACTTATAAGAGTATATAGAATGCGTAAGTCTTATTTGAAGTTTGATGTAAATTTGAAAAACAAGAACTAAACACTATCATATTCCTCCATACATCCCACAGAGGCACTAAGGCCTTGTATTTATGATATTAATATCGCTTTATTTAATACTAAACTTCACTGTATGCAAAATCCATTAAAAAGCAATAAAATCCATGACATTAAAAAAAGTCATTCAATAAACATTAAAAAAAGATGCAGAATTTATGGCACGAATAAAAATAACATAGTAAATGAATGTTTTATTAAAATACTGGTTAAATAAATTGAGGAAAATATAAAAATTATAAAAATATGAGATATTAAAACGTTGTTGTGATAACAGCATTGTATTTTGATGTATCGCATTTTAATCATATAATAATTCAATTAACTCAATTTACTTTCCTTTAATATGAAAATAAAAGAATATTAATGTGAAGCCTGTGTAGCTCAACCGGATAGAGCATAAGACTCTTAATCTTGGGATTGCGGGTTCGAGTCCCACCACTGGCTTTTTTTTGAAATTTTCACCCAAGAATCTCCAATATGTTTTATTTATTAATTCATCATGGTACTTTAGTAGTATTTTCACTTGTGTTCTGGCAATTGTATCTTCATGTAATTTTTTATCGATAAAAAATCATTTTTCTTTGTTTCCTTTACCTAAATGAATAAATTATAATCAGCTTGCATAAATATTTTATTTGCGGTTTATTTACAAATTAAATTGAGCACAATTATTTTATTATAATTTAAAATAAGTTCATGGTCTTGATGTATCACGCATTTCTTTAACATTAACTATAAAGAATTTTTGTTGAGTTATTGAAAAAATGTTTATGAAAAAAATTAATTTATCTAAAGTCGCTATTAAATTTTTTAATAATTTTTTATATGAAAGCGGTTTTAAATTAGATTTTTCTGTTAACTTTTGAATGATTATTTTGGCGTGGATAATTTCCATATTAAAACGCACCCTCTCTAATATTTTGAAATAATTTTTCTCGAATAAAATTTTATTTGAATATTTATTTCTAAGCTCGGAATTTCCTATGCCAGTTGATTTTTCTATCATGGAAAACCAATCACTCGAATCTTTTCTCCCTGAAATTCAATCAAGAATCGTTAATCTAGTCCAACTTTTCGAATCTGATGAACATCCAATTGAACAGATTCACGAAGCCGTCACAGAAATAACTTTAGTTATCAACAATGCAATTTTGTCCACAGAGAGCAAGCATAAACAATATTTACTCACGGAAATTAAGTCACAAATTGAAAAGAATGTGGAAAGTTATTACGAAACATATGAAAAGGAACTGAATCGCGAGATAAATGAAGCATCCAGGAAGAAAGATAATACTCAGTACAATGATTTGTCATCATTCCTTAACAAAGATACACTTTTATATTTGTTTTAACTATTTCTTATGATTTTATCTTTGAAACCTTTCATTTTTGGATTATCTAAATAAAGTATTCATCCCTTTTATGTCATTCTAAATCTTTTTCAAAATCTTTTTTATAAAATTTAATAATATGATGTGGTCTTGGATATTTTAAGAAGATACATAATATTGACAATTAATAATAAATAAATACAAACAATTTTATTTCTACATGATGACAAATTTACAAATCCAAACGAGGCAAAGTGAAGCCTGGCATATCTTCTATTGGAAGCAAGTCTCCGACCTTTCTAGCAATCTCCCAATTCCTTGAATTCGGGTTCTCACTATTTGGATAAGCTCTTTCAAAGAGGGATTTTTTCAGAACTTCATCTCTTGCTTCAGAAACACCTTCAACGATTGATGGCGTCATTTTCACGAAGTTTGTCCAGGAAGATTTATCCCAACCCCATTTCCTAGAGTTCACAGCTATTTGAGCTTTCTCGTAAGGTGCAGCAATTCTTACTGCGTCTCTAATCATTCCTACTTTCATTCTACGCTCTTTCCCTCTGTAGTAATCGAGTGAAGGCCTTCTATTCACTTCCATGATCCATGGATCAAAGTTTTTGTCAAGTAAAATATCAAATCCTAAAATTTGAAAACATCTGGGGTATCCGAGGTTCGGACAGTACCATTTTTCGGCTTCTGAAAGTGTTTTGTGTGCAGCAATGATGGTTAAGACGATTGCATTGTCAATTCTTTGCCATAATTCTTTCATAGTAATTCCGTCGAGTTCAATCTGATGAGAAATGTCAGAAACAAGCTGAGAAACTTCGCTGATGTCTGCATTTGGATTTGCTTGGTTAATTGTAACATTACTTAGCTGACCAAATTTTGATTCGGTCGTAATTTCTTCTGAACAGAATCTGGCGAGTCCATTTCTGTAAACATATATTTCTAGGGGGTTTAGAGATGCAACTAAAACGTATAATCGCAAATCAAATTTTGTATTTCGAATTAGATAAGAGTTGATGTATTCTTGAACTACAGCAAGTGGGCAGTCTTCTTTAATCTCAATTTCGGATTTAGGTTTGATAATTATGATTCCGGATCCCTGAGATGAAGAATCCGGCTTGAATATGTATGCTTTATCGCCTTTTTCTACTGCTTTCTTGAATTCGTCGAATTGTGCTGGTAATATAAATGTTTTTGGCATAAATGTATAAATTGAAGGAATAAGTTTCTGCATTCGTTGAAGTAAATATGCAAAAGGAGCTTTCCTACAAAGAGCACTAACGCATGGTAATCTATTAACTATTTGCCATGGTGAAAGATGTGAAAAATAATCGCACTCTTTTAAAGAATCATGCCATATCAGTATAGCTGTCCCATCATTGTCTTCTGATGATACACCTATTTCTTGCATTGCTTCATAAACAGAGCGAAAGCAAGGCTGTTCATATCGAACACTAATATAAAGCATTATTCTTTTTTGAAGCATCATGATCATAACCTCACTTCTGTTTAGATAATCGAATACATAAATAGATAATTAAAAAGGTCACACTAAAACGAAAAGTGACGATTGAAACTATATTTTTCCCAATGGTGTTAGCAACTTATATTCTCTATGATAAATAGAAATTGAGGCTCTTCACCTTGGGTTTTAGTTAGAATAGTTTAGGGTAATACTATCAATAAGTTTATGACTTGTAAAACTAAAAAAAACTGAACAAATTAAACAATATAAATTCATGATCACTAAATAATATGTGATTACTACAAATCCCCTAAACTTACATATCAGTATGATTACACGTATTATAGACTCATAAATAAAGTTTAAATTTACAACTTTTTATTGTTATGATGAATTCCTTTGAAATTTATCATAATTAAAGCTATCACAGTAGCCTTGGATTAAAGAAATCCAAAGAAAAACTCATCAGTTTAAAAAGATTTTTTGAAATTTCAAAAATAAGTACTTTTCCTGATTTAACTTATAGCTCACATACAATTATTTTACGTGTAAAAACGAATTTGAAATAATATATGTCAAATTAACAGATTTGAGATTGAATCTATTCGCGATTACCTAAAATAAGTCAGAATTTCATTTGTGAGCTCCATTATATGTGATTTAAATAAAAGTTTTACTATTGTTTTTATATGACTTTAATTTTTTTGAAATTATAAATTAACAAAACGAATTTTATTTGAAGCATGAGGGAATACATTGCTATTTTTCATGTTTTATTGATAATTGAAAACTTACAAGCATGAGAAATATACATCCAAAAAATTAAACTTTAAATATTATAAGATGGCAAGATATAAATGAAATTTATCTAAAATTTGATAAAAATGATACTATTTCTAGTATTTAATTTCATCATTAATTAAGGAAAATCCTTTCAAAAAATGATTTTATTAACAAATATTCCAAAAAAAATTTGAAAATTTATTTTTTAGAATCAAAAATGTTAGATTTTATTTCATTTTCAGGATTTTGAAATTTTTTTGGAAATCTTCCAAAGCCTAATATTAAACATGGAGCTCACACTGAGGCCGTATTTACCATATTCAGGCTCAAATCCCTTTTATAAAATTATTTTCATAATTCTCACGAATCAAAGACTTTATTGTATAGGAGCATAGCATAAATCTTCAAAAATTACAAAAACTATCTTGAAAACGGATTTAGTACTTCTACACGCAATTTTCGTCACAAATGACTTAATCACAAATTAGCTTCCTCAATAACATCTCAATAAAATACGTATACATCAAAATTTATGATCATTTTTACACAATTTTATAAGATTAATACATATTTTACGCTAAATTTTGCATATTTTCCCGAATTGTAAGAATATAGAATAAACACCAAGTAACCACATGAAACTAAAAGAATCAGGTTAGACATTCTGACAGAATATATATCAAATATTTCAAATAGATATTTCTCTATACTCCTTTCATGTTATAATTAATACATAATGATTTTAACGCTACAGGTAATACAAAAATCATAAACATATCTTAAAAAAGGGATTGCCTTTACTCATTCTTTTAAATTCAACCCGAGGATATTTTTTTTACGTTTACTTGATTCGTTTAGAGAACTCGGAATAACTGATAAAAGGAAAATAAATCGGCTTGATATTTACAAAAATCTTTCGCATATCAATTGTTTTCGCTATTTTAAGCAAATTACAACTATTACCAACCTCAAAGCAAAAGCTAATACACTCCCACTCATAACATCATTGCTAACCAACTAAGTCACGATATTTCCCATTATTACAATTCAAACTTGCCTCGTTTCTAACAGATCGATCGAAAAAGAATGTGCCATTAGGGCTATTCATTTAAAAGCTCTTCGATCTTCCAAACAATGCTACTTTCAAATATCTTTTTGAAAGATCTTTTCGTATTTGTTTCCATAACACCTACACCAAAGATGTTATCAACATGATTTTCCTCTGAAGATCAACCCACTATCCTTTTTGTGATCATTTGGTAACAATTACAAGATTAGTCACTCTTCTTATCAATCAAACCGTCTAAAACCTCATCAAGAACAAGATTGAGAAGATCTTGCGCCACTTCAAGAAGATGAAGGACTAATTTGAAAAATTATCTTCCAACTTTGAGAATTAATTGGAGATCGGATGAAGAGAGAATTGTCAAACAATAAATTTTCGATAAATTGGATACAACTCTACCAGCAACGATTGAATTTATCAGATCTAATTTTTCCCGCATGATCAACATAGGAAATACGATGCTCAGACCAGTAAATTCAGATGACTAAGGTTATAAAAGTTCGTACTCAACAATTTTTTCCCTCTCACGTGAAATTCCTTCCTGAAGATGAATTCCCAAAAACAGTTCATTGTATCTTACTACTCAATGATGTAAAATTATGTAAAAATTTTAAATTTATATTCTCTATTTTATTACTCAAATCGTTAAATATTTTTCATAATAATCTTTCATTTATTTACTACAATGAAGAATGGAAATAAGTGACATTCTCGACTTCAAATGTGTAATTGGGATTACAAGAGTTTGGTCATCAATAACATTTATACAACGGTTGAACGATGAGGGATCCCTGATCGTGAAAGCATAATAAGATAAGATCTGAGATGATTATCGATATTAAGACAGTTCTCTAATGAATTACATTCTTGGAATGAGAATTCATAAACTGATGAAACGCACATTGGGAAGTTGATTGTTTTGAGATTTGTACAGTTGAAGAATGCATATCTATTGATCTGTCTGACTGTATTTGGATTGATAAAGACATCTTCGAGATTCCATGAACACATAAATGATGCTTCGCCAATTATTCTGCTTTTGATATCAATGTTCGTTTCTTTTGACATTGGTGCATGTGCAATGATGGTTTCATAACTGGTGTCATCTTCTAATCTGTATATTGTATCACTAACACATTTGTATTTTTCGGATGTGAAATCTGAAATGTATTGTAACTTTGGGCAGTTTCCAAACGCTGCTTCCGATATATATTCTATCTTAGAATTTTCAGGGAAGTAAACTGAAATAAGTTCTGAGCAATTGTAGAATGCATGATACTCGATTTGTTTGATGTTCTCATTAAAAGAAACAGCTTTAATACTCAAATTTTCAAATGCATGAGAAGCAATTTTCTCAATGGTATCCGGAATTTGAATGAATTCTTGGTACCCATAATAATCTAAAACAATTCTGTTTTGCGGATCAATTACTAAATTATCATTGAGCGTATATGGGATCTGAAAAATTGTAAATAAATCGAAAACACTCTTAGCATAGAACTTGAACCTTTTGTTAATTTTATATTCTAATCCAGTATACATAAATATCTGATTTTCAAGATGCACTTCTGATCCTTCTAAGATTAAACATAGCTTTAAATCACTAAAAGTTTGCTGAGGGAATCTAATATATTTTATGTTGCTGGGGATTGTATAATTTACAATCCAATTGCCATTCAGACCAACGGGGGTATCATTATTGAATATTAAAAATTCACTAGTATATAAAAATGATATTGCACAATATGATAATGCACCGCTTTCAACATTTTTGAATAAAGAAGGAATGATTAAAAATTTAATTGAACTTGATTGGAAGCAATTGGAATACAAAAGTGGTGTATAATTTCCTTCAATAAAAGTCACATTATTTAACGATGAAATATCTGAAAATGCATAATTTTGAATTGCATAATTTTGTGCTTGAAATTCAATATTTTTAATGTTTGTTTTTGAAAAAGAATATGAACCGATTGTTATTAAATTACAATTATTATCAAAAACTAGTTCGGTAAGATTAAGGCAATTAGCAAATGCATATGAAGAAATAACTTCAACAGATCTAGGAATTGATATATTCTCAATACCTGTTTCTGAGAATGAATACTCTCCAATAACTTTCAATTCACTATCTAGTGGAAATTCAACTTGAATTAGGAGTTTATATTTGAAGAATCTGTAATCAGGGATTTCATGAATTTGCTTGGGAATAAAAATTTTAGAAGAAATATTAGTATAAAATTCAATATTCGAGCAATTGCTATTCTGTGATAGATGTATATTTGTAGAATTGTCAAAAGCCTCTAATTCACAAAATTTTATAGAATCTGGAAGATAAACATCTTTGATACATGTATTTACAAATGAATACTTTTCTATTTTTGTGATTTGAGAAGATGCCGAAAATTCAACATCGTGTAGAAACGTGCAGTTTTCAAAGGAATGTGATTTAATAACAGAAACTTTAGACGGTATCGTAATTTTTGTCATCGTGCATCCACAATATGCATATTCACCAATAATTTCAACACTTTCATTGATGAAAATCTCTTCTTTTGCAGATGGAAATCTATAAACTTCTTTAAAATCTTTTGAATAAACTATATTATCCACAACATTCAAATATTCATTTTCTGCATCAATTTCAAAAATAATTTCCGTTGAATTGTATAATATAATTTGCGGAAAATATCTCAAATTGCTGGACATTGTAAATAGTGATAACGTTGTTTCTTTAAACGAATCAGTTCCGATATTTTCAAGCTGACTGTTTGCTTGAAATGAAATATTTCTCAAATTTTGGCATTTGTAAAATGCAAAATTGTTGATGGTTTTTACTGATGATGGTATGACAATTGATGATATGTTTGATTCTGAAAATGCATATTCTCCAATTTCGATCAATTGACTGCTTTCTGAAAATGTGATTAATGATAGATACTTGGATGAGAATGAATATTCCCCAATTTTTGTTACAGATGAGGGTATAATAATTGATTTGAATGAATGTTTATAAAATGCGTTATCTCCTATTATTTTAACTTGACAATTATCTGAAAAACTCAATGGAGGCTGGATATGGTAATCATAAGGTTTAATTGGAGAATCATTTTCTAGAATTTGAACGGAAGGAGGGATTAGAAGTTGCTCAATTTTTGTTTCACGAAATGCACTAGGACTAAATTTATATAATTGACTATTTGATGGAAATATTACAAATTCAAGATTCCTACAAGAGCTAAATGCCAAATCATGAATTTCTGTTACTGCGCACGGAAGGTTTAAATTGGAAATATTACAATTGCCAAATGCTGCATAATCGATGATATTCAAAAGAGACTCATTTTCAAACTCTAAATGAGATAAATTCTGACAGTTGGAAAAACTATATCGCCCAATTTTCACTATTTTAGCTGGTATTTTGATTGACATTATGTATGAATATTGAAATAAACCATTATTAATAATTGTTATTTTTGACTTATCTGGGACATGCCAGTTATTCATTTTTATGCAACTTGCAAATGCCTCATTTCCGATTTCAGTTAAATTGGAATCATTTTCAATTAAAACATTTTCTAAAGTTGAACTAAAAAATGCCCTCCGCTCAATGATCTCAACAGAATGAGGAATTGTTATAGAGCTCAATTGACAATAATAGAAAGCGCCCTCGGAAATTTTTAATAATTTAGAATTGCTTTGGAAAGTAATCATTTCAATTATTGAATCCCTGAATGCATAATAACTTATAATATTCACTGTTCTAGGAATTAAAATAGAATTTATTTTCGAATTTGAAAATGAAAAACTTCCAATTACAGAGACATTTGGAATGATGAGGGTTGGGACGCTGATGTAAGAAAAGGCATCTTTCGAAATTTCAATTAATCTTGTATTATTTAAAAATGTGATGTTATCTATCTTTAAATATCCAAAAGCTTTATATCCAATAAAATCAACGAAGGGAGGTATTTGAATTGATTTAATTAATGTTTTATAAAATGCATAATAACCAATATACTGGAGTTTTGAATTAGCTTCAAACGTGATTATTGATAAATTTGAAATGAAGAAAGATCCATTTCCTAAAATAATTAATGAGGATGGAATAGAAAATATTGATACATTTGTGGAAGTAAATGCATAATCAAGAATTTTCAAAAGCTGGCTATTATCGCTTAATTTTACATCTATTAATTTAATACATTTTGAAAAGGCATATGAACCAATAATTCTCACAGATGAAGGAATTTGAATTGAACTGATTGGTAATGATTCAAAAGAATGATCGCCAATCTCTTCTAATATACTATTTTCTGCAAAAGTTATTTCTGTTAATGAATTACATCTACTGAAAGCATATGAACCAATAATTCTCACAGATGAAGGAATTCGAATTGAACTGATTGGTAATGATTCAAAAGAATGATCGCCAATCTCTTCTAATATACTATTTTCTGCAAAAGTTATTTCTGTTAATGAATTGCATCTACTGAAAGCATATGAACCAATAATTCTCACAGATGAAGGAATTCGAATTGAACTGATTGGTAATGATTCAAAAGAATGATCGCCAATCTCTTCTAATATACTATTTTCTGCAAAAGTTATTTCTGTTAATGAATTGCATCTACTGAAAGCATATGAACCAATAATTCTCACAGATGAAGGAATTCGAATTGAACTGATTGGTAATGATTCAAAAGAATAATTACCTATTATTTCCAAGCAACTATTATCTTCAAATGTGATATTTTTCAATAAACTACATTTACTAAATGCAAAATGTCCGATAGATCTTACATTGTGTGGAATTTGAAAAGATTCAATAGGAGTTGATTCAAAAGAATTATCACCAATCATATCTAATTGAGAATTATCATTAAATGAAATATTTTTTAAAGAGTTAGGCATCTTGAAAGCAGATTGGCCAATTATTTTAAGAAAGGATGGAAAGACGATAGTTGAAATTTTGCAATTCTCGAATGCATTTTGAGATATTTCTAATATTTGAGAATCTATGGCAAAATTTAATATAGAAAGCTTTGATTCTAAAAAAGCAGAACTTCCAATTTTAGTTACATATTTTGGAATAGTAAAATTAGTAATATTCGTAAAAGAAAATGCAAACGACCCAATCTCATTGAGCTGACTATTTTCTTCAATTTCAATTTCTTTCAATGAACAATTGAAGAAGGCATAGTCATTAATTTTTATTACATTTTTTGGGATTAGTAATTTATCTATTAAACAATTACGAAATGAATCTTTTCTAATTTCATTTGTATGTTCTAGAATTAAGAAAAATAATTCAATATTATTTGTGTACCTGTATTGATAGATAGTTTGATTTCGATCTGTAATCAAGCAACCACTGTCAAAATATATGGGCGAATTTAAAGAAGAAATTTTGATTTGTACTTTGCTGGAGATATTAAAAGCATTCAAGCTGATATTCATCACATTTTTTGGGATATAAAACAATGCAATATTGCATAATAAGAATACTTCTTGTCCAATAAACTTTAAGTTACTATCTTCGTTAAAAATGACATATTTTAAATTTAAGCATCCATAAAATGCGCGATCATTGATTATCACAGTAGATTTTGGGATCTCAATTTTAAATAATTTACTTCCACTAAAAGCATTTTTTCCAATCACAATTAAATTGCTTTCTCCTTTAAAATTAATATTTGATAGATATGGAGCAAAAGAAAACGCATCATCATGAATGAATGTAATTTGCGATGGTATTTCAATTGATGGCATCATAAAATAAAATTGGTATATTTCTTTATAAACATCATTCTCTGGAAATCCAAGTAAATTACAAAATGAAAGAGAATGAGTCTTAATTGCTGATAACTTTTGTAATGAAGAAAGATTTAAATTAAGATTAAAACAATATGCAAACGAACCTTCATCAATAATTTCTAGTTGTGAATCATCAGGGAAAGTTATTTCTTGAATCACTGAGTAACAGAATGCTAATCTTCCAATCCTTTTAACTGATGAAGGAATCACTAATGTTTTAACTTTGGAACCAAAGAATGAAAAGTCTTGTATTTCTTCTATTTGAGATAATAAAATAACATCTATTTCATTTGAATTTGCCCCACAAAAAATTTTAAGATCAGATGAATAAAAACATTTGTTCACCATGCGAAAATTTTCATTTGCATTGTCAATAGACAAATCATTAAGAAATATGCAGCCATAAAATGCACTCATATCTATTTCTGTAACTTTCGCAGGTATTCGAAAAGATTCAAATTTACAACTTTTAAATAGTTCGCTGGAAATTTTTTTAAGATTGATATCGGATGGGAGCTGAACTTCTCGCAAATTACTACATCCACTGAATGCACTTTCGCCAAAACTTATTATTGAGCTTGGAAGTGCTAAAACATCAATTTTGGAATCAGAAAATGCACTATCTTTTATTAATTTTAGTTTACGACAAATACTCAAGTTCAGTCTTCTAATTTGACATTTTGAAAAAGCATCAAACTCAAATTCTTTTAATTCTTCATTGTCCTTAAATGCAGAGTCATTAATCTTTTTAAATGAGAAATATTATGGAATTTGACAGCTGTAATTTTAGAATCATAGTAAAAGTATCCTCTTGTATAGACAGATGATCCAATTATTTGACAATCATCATCTATTTCAACAACTCCTGAAGGTTTCTCATTCTGTGTCCGGTCCCAGAATACTCTGGTTAGGGTTTTCCCTTCATCAGTATCATTGTATTGATACTGATATATTTGTAAGATAGTAAAAATAATCATTGCAGATAGTATAATATATGCTTATATAAATAACTCTTTGGGTTTTCTAACCCAAAGATTTTTTCATTTTTGTATGTTTAAGATTCAAAATTTCATTTTAAAATTAAGGGTGCACCCGTATGTACGTTTATTTGAGAGGAGGAGGATTACCCTCTCAATTTTGAGGGATTCGTTAGTTTATTTTCTCGATGAATATGCAATAAAATTTGATTTTTACCTTATCAATATACTTCATATAATATACACATGTTCATGTAAAAACTTTTTTCCAAAATCCTCAGGAATTAAGGGATTTTTGAATTTTAAGAATTTTTTTCGAATTTTTTCGAAAAAAAATATTTTCAGAACAGCCTTAACGGCTAAGATTTAGGAACAATGTTAAGTATCAAAAAGAAAGGAGGTCTGATATAGACAACATATATCGTTGAAGGTTGAAAAAATCTCTAATATTTGAGCCCAAAATTTCAAATTTTAATTTTTTGAAAAAAGAGGCCACCCGTATGTACGTTTATTTGAGAGGAGGAGGATTATATTTTTGAAAGGGTGAAACATTATGAATATGTTAATTATATAATAATATGTATTATTATAAAAAGAAAAAATAAAGCACGTTAAAATTTTTCTTTCTTGATTTTTTACAAAATCTACTTAGAATTATGCAAAATATGACTAAATAATTATAAATTTCAAGTTAAATTTTAATTTTGATAAATAATTTAAATTTCAAAATATCAAGTTCAGTTCGACTATGTATGTAGTAATTCCTCAATAAAGTGCCAAAACCCTATTAAAATATATGAACATTTTCAACATTTTAATGTTTTTATTTAAAAATTTGATGGAATATGAGCTTCAAACAATTATTATGTAAATAAAAATAATTAAATATATGTATTTATTCGTATTACAACCGTAGTAAGTCGATTCTTCCTTTCTTCTACTGAGTTTTGAATTTGATTTCGAATTGTAAAGAGATTCAAAGGGAAAATACTAGCGGATAAAAACTACCTCCATGAAAGGGTCATAATGGAGTCAAGTTGTATTTTTTGATATTTTTTGCTTTTCGAGCCTAAATAGGTAGCCAAGATAATGCCTAAAAATAAGGTTCTAAATTCTGAAGTTTACATGATCCTCTCGTGTGCACCCTTAAGGTTTCACGTTCATATCGTCATTTCTGATCCGATTGAATTTTATTATATGAACAATGATGTTTATATGGCACAATTATTATTTTCTTCTAAAAATGAGCATGGTTTAAATAATTTAATTTGGATTCTTGTAAATTAGTCCCATTATATATATACATATATGTAGAATCCAAAAATATTTCATTGGGAAGCTTGTACTTTTGCAAAAAATTTAAATTGATTTTATATAATTTTTACATGTTATCCAAGTAACAATTCGAGACTTCAAAAAATAATGACAACCACTACCCAAAAATCACTACTAATAGGAAATCCTAAATATATATACCAAAACCAGAAATTGTTAAATTATTTGGAGTTTAAAATTTAAAAATGAATAGAGTGGAACCAAATGCACGATGTTCAGAATTTTGGAATAAGGAATGAATAACTTAAGTTAACTTAAAATTCTGCTATATATTATAAGATTATCAAAACATAGCATTTTCAATAAAATCCATGTGTTAGAATTATTTCATTTGCCCTTGCATTACCTCAAAGCTACGAAAATGAAAGCACTACGAATCACTAAAGCACTTTTATTTCAAAAAAATGGTTCCGCTGGGGCTCGAACCCAAGACCTTAGCGTTATCAGCACTACGCTCTACCTACTGAGCTACGAAACCTTACATTAACATTAATGAAAAATGATCTTATCATAAATTCTTCAATGAATCATCATATTCTTTCTATAATTGAAGTCATAGCTTTATAATTTATAAATTTCTCCACTGAAATCGAACTCGTTGATGAACATGAAATTCTTACCGCTTGTGTTTGCATCAATTTGAGTTATTACAAAACCAATGAATTTCTCTTTAGTTTCCAATTTGAATTCTTTTGTTTCTTTTGCATTTATTGGATTATTTTTCTGCTCATCCAACGTTATGAGTTTTCCATCAGCTGTTTTTCCTTCCAATTTCCACGATTGCATAACGTTTAATTTCGATTGATCTCTTGATTTGATTCGGTAAGAGGTTGGAATTATAGATCCTTCCTTCAAATCTGCAGTTATCCATGAGTTTGGAATATTGGCTGTAAAGAAATTTGAATTTTTTGAATCAGCTAAAGATTCTACAGGATCTGACAAAGATCCGGTAGAACTTGAACTATATTTTACATTGTGAGAGTAAACTAAGCTATTTACATAAATGCTTTTTGGAACTAAACTTGTTTCTAGCTTTTTATCAATAGCTTTTGTAATACATGAGAATGCAGTCTTTAACCTAGGCTCATCAATAAGAGTTTCGATAAAATTGACGTAATTCGAGAATGTTTCATTACTGCAAAAGTCCAAATATACATAATTAAATAATCTTAAAAATTCTAAGGAACGTTTCGATAAGCATATGAGAAGATTAGCTATCTGATCCTCATCATTTAACTTAAGAGCTTCTGACTTCAAAGAATATTCAAGTAAATCGATATTTTTCTCATAAAAACGAGCAAGTGTTGGTATTTCAAATTTCGAGAAATTTTCAATAATCAAATTCATTTCTTTCTGAGGAAATGATACTTTCTTATGAAGTTCGCAGAATTGAAAAACATTTTTTAAGTTAAGCTTGTCTCCACTAAAATTATCCAAGTATGGGATTGTTAATTCATCGATTCCTAAAGTGTCACCTATTGAATATAAGTCATAGCATGTATCATCATCAATTTCAAGGTTTAGAGTGCCATTTTTAAATAAAACACTAAGTAAATCGAGTGAACTCTGATTAATTAATTCGCATATAAAGCTAAATTTACGGCATGAATGATCTGTGAGATAAATTTGTTGAATTTTCTTGCATAAACTTATTGCAAGATGCATTGGAACTTCAAAAACAGCACTATTAATGTTTAAGATGCAATAATCATCATTTATATATGTAGCGAGTCGATAAAGTATTGGCGAAATTACTGATAATTTCATTGAAATTTTAAACTGATGCAAATTAGTTTTATTATCTAATCAATTAGAAAATGAACACATTCAAAATTTTCAGGCTTGGTGCATTAAATATTTTGATATTTTCAAATTTTTTATCCAAAAATGTCTCACTCTAGGGACATGAAGAATTCATACAGATTAGATACAGGATTTAATTAACAATCCTCTCTAGGTTGATGGTCGACAGCAGTTCTATCAAAATATTTTGAATAAAAATCTGTATTTTTGTTGATTTGTTTGCATGCACCAAGTTTACATATGCAATGTGATTTATAGTGAAACTCTTGTTTCATTTATTAATAAAATAAATTAGAAATCGATCATAATAATGTCATAATCCAATATTTATCAATAAAATTTGCTAACACCTGAGTTTCAAGTAAGATCATTAATTCCGCAATAAAAAATTATTCCGCATCAAAAATTCAAATAATTTTTTTGGATAAAATTTTTTGGGCGCCAAATTGAATGCGTTCTTCAGGAAAGTTGTTAAGAAGTTCGCGCCTTGGCAATAGTCCTCAAATTACTAAAGTCAAATCATCTCCTATACAGAAACTATTCAGCGATAAAACTAAAAAATCAAGTGATTATCAATCTGAAGAAATTAATTCGATGCAAGAAGTCAAAAAGCTGATTGACGAACTTGAAAAGATCATCCAAAAGGTCATTGGAGAAAACCAAGTCATTCCGCAAGTAAAATCAGAGCTAGAACCATCAATTAAAGCACTTCAAGATTCTTTTCCAGAGTTTTACAATGACATCGTTAATTATTATTCAACAGTAGGAGATGTTAGGAGACAAGCTATTACAAATCAGCTTGTAAGTACATTTTCTTGCAAAGATTCATTTACGTTATTTTCGACTTCATGGAATTCCATATCAAAAACCATCGATAAATACGCAGATGTGAATCCTCCGCCTCATATACAAGAAATAACTGTGAAATTCCGTAGTTTGAAGTCAACATTTGATTTTATTCAGACAATTAACGAGCGTCAAAAGAAGCCAAGTCAAATGGTTGAAAGTGGTGTACTTAGCATACAAACCAACTGCAATAATTTATACCAAAACATTTGTTCTTTGTTTAATTCACCAACTTTTCCTCATTTCGAAACTGATATGTGCACATCATTCAAAAATGACATCAAATTGTTTGTAAGTGTCATTTCTTCAGTTTTTGCAAACGATTTCGTTATAACGGATCATCCATCAACAGAAATTAACAAATTAAAGCTTGGCGCCATCGGATACTGCAACGATATGATATCTATATTATCAGCGAGCTTTTCATTTACAGATCAAATGAAGCAAGTTCAAGATATCAAAAATGAAATTAATAAATATCTTTCTCCAATTCTCCAAGAGATGTCTGGACCATTTTCCATTGTTAAACCACTTGTTCCGATCTCAAACAGGCCAAATCACATGGAATTCAACAATTCTAAACAAGAACAAGAACTAACAATGGCAGAAAGAGCAATAAACATGTATTCAAGGTTTGATGACTTTCTAAACAGAGTTTTACCATCATTAGTCAATGGTGTTAAGATGGATACTGAAATGGAAACAAATTTAGACACTCTTGAAGACGCAATAAAAGCTATGAAAGTAAATAATGAATTCTTGAACAGAAAATTAAATAATGCTAATAAAAACATCAAGAACTTAAAGGATTCTTTAGCTGAAGAGAAACAATTGCGTCAGAATAACATTGATTCAGCAGAAATGAGAATGAAAGCTCGTGATGAACAAATTATTCAAGAAAAATTAAAAATAAATGATTTGGAAAAAGTCATTCAAAAATTAGAAGAAGATAAATTAGAATACGAAAAGGAATTAGAAAGATTTAATGTTGTTGGTGACCCCACTTATTTAAGACGCATGTTATGTAGTGTTTTAGATGAATATCACATGAATTACGATTCATCTGATCCTGGTTTAAATGTTGCATTGAGAGAATTAATTCAGAAAATTCAAATTTGTCCGAACTGTCCAGGAAAAGACAAAACAATTAATGATTTAAGAAATCTGATTGATAAAGTTGTTCCTGATGGCCAAGGTTCGTATTCTGATAAATTATACTCTATCCCTGTAAAAATCAAAAGTTTAAACAATATCATCGAAAAACACAAAAAAGATGATGAACTTTTGAATGAAAAATTAAAGCAGGCGTACACGCAATTAACTAACAAGACAATAGAGAATATGAATAACAGTGATATAGCAAATGAATTACATAAAGCTGCTGCAAAGAAGAGACAAACTAAAATGGCTTTGTTAACAAAGAAAATGCCTTTTGCCGAAAAATTAACAGAAATTTGTCATAGAATTTCCGCAATTTTAGATGAAGATGCTGAATTAAGACTACAATTCTGTACGTCAACAGAGCATGATACACTGTTTGATCAGCTTGAAATGGTCTGCCATCAACAATTAAACGAAGTTGACCAAAAATTAAATAATATGAAACAAAAAATCGAAAAACAAGAAAAAGATTATCAACAACTATTTGATAAGTTTGCTAAATTCAAGAAGGATTTATCAGACGCATTTAAAGTTGAAGAAACTGATAGTATGATCCAATCTTGTGTAATGAAAGGTCATGAATGGAAACAGCCATATATTGATCAAAAAAATGTAGCAATGAGAGAACAAAAACACGCAGAAGTAAGAGTTTCTACTATCTACCAAAGAGTTACAGGAATTTTAAACATTAAGGGTGATAATTCACTATCATGCGAAGATAAATTCGATGCAATACAAGAGATGCTTGATACTTTACAGGATGATAATGAAAAACTTAAATACAAATATAAGAAAGAAAAAGAAGCTCATGATGATTTGAGATTAGCCATTGTAGATGTTTGTGATGAATATAGGATGATGACAAAGGTGGAGCTGATCGATCCTAAAGTGGCACCTGATAAAGATATTGTTTCTAACACTGCTGAAGTTTTAAGAAGAATCAATCCAAGATCAAATTAATTTTTATGTTATTTTTGTTTGAAAATAAAGATTTAAAAGTTCTAAAATCACCTAATATTTTATTGTGAACTTTAGATATATCTATTAAAATTATATTGTTTTGAAATTTATTGAGATGTTATTATTCATTTGAGATTATGTTTAATTAGATCATTTTGAATACAATCATACATGTATTGTCTTCATTTTATATTATGGCACTTCAAAAATTATATGCTCGTTTTTACCCACCAGCATTATATGCTGAAGTGCTTGATAGCAATGGAAGATTGACAAAACGCAATTTAAATATCCCAGAACTCACTCTATTAACAGATATTCCTGCATTAGCTGTTGAAATCATGACTCATAATGATGATTTTAATTCCCATAACGAACCACAGATCAAAAAAGCTTTGAAAGAACTTACAGCTGCTCAATTTCTCGAATATAGTAATTATAGCAATCCAAAAACTTTCAAAACACACGTTATGCCTATAATCGGATCAAAGTTTAATAAAGACGGACAGATATTTATGACATATTCTTATGATAGATCAGCAAAAATCTGGGATTCAGAAAAAGGACAAATGATTTGCGCTTTAAACGGCCATACAAACGCAGTTTCCGATTGTTGCTTTAATAATCCAGTAGGAGATCTCGCAGCAACATCATCTTACGATCGAACTTGTCGAATTTGGGATCTTCAAAATGCAAAGTGTATTTATTTACTCACAGGCCATACAAAAGAAGTTATTACAATCAAATTTGATCCGACTTCCAAATACGTCATGTCAGGATCCTTTGATTCTTCCTGTATTTTGTATGATGTCGAAACAGGAGCTACTATTCATACATTTGATGAGCATGCCGGCGAAATACAGTGCCTAGAATTTTGTAATACAGAGCCATTATTCATTTCTGGCTCTGCAGATAACACTGCAAGATTATGGGACATCAGATCCGGAGAATGCGTTTTTACTTTACGTGGACACAAAGCAGAGATATCAAATGTGCACTTTGATATACAAGGAAAGCATATCTTCACAAGTTCTCTTGATTCAAGTATGAGAGTTTGGGATATCAGACAATCGTTGGCTCAATACATAATGAAAGGTCATGAAGGCCCTATAATTGATACAAACGTTTCGGTTGATGGTAAAAAAGTTGCAACTGCATCAAGTGACAAAACTGCAAAGATTTGGAATGTTGAAACAGGCGAACTAATAGGAACATGTGTAGGACATGCAGCAGAAGTAGGAAATGTAAGATTTACTCCTCAAGGATTCAAATTAATTACAACAAGTGATGATACAACGGCAAGAGTATGGAACGCAGAGACATGTGAGCTAGAAGAGTTATTAAGATCTCATACTGATATCATTTTAACTCTGGATATGAATTATATGGGTGATAAGATTTTAACAACGTCAAAAGACAATACAGTGAAGATTTGGAACGCAAAAGAGAAGAAGCAAAGACATGAAAATATATTAGCTGCTTAATTATTGTTACTTATAATAAAAATGTTTGTTTTATTTTTAATTTGATTATTTATTATGTTTCTATACCATAGAATGCAATATTTCGTCAAATATATATCTTTATTCTAGTATACTGTGTGATCTAGCTTTCAGTTTTGGATTAGAATTCAGTTATTGAGTAAAAACTTGATGCAACTGTGAAAAAGTAGTGCGAAATTTGGATGTTTAAGCGAATATTTAAGTTTAAATCTTCTAAAATGAATTATTCATATCAGATACCAAAGAAATTATTTAAATAATTGTAATTTGATAGAAATGTTACTGGAGAAAATGTTAATTGGACTTCAGGGATTTTAGATTTTGAATCAGGGGAAGCAGTAATTATCAAGAAAATTTTGAATAGAAATAAATACGTTAATTCGCAATGTTTGGGCGAGTTCTCTCTCCTTCAACTCAAACTACATATAATGCGGATTATAACCGCAAGCCAATTAATCGCGTACGTGGCATAAATCTTTCTACAAAAGTAACAACAGGAAATCATTACTCAGCAACTCCACAGACTTTATATCAATCGGATACAGCCTCTCCAGCAGAACTTCGCACAACTCTCAGACAGTATACACGCCCACCAAACGCCAAGCAAGAATTATATAAGCTTCCACCAGCCTACGATAGCACTGTAAGACCAGATCTCGTTACTAATACTCCAAATACAGATTATCAACACTGCTTCGGCCAATGCGGTCAGAAGGCTGATGTCAAGCATTTGGCATGGACACCACGTCATTTGAGCAAGCAAACCCAAGCAGAATGTCTTGGAACAACCAAAAAGACATACCACCCACCAGGTTACGAAGGCTATATTCCATATGATGGCGTCCATAACCGCGGTAAGAAAGTTCATGAAGATCGTACACTTATTGATTATACTTGGCAATATCATACACATACTACAGGATATGGTGGTTACACACCATTTGTCGGTATGGATAGTGATCTCTCTAATGTCAAGAAGACACCAACAACTTACCGTGATCTCTGTGCTGCTGTTAAATGGGACAAATAAGCTCCAAATTACGCTATATTTTAAATATTCGCTTTTAAAGATCTGAACGATCTTTTTATATCATTTAATATTGATTATATAGAACTAACGTTCATTTTTAAAAAGATTATTTTAAAAATTTTATAATGCAAATGCAACAAAGATTACCTTTTAGGGCAAATGTTCGAAGCCACCCTAATGTGTTTGGATATATTTCCAAATAAGATATAAATTTTCATGTTTTTATCATAAAATAAACATCTTGCCTCAGAATCATGAGTTAATTGGATGATTCTAACCGCTTCGGAGCTAACGAAAAATCATAATTCATTAAGTTTTCTTCTCATGGCGGTAATGGATTATCAGCAAGTTTATGAATCAATCAAAAATGATGACGATTCTATCAAAGATCTAGTAGGAAAAGATCATGCTAATGATTGTTTTCCAGAAGGACTCGATTTTCTTCCAACAATGTTAAAATACTCGCCGCCATTAATATCTATTGCAGCTTATCATGGGTCAATTAATGCATACAAATACTTTTTATCAATAGGTTCCAATATTACAGAGTTAGACTGCTTCAGCACTCCAATTTCCTACTTCTCTATAGTTGGAGGCAATAAAGAAATAATGGAAGACTTATTTACTAAAGAAATTGACTTCAGTGGATCGGTTTTTGTCGCAATTGAAAATGGCAATTTAGATTCGTTAATTTGGTTGAAAGAGAAGAATCTTATAACCAAGCATGAACAAGATATGAGAGGATATTCTATTGGATTATACGCAATTCTCACAAAAAATCCTCAATTAATAGATTTCTGCTTCAAGCAGTTAAATGAGATCCCAAGAGTCAATGCAACTGGTAACAACATACTCATATATCTATTAAAAGGAGGTTTTAAAGATGCTGTAAAAGAAGTTGTGAAAAAATATCCTACATTAGCTACAACTCCTGGAAAAAATGGAATAACCCCAGTCAGACTTGCACAAATGAAAAAATACAATGATTTAGAAGAGATTCTTTGCCAGAAAACAAATACAAAATACCAAACACCAAAGAAAAAGGAAAAAACAGAAAAAGAAGAAACAGAAGAAACTGAAAACAAAGATCCAAAGTCAGTATGCTGTTTATTGGTCTGAAAAAACAATTATTCTATTCAATCATAGTTTCAGATAATTGAATTAGCAAAGTCCAATTAAAAGTCAAAACATTGGTTTAATCTGATGTTCTTGACGATGACTTCCAATGTTAAATAGTTGCTTTGAAATTGAGTCGAATATTTAAGTATATATCTTATGATTTGATAATGAATGGAATATTATACTTAAATAAATACCGCATTACCGAGTTTTGGCCTCATATAACTATAATCAGATATATTTTCTGATGAAAATCGGTGTTCAGCGTCCATTAGCTTGTTGTTATAAAACCAATTCCATGTTTGTAAATAAACAACTTATATTTTTATGACAAAAAGGAGTTTCCGAAAGATTTGAAATCGATAAACTTTACTTTGGAATAAAATCATTTATCTATGCAGCATAGATTGATAAAATAACTTTCCGTAAATGCCAAGTCAAGAATAATTTCAGAAGTATTTTCCAAATAAAAGTGACAATTATTTCATGTTTTCATATCTTCTCAGTTTATCCCTTTCATATTTCATACCACCAGAGATAGGGACAACAATAGCTCTTCATTCAATTCCATTAGAAGATGCTTTTGCTTTATCTAAAAATTATTCCATTGTTGTCGGCCTTGTTTTACCTAAAAACAGCTCTGAATTAGCTACAGAATTCTCAGCATTCTCAACACTCTACAACAACAGTGTTTATTTCACAATGTTAAAAGCAAAATCTGTCAGAAGGAAATTAGGAACATCAACGCCAGCAAAAGCTATTTTAGTTATAATTAAGAACGAAACAATTGTAGAGTACTGCGGAAATATTGATTCAAACAGATATCTCGCTTATATGATCGAAGAATTCTTAGAACCAAAGCATACCCTTATCATAGATCAAGATAGCTTACAATCGGAGATCGGAAAAGGCAAAATGACCATATTAACAACAGGTTATAACAGAAAAATTGCCCATCAAGTTTGGCATTCATTAGTACGATCATACGGACCAGTATCTCTTGAATTTATGACAGACGATGTAGCCCGCGGCATCGGAATTTCTCCACAAGACTTTGCTTATTACAGAATTTCCGATTATGAGCTTGATGCCGTCAAAATGGGATCGGATATCGCTAAAAAGTCCGATTCACAAAAAGTAGACTACGTTAAAAACCAAATTCTTAACGCTCTTCGTAATCCAACATATAAAACCCTTACAATGCGAGAAATCGTACATTCTGACAAGCCAATAGTTACATTCCTTGTCCAGCGTGCTACAGAAGATCACTTAGCCTTCTTAAACGAGCTCGGAAAGTATTTCAGAGATTTCGAGTTCGGAATTCTTGATCTAAACGCTTTTGGCGAAGTCTATGGCTTTGTTGAAGGCGATAAAACACACGACAACATCGCAATCTTCAGTATCAAGCACCAATACACATATAATCTTTCGAAATTCTACAAGACCGTTCCAGTTGATAACTTTAGTGTATCAACATGGATACAACCATTTGTCAACTTCATTTCGGAGATTAGAAACAACAAACTCCAGCCAAACTACAAATCAGAAAATGAAAACGAAATTGATCCAGAAAAAATATTTGTTAAGCTCTATTCGACCAACTACCATGAATATCTCAACAACAACACCGATATCGATGTTGTTATGCTCTATGTCAGGAAGAATTGCAAAGCTTGTTCACTTGGATTCAGACAACTGAAGCAGTTCATCGAAATGAACGAAATGGCGAACATTACGTCTGTTAAATTCGCTTTTATTGATGTATCCCGTAATGGCGTCAAAGGCGGATATCCACAGCGTTATGTAGATCCACATTTCGTTCTTTTCCCAAAGGGAAGAAAGAACAATGAAAATCCAGTTCCGATGTTTGGAATCCACACATTTGAAGACTTCTTCCAGATATTGCCAATTTACGCAACAAACTTCACAATGTACGGAAAGCCGAAATACCCTGGAGATAAGACTTACAACGAAATAGAGGACGCACTGAACTATTCGTTCACGAAAGTTCCTTTCCACACACATTTAGCTGCAAAGAAGTCTTTGAAGACAATGTTGGATTTGAAAGTTGTCAACGAAACAAAAGCTAATTAACTAATATTTTTTTAACTTCTTTTTTTGATATTAAAAACTTTACATAATATGATTTATTATTTAGTTTTTTTTTACTATATAAAGCAATGGTAATATTTTTTTTCTTCGAATGATAAGATATAGCTTCTAATTAGGTGCAAAAGCATCTAAATAACAAGAGATAAGTAAATAATATAAAGAAATTACATCCAAAAATAAAAGAATTAGTGACTATACGCATTACTTTATGGATAATTTTCAATTTCTTGAAGTAATAATTGAATAAACTGCAGAGAGCAGATAAGAAGAGTTCAAATACAACCAAATACTAACTTGAGATTACATAAAATATAAAGAAACGCTTCCTGGATCAATAGATGTGTGGTCACCTGAAATCACTGTCTATTTAACTAAAGAAATTGTTTATGAAAAACTTTTATCTGCCGTGGCTTTGGGACCTACTTTTACTACGATGAAAATATGTTTGTCAGAGATCCTTCCAGCCTCAAACAACAATTAAAAAATAGACCTGACACACAGACTCACAAAAAAAAAGATTTAATAGAAAAATATGGGAAATTAATTGTACCTGAAGAAATTGGAAGTTATAACCAGGATCATAGGAAATAAGAGAAGATTAATTACTGTGCAATGCAATTTGAAGCAATTTTGTCAATGTAATCGGGATATAAGTAGATTATCTTTTTTTTTTAATGTTGAAACATATTGAACAGGATAGATTATTCTATTAATAGATAAAATGTTTTATATGCAACTACAATCTATTAACGCAACTATTGCATTTGTTTTTCCTTCTTTTCTTGCCAGACCAAGTGGTGTTAAGTGTTCAGAATCTTTTACATTCTTTCGAATGAATTTTTGATTACAAAGGAAAGTGCAAAGCCTACCATGGTTTCCAAGGGCAGCAATATGAAGAGGAGTTCTTTTTGATGATTTAGTAGTTGCATTTATGTCGATAAATTGAAGCGCGAATTCATCTCCTTCTTTTGAACCTCTGTGACAGAAATAATGAAGAATTGTAATATCTTCATCGTTCTTGGAACATGGATCTGCACCGCATTCTTGTAGCATAGTAACAAGCTTAAGATTTCCTTTATATGCAGCATAAAGAATGCAATTTGTTTCCTGATCATGTGTTATTCGCCAGCTATTGTTTTTTACAATTTCTTCAATAGTTTTTTTATCATTATCTGCTGCAGCTTTTTCCAAATCCTGATATACTTGTTTAAATATTTGTGACGAATCGAAATTCCTAGATTGAGCTGAATGACTTCTTGATGAATCATGTAATATATCATCAACATGGAAATCACCTGTGAATTTTGGTAGCATATCTTTTAAGGGTTTTATTTCCAAAATTTCTGAAATGCATTTTATAACAGTATAGTTATCTTTATCTTTTTTGAAATCAACATTGGAACATTTTAACATGGAAATGATGTCGTTTTGGTCAAAATATTCTTTAACAATGTTAAAAATTCTTGCAAATTGTTTTGCAGAAAGGTGAGCAAGCTTTAAAATTTCGCACATTTGGTGTGCTTGTCTAATCTTAATAAAATCCTCGCTGATAATATTTTCTATATTGCTTGCATAATACTGATAATCGATCTGCATTAAAAAATTTTAGTTTACGACTTTTAATTGAAAAATAAAAATCAATGGAAATGACTTGATGTTTAAAATTTTTGACAATAATTTGGACTGTGGTGTAATCGGTGTTATAAAATAAAAAAAGTTTTCCGATACGGGGAGTCGAACCCCGATCCTGTGGATGAAAACCACATATCCTAACCGCTGAACGATATCGGATTTACATTTTTCATATTTATATTTTTACTATGATAAAAATTTCAAACTTTTATTTCAAAAATTTGCTAATTTGATATTTTCTCACATTTAATGGAATTGAACACTAAGAATAAAGATGTTGCAGATAAAAGCCTTTTAGTAACTGCATTTATATACGACATTTATTCATATTTTCATATTTATTCAAATATCTATATTTATTTCTCTCATATCTTAAATACTAAGATAATCTAGCAATTCTTGTTAATATATTGGTAATATGATGTAATGGCTCCAACATATAAAAGAATAATCAAAATGATGAAAAAATCATCCTTCTCTAATCAATATATTGAACTCTGCTAATTACTAGAAGAAGCACATAGACTCAGTGTTAATTTTATTCACGTATTGGCTCTGATGTAATGTGCTCAATGTAAAGATACATCCAAATTCGTTAGAAAAAAAAATATTTTTTGTAACAAAAATGATTTCATCACCTAGAAGAATAATGCCTCCATCTGTACAAGCTCCACGCCAATTTCGAAGTAGTGGAAGAGCTCCTTATGTCAGAAATCATACAGATCCAAACTACGAAGATCCCTACGATTTATGGCAGCAAAAACAAACTTTAATTAATGAGATGAGAGCTATTCGCGCAGAGATATCGCAACTCAACGTCGAATACCAAGATATTTCACAATATTGTAAAGATGTTATGGAAGAAACCATTTCAAATTCAAGAGAATATACAGATAAAGATCGTGATGACATGAAAGATTTTGCAGAAAAGTCACAAAAGAGAGAAACGCTTCAGAATCAGGTTCAAGAATTAGAGACACAGATTCAATTTTTCAAATCCTTTTTCTCTGATGATAATTTAGAAAAACTCAAAACAGAACTCGAAGACCAAACACTGGAAATGCATACTCTTACAGAATATTTAGAATCGTTGACTGCAGACAGAGAATTAATTTTATCTGAACTAGAAAGCAGTTCTCTCGAACAAAGAATACAAGATAATGAAAAACTCAAGTCTTTACAAAAACACTACAAACAAGAAATCAAACAACTAAAACTCGAAGCAAAAGAATTAGTTGAAGCTGTGAAACTTGTACAGAAGAGCGATCCTATTGAAGCAAATCAGCGTGAAGTAGAGAGATTAAAAGCAGAGCTTACAAGATACCAAAATATTCATATTCGTGAAAAAAGATTTTATCAAATGACAAAAAAGAGAAACAGACCAATCTTCTTGACAGAAGAAGAACTTAAGCCAAAGACAAAGAAACAGAGTCCAAAGAAAGTCGAAAATCAAGACCAAAACGCTGGAGAAGACACTTTGTTCGAAAATACTCAATCTCAGTACACAAAAGCTCCTGAAGATGTTGATGAAAATAATTCACCAGAAGAAATCCCAAATCAAAAAGAAAACAACGATAATCAAGATAATTCTCAAGAAAATTTAGAAAATAATGAAGAACATCCAACAGAAAACACTGAAAATAATGGTGAAGAGCAAAATAATGAAAATTCCGAACAAAAAGAAAATTCAGATGGAAATCAAGAAGGAAAATCCAACGAACACCAGCCACAAGATTCGAATCAAGAAGAATCACAAGAAAATGGAAGTCCGTTGGGTCTCTCGGCCGAATTCCAACAAAAACTCGAAACAATGTCACAAAATAGTGCAGGCAGTTCAAACAGTGAGCAACTTCGTCATATGCAGAACCATCCAGATAATTGGGAGTGATCATTTGCTTCTTTATGAATTTTTTTAGAAATAATTTTTGCGAAATTATTGTTTTTGTTTATTAATGTTAATAAAATGTATTGAAATACTCTTTCCTGATATAATATTACTATTTTTATCTATGTTATTTTTATCAGTAAGATTCATCTCAAAATTATTCAATAAAATGCATAGTTATGCTTCACAAAATGAAAAATGTGCTTAAATTTTATATTTATTTTAAATGTATTTTGAATTTCAAAAATTTCATTTTGATTGAGGAAAGTAATATCAAAAATTAAGTAAAAAATAGATATGTTATATTTAAATTTTCGTTTATTTCTAGTTTACAAATAAATCTATATGATAAAACAAATTTCAATACATATCGAAGTTGTATTGGCCGTTGAAAGCAGAAGAGTTCGGTTGTATGATAGACTCTGTGTCCGTAGGTTCCTTTCTCTCTGCTCTCTTCCTCATTCCGTACTCGAAAAGCCTTTTTCCGAAAACTCCGAGGAAAACTACGCCGATTAATATGGCCAATACGATCAAAGTTCTCTTCCACTGCAAGTAAAATGCGACAACTCCTGAGTCTGTATTGACATCGTTGCCCCAGCATTGATATGTTTGGATAAACTCGCAATTGAGGGTTGGATATGCATGTCTAGCTGTAGAGTTTGTACTATTTATGTATGTGGCATTTAGATTTTGTGAAAATGAAGCAGGAAGTGTGAAATTTGGAATTCCATCGAAAAATGAGTTCGTAAATATGACATAACAGTCTGTAGCCAAGCCCATATGCAATCCATCCTTATAGGTATTATCAACAAACACGAAATTCGATAAAATACATTTAATTTGGATGTAAAGAACTTTTCCTCCGACTGTGTTGTTGAATACGTTGAAATGCGAGATGGATGAGAGACTATTATCACTAATCTTTGCAAATGTTATCAATGTATCCACTTGACAGCTTGCTACGTTGGAAAATTTTATTGAATTGTATTTTAACAACTGTAAGTAAGGATATGCGTAGACTCCTGCAAGGTAATTAAATGAAGAATTGCATTCTATGTAATTTAGAGTGAAATATTGAAAAGCAGCTGTATAATCTCTACCATATAACTTCGAAAATGGACAATTGAAGAAAGAAGTAAAGTTTGCGTCCATCATTTGTCCTTTATTGAGAGCTGAATCGCCTCTTGCCTTGATTGAAGCGTAATCTCCGCCAGATGAGCAATTATGGAAACAATTGCCAATACTAACGATATTTCTGGCTCTTAAACTAGCTGCTCCGCAAGCTTTATCACTGGAACACTTGAAAAATCCTGTATTTTTGAGTATAATCGAGCCATTTCCGCAATCTATACTTACAGCACCTCCTTCTTGGTTAAGAGTTTTAAGTCTATAGAACAGACAGTCAATAATCGAAAATGCTGTTATACCGTCAGCGCTTAATCTATTATATCTTGTTGCGTTAATTATACTCACTTCATTGACACGAATAGCAGTATTTAAACTATTAGTGAACTTTGACTTGTATATGTGAGCATTCATTTGATGATTTGAGTAAATGAAATTCGAAAAAAGTTTCGAAGCGTGGATTTGTGAAAATTTGAGATTGGTGTTTTGATATGTGGATGTATATGAGAAGATTGGACTCAGACTATTGGAAGAAATATGTAACGCAAGTATTGTTGAGTTCATCGAAATGAAAAAAGTGACAAAATCATATTTGATAGAATCAGAGTTCTACAATTCAATGTTTGTTTGCATTTCTATGTATTTCATTTTGAAAAAGAAGTAGAAATATCTTGATTTCGCAACAAAAATCCATAAAAAATTAAATAAAATTAAAGAATTCAATATGAAATAGCATTACTAAGTATTGTATAACAATATCACCTTTGAGTTTTTATCTTCTGTTCGTTGTTTTTGGAATAAAATAGCATATTAATATGATTTATATCTAATTGAATCTTTTGGCATATATTGTAGATCAAATTATGGAATAGTGAACTATTGATTTAATCTCATGATATCAATTTTGCTCAATATTATAAAACTCAATTTTTCTTCATAATTTTACGTATCAGAATGAGTCAGAAATGAAAGAAATGTGTCTCTTATCTCAGATCATTGAATACAACTTTTCCTTAACTGATAATATAGATGATTTGAAATCAAATTGAATTCTGCAGATCCCAATAAAGCGAGCATTATACTCGTTTGCTCTCTTATAAGTAGTACAATTGAACTGTAACTTTCGAAGAGATAATTCAGTAAGTTGATTGACTTTCGATTTTATCAAACTCTTTAATCATTATTCTTAATATTCAAAAATGATTCCTCATGTTTGGTTTAATCTTGATAAGATTAAAAATCGATACATTATTGTTTCATAATTTGTCCAGAAAGTAAAACTGACGCAAATTGAATCTCATATTATTTTTCTATATCGCGTGCCAAAGGTGGTTACGTATTTCAAATGAATGACTGATCTTTATTTTACATCATTCCATAGAAAAAGGGGTGAAGAAAAAAAAAATTATTTTAAATGGCGGAAGAAGACGACAGCCCAGAAGCCTGCTTACCAATGATGGAAAATTTGGCGAGCGACAATGCTAAGGTAGAAGATTTCCTCAGAGGACCAAATGCTTTTGGTGTTTTCATGTTAAGAAATGGCACTATTATCAGATACCTTAAGAAGCATGTCAAGCAACTCTTTAAATTAGCTATGGCCGAATCTGGTGATGAAGCTAACATGAATGCTTACAGAATTCTCGCCGCTGAAAATAATCCATTATTGCAAGATATTGTCAACGAGAAGCTTCTTGTTAAGAACTACAGTAGTGTTTTCGAGACGAAGGAACCAAAGGTTGCGCTTATCGGTCGTTATACAGTTATCTTTACTTCAGTTTGTTCTGCCGAAGTAAATATGAGTGAAGATCAATGCCAGCTCTATCGTAAGCTCATCGAACGTGTTGAATGCCTTCCTATCTACAATCTCTATGAAAATCTTTTCACAAACGAAAACGGCTACGGAAATACTAGACTTTACATGCTGAAGATGCACTTAGAAAAGATACTTCCTGAGCTGATACAAGATGTTGATACGACCAAGATTAACTTCAACGATCCAAATGACCCACTTACTAACAAACTTTGTGCATGGTACGATTTCATCAAATGGGGATGCGCCCACGAGTGGTTTTCAAGGCACTTCAATAACAAAGACTCTATTTACGAGGTCCTTAGCGATGAAAGAAAGGTCCCAGTCAGAGTTACGAATTCGAGATGGGGAGCCATCGAAAATTACATTGATAAATCAAATCCTGAGGTCTGCGTACTCTTCTTATTCAAGGCCCGTGCTCGGATTATCGAGGATCATGATAATGTCCAGCCATATATGATTTCTTGCGTTAATGTCATCAGGAAGCTCTCAGTTAAGTTCCCTGATTGCTTAGATGAGGAGTTCTTTAAGGCTCTTCAAAAAATAATGCTGAAATTCCAAAATAATACGTTCTTTTTGATATCTGTTGTTGATCTTATTGAAGTCGCCCACAAGATGCAAGGCATCGATGTTAGAATTGCAGAGACATTGATGCCTGGCCTCGCCGAAGTCGCATGGGACTCTAAACTCGCTATTCGCTCATGTGTATTCAAGATTCTCGAACTCCTTGTTGGCCACGCTATGAGATCAAAGCAGTTAGCTATTAGATTGCCAAAGTGCATCGATTTCGATAGATTTAAGAACGAATACGTTATTTTCAACAAAGTTATGACAAACTTCTACGGTGGACTTAGTCCTGCTGATGCTCAGTACGTCAGAGATCACTACGCAATTTAATTCTTTATTATTTTATTATTATTTATCATCATAAGGTTATAATTATTTATATATGAGTAATAAAAACCAGTATTATTCAGCGAATACTTGTAATTCTTATATATTATTATCATGAGCTAGTTGAGAAATTTCTTGATAAATAATTTTAAATTTTTATTATATTTTCGATTATTATCTTAATTTAACTACGTAATTTGAACGTATTGTTTCAACGAAGTTATCGTAGTACCGCATTCACATATAACAAAGAATAAATAGTTTTATCTGAATAATTTGAACAAATGGAATCAAAATTACATTAAAACAGTACACTTCATTTAACTAGGTGCATTTGTTGATAGAAATACTCTCATGAACTCATAATTCATCAACGTATTAAGCTCAATATTCAAAATAATTGGAACCAAAATGATTTTCTGCATTACTATGACTAGAGAATGAAAAGATATTTAATGAAAATGAGATTTGAATTTCAAATTTCTAGAGTTTCAATAAATGTTCCTAATATTTTATCTGTTAGTGCACCTAACGATATCAAATTAAATATACCTAATCTTGTGTCATAATTTGATGAATATATGATGATTTGTATTACTTTTTTGACTCAACCAAAAAAAAAAATAAGACAGGGAAATAAAAAAATTTTCAAAATATCTCTTGATGGACTTCTTTATCCCGGATTTCCTTCCGAGACCAGAAATGCTCACCAGAGATATTGATTCTTTCACTCTTGTCATTTTCAACAAGCCGTATACTGTTCCGCTTTGGAATTTGCTTTCAATTTCCGAAAAAGTCAGCAGGCTTTACGCGCAAGATCCATGTCTTCGCAAATACAGATTGAACATTAGCGAAGAAGTCATGAAACCAGAGAATATGGAAATTTGCGTCAAATCGCTCCTTAATTATTTCAATAATTATCTTTCCTTTGGCCAGATCGATAACGACAATGTATTCTTCTTATGGCGTGCAGCATGCGATCTCGAATCTTTTGATTTAATCCAAAAAGTCAGCCAATTCCTTGCAGCCAACAACATCGATCAATCAATCTCCAAAATGCTCACTTCCACAGTTGAAGCATGGCAAATCCCACATATCATTCTTTATTTGGCCACTAATTTTCATCTCATTCCCAATTTTTACCGTTCAAACTCTCTTAACAGATCTATTATTGAAAATCTTATCCAGAATGAGCTTTTAGATGATAAAATCAAGTTCAATCTCATCTACGAAGTCGCCAGAAATGATCCACAGTTTAATTACAATTATTCCGCTGTAAACATTGCCAAAATCGATCCTGCGATGCGCAAATACCTGCTTAATACAGTCTTCAACATTCCAGAGTCCGGCCCTACTCCATATGAGATATCTGGCGCACTTTGGTTAACTCTTCGCGAATGGTTCATCCATTGCCAAGAATTCGGTCCAATGCCTCAGCCAATGATGCAGCCACAAATTCAGCAGCAAATTCCGCCTCAAGTTCAGCTGAAAATGCCTCCTCAAATGATGCAGCCACAAATGCCTCTACAGATGATGCAGCAGCCTCAGATGCAGCCACAAATGATGCAGCAACCTCAAAGCCAACAAATTCCTACACAAAATCCACAAATTTCCCAAAATCAGCCGAACATGGCCCAAAACCAACCGAAATTACCACCGCAGATGATGCAGCCTCCTCAGATGATGCAGCAGCCTCAAATCCAACAAAATTTACCACAAAACCAGCCAAATATGCCTCCACAGATGATGCAGGCGCAGATGCCACCGCAAATGATGCAGCAACAAATGCCATTCCAAGCGCAAATGCCTCCGCAATTACAAAAACCAGGAATGCCACCTCAAATGATGGCTCCTCCTCAAATGCAGCAGCTCGTTCCACCAAGAATGGCATTCCCGCAAGTAATTGTCCAGCAGCCAAGTCCGGAGAGCTCATCACCAAATTTGATCAAACCTCTTCCTCGACCAGCATCAACGAGCAAAGTTCCAGCACCACGCCCTACAACAGTATCCGCTCCACGTCCTGTTGCAGACATTCCACGTCCTGAATCCGCTCCTCAGATGAATGATGACGAAGATGACGAAGATTCTGAGTCAGGAGACGAAAACGATGATGAAGATGATGACTACAATGAAGAAGAAGACCAAGAGAATATTTACGGCGATGATTTCGAAGTCGAACCAACGACAATTCCAGCTCCAGGCGAAGCCAGCGAGAAATACCTCGAGGGCATCTTCAACCACATCATCAACTGCATTGGAAACCCAATGAGGTACCACATTGTCGATGTGAAAGGAGGCGGAACAAAGAGATACGCGCTAAAGAACTTGGTTGATCCAACTGTAAATGATTGGTGGTCAAACAGGAACAAGAAGGACCACTTCGAACAGGACAGATGGTTCACAATCCACTTCAACATGCACGAACTCAAATTGACAGCGTACTCCTTGTACTGCCACATCTCACAGCCTTACTGCGCTCAGCCAAAGTCGTGGGAACTCTACGGAGCAAATTTCGACAGAGGAGAGGACTGGGTGTTGCTTGACCAGCAGAAAGATGAAAAGAGAATGAACGCAAAGGACGCACTCACAAACTTCCCAATTCCAAGAAAGAACCAGGGTATTTACAAGGATTACAAGATGGTGTTGTACGATAACTGGTCAAAGCACGAACCAAACAAGTTCTTCTTGACTTCAATCGAGTTCTTCGGTGAGTTATTGAATGGTGACTAATAAATAAAAATATTTTCTTTATTTTTTTAAAATAACAAATTTCTGACAAAAAAAATCTGAGCAATGAGTGGAGTATTTCGGTTATTTATTCTTTGCTTCTTTATTAGATCTGATAGAGATAAGATCTAATAAAGAAGTTGCCTAAGGCATGATGCCGAAATAAGTGGAGTGTTTCCTAAAACATCTTTTGCTTATTTATCTGCTCTAATATATAAGATATTCAACAACTTCAATGAGTCGAGTCGATTTATCCATTCTTTTTACTTCTCTATCAGCTCAAAATAGAAATAAGATATTCAACTTCAAGGTAACATTCTTTCTAATCCATTAATGGGCGGAAAACCTTAGGATTTTACTTCTTTATCACTAGTATCCTTTAATAGTGATTTAATTTGTTGGAGATTTCCTTCCTTGCATGCTTCAATAATGTCATATTCTGAAAACATTAAAGTCTTTTAACCCAATTCAATTCATGTTTATGATAATTCTTTCAAAACCATGATACCGTGTTGTTTCAGAGGATAAAAAGAAACAAACAATGATTTGTATCAAAGAAAAACAAACTTTTAAAATAAAAACAAACAAACTAAAGAAAATTAAACAAATAATTTTGTTGGCCTTTGGATATTCAGTGCGCTGCAAATAATTTCGATAAAAATATTAAACTTTGATGAGTTTCCATCAGCCACAGATATTCGAACATGCGTGTTTTTGTTCTCAACAATGGCAAGTTCGATAATTACGTAAGTTTCACCGATGTAAGAGTAAATTGTCATGTCATCAGGGAACAGCCAGTCAATGTTTTGCTGAGTAAGTGCTTTTTGTATTTCTGCGACTGTAGAATTTGAATCTTTTTGAGAATAGAACTCAATTGTTTGGCAATTATCATGAACAGTACTGTTTATTGTATTTGTCCATGAAACCTCAGGTAAAGAAGTGATTGGACTTTCGTTTAAAGGCGAAACCATTTTTGTTTCGTATTGATAGAAATGACTGCCTGTTCCAGGTGAGTTTTTGTAATTCTGGCCAAATACTGGTTCCGAATCATCCTTTTCCAAGTGGCTCTGATGAGGAACTGACCATGGCAAAGAAGATGGAACGATTGAATGGCAAAGAAGGGCCCAGAATGACTTCGCTGTAGTCAGTCCAGGAGCATCCAACTCTGCTTTGATCTCCTCTTCCGTATATCCGATGGTTAAAAGTAAATCGATTAATTCCTGCGGAGGATTTGAGAAGTTGGCTTGTGGTAGGATGAGATTTGGTATTGGTAAAGGAGGTGTGTATCCACGAGGTAGACCAATCTTGAATGCCTTGTGATGTTTAATTTGCTCAATTGTAATTCTTCCTTCAGGATCAACGCAGATCATTCTGGCTATCAGATCCTTGACCTCGTCTGGGAAGTCTGGCATCCTGTACTCTCCATTCTTGATTTTATGAATGAGGTCTTTGAAATTCGGTTCATTAAATGGCAAACGACCTGTTAGAAGGGCGTAGAGAATGACACCGCAACTCCAAATGTCAGCTTTTTTGCCATTGTACTTAATTCCTTTGATGATTTCGGGTGCGGCGTAATGAGGTGAACCACAAGATGTATCTGTTGTTTCTGTCTTCATCCAACGGGCAAAACTGAGATCACCTATCTTAATGTTGTTGTTCTCATCCAATAAGATGTTCTCTGGTTTCAGATCTCTATGGCAAATCGAGTGATTATGAAAATAATCGACTCCATATATGATTTGCCTAAATAAATCCATCGCTTCCTCAATTACTATCGAACGTCTATTGCAAAGGTATGTAAATAAATCGCCATGAGAGGCATATTCAGTGACGATGAAAAGATGCCTAGAGCTTTCGCATAATTCAATGAGTCTTATAATATGTGGGTGATCCATTAACTTCATTAATGCAATTTCTGTATTAATTTTCTCTTTAATGGATGGTTTTGCGTCTAATCTAGATTTCTTAAATATTTTAATGGCATAATATTCATGTGTTATCTTATGCTCAGCTAATTTAACTTTCCCAAACGCTCCAGAACCAATAGTTTGGAGAATTGTGTAATTTCCCATATCTATTGGTTTCTCCATCGATGAAATTTTTCTATCGTACTTTGAAAAGGTGGATAATTTTTTTAAATTGTGATATGGATGACACCTCCAAAAATCGAAAACCGAAATTACTGGACGACAGGCATATTGTTTTTTATTTTATAATTGGACCATGGAAAACGATAAGTTTTCGAATTCTGAAAAAAACTGATTTCAGAGTTATTTTCCAAAAAAATAGAATATGTTTCGGTTTCTTGTTTAAACACTTAAAATAAAATCAAAATTTGTCTGATATTGAAAGTTGGTAACACGAAACCATTATATTTTATCATACTGATTGCTTCCAAAGTCTTTAGTGAGTATGTAAATAAATGAGCTAAAGATTTTTCGGATCAATAAATTTGGCAAATTTAATTAAAGTTGTAGAACTCTAAAACTATCAAATTTAGTATCAATGCAGCTAATAAAGATGAATTACGGAAGTCGAATATCTAAAAATCATCTGTCTCCCAATATTATTTTAAAAATGATCATCGATTTGCCAGAATGTTTAAATATCATTATTTTGATATATATAATGCAAAATGTATGGAAATAAAACCAAAAAAGAATTATCAAAAGATAAAATTTAATAAAATATAGCCTATATATATGATACCATGAAAAACTGTCCATTTTCGAAGTTTTTCTATTTATACACATAGTTTAAAATGAATGAATCTCATGGATTGGAAATAAAAAACAATATTTTGCAATTAATTGCAATGGATATAAAACGAGAATATCACCTCAAGCATAAAATCTTATATGTATATTCACACAATTCAATTGAGTAATAATTTGATATTGATGAAACTATCTGAAAAGCTAGTGATCTACTTTGAAAAAATGGCTTGGAACTGGCGCATAATGTCATTTATACAACAGTTGCAATCCTAATTTTCAATATTCAGATCCCTAAGATAAGAAAAAGAATAAAAAAAATTCAGAATGGCAAAAGCTCCTGGACAGGATACACCAGGTCCTGTTTCACTTGAAATAGGAACTCGTGTCTGTGATTATATTATCGGTCCTAAGATCGGCCAAGGTGCTTTCGGTGAGATTTACTGCGCAATTGATCAAAATACTGGAATTCTTTGGGCACTTAAAACAGAATCATCACTTGTAAATAAAAAAGTATTACCCTACGAATACCAAGTTCTTGACAAAATCCAAGAATCTCCTCATTTCCCTCGCGTTGGAATGATGGGAACTGGACCAGAATATTCCTTCTTTTCTATGGAATTACTTGGTCCATCAATATCCCATATCCTTAAATCAATTCCAGGCAACAAATTTACATTTTCAACAGCAATTCGTGCTTCATATCACATGTTAAAGTGTATTGAAGCTCTTCATATATACGGATATGTTCACCGTGATATCAAGCCTGGAAATATTTTAACACGTGAAGGTACAGAACATCCTCTTTGTTTAATTGACTTCGGTTTAGCGAGATGTTTCGTTAATCCTGAAACAGGCATGCATCTTTTACAAAGACCTCCATCTGGCTTCAGAGGAACTAGAGCTTATGCAAGTTTGCATGCACATTATGGAGAAGATTTAGCTCGTCGCGATGACGTCATTAGCTGGTTCTATTCGGCTTACGAATTCATTACAGGAACGCTTCCCTGGAAGAAAAGTAGTGATAGCAGTGAAACACAACAGATGAAAGAACATTTCGATCCTTCTGAAGCATTGTCAACAATTGCTCCAGAAATGATTAAAGTTTGGAAGCATATACTTACATTGGAATTCATGGATATGCCAAATTACGGACTTTGCTACAGAGCAATGGCTGCAATTTGTAAACGATGCAATATTAAGTTAAATGATCCATTTGATTGGGGCGCTTACCTTCATTCGCACAGACAGAAAGTTGCACAGTCTCTAAAGTCATTTGGAGACAAATTAAATGGACCTGTTCACGGATACATCGTTAGAACACAGCCAGGACAAAGCAACGCTAAAGGTCTTGACGAACTTGAAGGAGATGAAGACCAATGCTATATTGCATAGGCAGATTTTGTTATGTAAATTTGTATTTTTATATTTTTGTTATTTAATCCTTATTTCGCTTTACTTTTGCATAAGCATAGTAGGATATTGATAGAGTAGTTAATGTTATTTAATCTTTATTTCATATTTAATCAATGCAATAAATATAAGAAACATTCAGAAGTTTATGAGTAGGATCATTACCAATTCTAATATATTTTACATTGTATATAGCGAAATATACAATTAAGGATATTTTTTAGGTTATGCGAAAATGTAATCTACAATGTTATGTGTATTCAAGCAATATTCCAATGGTGATCAATAATTGTATGCATTTCCAGTTTGCGAGCATTAAAATTACATGGATTACTTTTATTGTATGACTTTGAAATTGAAATCAATTCTAAAAAATGAAACTCAGAGAAAAATGATAGCCGACATATTAGACAAATCCCTGAGTGAATTGATTTATCTTAATTAAACTCTTGAATTGCATAAATTACCGACTTTGCATTCGAATTCTATTGTTTTATCCTTTTTTGGATGAATTAGCGCAATAAAAAGTGTATCTATTATACTATCGATTGCATGCAATGATTTGCGCTGGAAGTTATTATATTTCAGTTCCCACTCAAATTAGAGGTAGGGCAACGATAGAAAATTTTTGGAAAAAAAGTTCGGAGATCTTAAACGTATCATATTCCCTGCATGGTTTGGTATCTTCCGCCATGCGTTGTGCCAAACATATTGACACTTTCCAATAATTAATTTATGGTATGAGTCACAGAGTTAGATTATAAAAAGAAAGTAAATAATTGCAATTAGAAATCATATATGTCGGAAATCAAATGTTGATGAGCAGAAACCTTTTACTCATCATAAAAGAGATAAATCACTAAAGATTTGTATACATTAAAATTTGATATTTGGTGCTCGAAAACTGTCTGATGGGACTCCTCCAAAATGAACCAATCTATCGCTGAGGACCAAATTAGATGATGTGGATGGTGTATTCTCTAATTCTAACTTAGGAAGAATGGGAACAAAACGAATGACGACAACAACATGTCAAACATAGATTAAATATCTATGAATCAATAAAGTATACGTGCATTGAAGGTGATAACAATCACTTGAGGCTTATAACTCTTTGACTAAATTATGCAATAATTAAATATAATCATTTTTATATTTTTATACTGATAGTAATTAATATACTATCCTGCTTAATAAATGGTATGATCAAATTTGTTTGAAAATTTAATTATGTATATGAAACTATGTCTTCTATATAAAAATCAAAATTTTCGGACGAACCTAGATTGAACCTTTATGAAAATCTATCATTTTTGTTAATTGAGTTAATATGAATCTTTTACATATGTATATATAGCATTGATAGCTTATATAATCATGGTTTATTCCATATTAACATATTTTTTCAGTTAAATTTGTTAATAATATCATGTAACAAATTAATTCAAGATTAGAATGTCTACAAAATGCTAACAAATAAGAACAAAATACGATTTCTCGACTTAAATTTTAATATGGAGTAGTTTTTCGTTTAAATCTAATTAAAAATGAATAAAAACTTATCTTGTACTATTTTCATTCAAAGATTTTAATAATGTAAATCATGCATTTTCATAATTCAGTACAGTTCTTTTTAGAATTAAAGTTGATGAGGATGATATTTGTGATTTAAAATAATTTGTTAATGTTCACCTTTTATTCATCACCTTGTGGTATGCCCTAAAGCAATAGCATTATCAATTCTGCTGAATTGATCAACTCAAAATTCCAAAAAAAATTCAAAATTTCAAAAATGAAATTAAACAATTGAATTTTCACATGAAAAAATTAATTTCGAAAAAAATTTGGAAAATCAAAGTATTTGATAATTAGTCAAATAATCAATTTACATCGTTTTTACTCATAAAAAACAACTAATTTTTGATTTTGATATCATATTTGATAAATACTCATTCCAGAGTTGACGTAATGTATTAATTATTGTTAGAGATATTGCTTTCGCAGCAAAATTCTTATTTCATGAAAGAAAAAAAAAATGATTTTATTCCAACAAAAACAAGTAAACAGATGAATGGAAACGTACTATATTTTCATAAATGTAGTAATCAGCGTGTCAGCTTTTGTTTATCATGTTCGAGTCAAAATGTATTAACTTGTAATAAGAAATATTCGAAGATTATATGAAGTATTGAGCATTCTTTGTAGAAATATTTGTAATTCATTACTAACATATATAATAAAGTTGTTTTTTTTTCCTTATTGCAATAATTTTGTCTGATTTTAATAACTTTTCATGTATACGAGTTGTGTGAATATGCATCATAATATGCGTAAATATACTTATTTGCGACGAATAATGTGGTTGCATAATGGAGGTGCTAAATTTTGATTTTTAATATGGGGCTTTGGTATGTATAATCATGTTCTTATCTCAACGTAGGAGTATTGGTGCAATATGATTAAAATTTACGAGGTTGATCTTAAATTGAATAATTCTGGAGTATAAATCACAATGCAGCTAATTCTATGTTAAAGATAGATACAGATTGTAGTAATCAATTAGGGAGTACAAATTCATTCTTTCATTTCTGTCGTATTGAGCAGAAAGGAAGAGATCATAACCCTAGGAAAAAAAGCCCAAATTTGTCACTTTTCATAGTACGTTAAACTCAATTCGCTCGGCGAATGCCGAGCACACGTACTCATCATTCAACATAATATTCTCATTCTTTGGTTATTATAGTGCCAGACAACACAAGATTTCAAAGAATTACTTGAGTTTTCAATTAATCTTAATCCGATTTTAGATTTATCGAGAACTCCATCATCACAATCACATACTTCAGTGCGGTAACTACAATTATCCATATACAGAAGGAAGTTCTTTTCGAACAACTCATTTGGAGTCTGTTTTGGAAAGAACTTCTTTCTGTCCGACTTAATTTCATAGTTCCTGATCAACCAAAAGACAGAAACCACACACTATCTACTTAGGAAAGGAGTTCTTTCTAAATCTTCCTTAAATTGAGATTTTACGAGAGATAACCCTTCTATTGCACTTAAAAATGAACATTTTGATATCTTTAGTATCACACATGGTCATATATAGTATTTCATCTACATGAATACATTCATCTTTCGAAGTCTCTCATTAAATGGGAGGCTTCGAAAGATGAATCGTTTTATTCATACAACTTTAAATCTCGAACACATTTAGAGAGTGAGTATATCATTTTATTCTTGTTTTGAGTTTATTCTGATTCAAAATTGCAGTGAAAACAGAAGTTCACACATCATATCTGAATGTGAGCTCATCTATACTTATACGATCTCAATACCTCCACTCTAAGCATAAGAGGTGAAGTTATATAAAAATTATCAGATGCGTTGAAGTCTCAAAAGTATTGCCTGAATGCTTGTTTCATATTTGTCCAAGTAGTTTCAATGAATAAATGTATTGTTTTTTATAATTTCGATTTATTTTTAGAAAATATTCAATATAAACCTTTATTGTGTTATTTACATCTCATAAATTCTCTGTCTAAATCATATAAAAGCGCGTTTTACCCCTATGAATCAAGAAATTCATTCAATATTCATGGTATATTTATTAAATTTATACGATTTACTAATAATCAATATTATATCCTCATAAATAGCAATATATTTTGGTAAACTATGATAATCATATACAATATTTGAAATCAAATTTTCATTAGTTTAGGTTCCTTGTTAATAGTAAAACATTATATTTATTACTAATAATAAAATCTATGTGTCGTATTGAAATTCAATAAAATTACTTATTCGGTTCAAAAAAACAAATTAGATAAAATTTTTCTTTTTTTATGTAATTTTTATTTTTCATTTTTCTCAAGATCCTAAGTTATGTTCTAACTTTTGACATCATATCCTATCATGCTAGGCTATATATTATAGCATATCCAAAAGGCAAGGAAATCTATCAGAGAAGCCTTTTTGACCTATCGTTGCCCTACCTCTCTCAAATTATCAGTAAAAAAAATCAACTGTATTTACCTTGATAAGTGCATAAAGAATAACTCATTTACGATTAACATTTTTTTGAGAGCAAGGTAATAATATTTCTGAGCGTCACTTTTACACCCATTATATTTTAAATTTTTTGAAAATTTTCAAGTGAAATGTTCTCAGGTATGAATCAAAAATCAGGGAACACATGCACACCTCTGGTTTTATCAAAGTCCAAGGAAGTCCCTCAAGTAGTTTGCACAAAAACTAAAGCAGCTTTGTGCTTATTATGCTTATTTGATGGTCTTCATACACCAACAATTCGTAGATTAAGCCGTAAGCCGAGACTAATATGTAACAAACCTCTTCTTACGTTTGATCCCACCGTATTTGCTCCATCATCTTCTAATGCAATTCAAGATTTATATTCGGCCTCTATGAAATGCCCTGCAGAGATATTCGTTGATCCTCCTGGCAATAAAATCAGCGAAGTTATTAAAACTTACAGTCAAAACGCAAAAACAGAACGATTAATCATTCATTACTTCGGTCAAGGCTGTTTACCGCCTACAGCTGATGGTAGTCTTTTCTTCTTCTCAGACGATCGTTCGAAATATAAGCCAATGAAAATCGAGACTTTGATGAACATTTGTCCAACTCCTCTTTGTCTCATTGTTGATAGTCCATCAGCAGGAAATATCTTGCCCTTCTTACAAAAGAAACAAGATGTTATCGCTTTCTTCGCATGTTCTCCTAATGAAGTTCTTCCAATTTCAACAGATGCACCATGGGATTTGTTTAGCTCATGTTTGCTTTCGCCATTTGAGACAGCAGTATGGTGGCATACTCGTCGCCATAGCTGCGTCTTCAAAGGCACTGAAAATTCAAATCATCCAAATTATTTCCTCAAGAAATTCTTATTTGCTCTTCTCGATGCAATTGCATTCGACACACAACCAGCTACACTCTTCGACATACTCGCAAAAGACACAGCGATGACACAACTCGCTAGAGGATTTATTTTATCAATGCGCATTATGCAAAGCTTCAATTTACATCCAATCTCAATTCCAGAACATCGCCCTACATCAAGCCATGATCTATGGCTCTTCTGGGACACAGCATTAGATTGTTCACTCGCAATGTCCGACCAAGAAGCTGCTACGATGATTTTCCAGATGTTCATCAAGTCATTCAAGTCATTCCCGACTGTCGGAGTCATGCCAATCTTCTCATTCTTCATTACAAGAGCAGAATTTTGCGAAGCAGCAGTTTCAACACTCTGCAACTTCTTGGATACACATGGAGACTTGGCTATCTACGCTACCCGCTCAAATATCGCAAAGACGATCATAGAAATGGACAAACCCTCAGAATCCGCAATTCTGTTGTTGGCAAAAATTTTGTCGATATCGTCCGGTACGGGCGCGATATCACCTTTTCAACAACAATGGCTATTCTGGTTCCAAGACACTAAAGAGTCCAGTGTCTCTGAAATCAAGGCTGGAATGCTTGCCATCATTTGCGCCATCTCATGGAACTTCCTTTCGATATTTACAAAGATTTGGAACGTATGCGTAGAAAAAGCTCAAGAATGCGCCCCATATTCATCGATATTACTTGGATTACTACTCGGATCCGCTGGAAGATTGATGAATTTGCCTCCTTTCGGACAGAATTTTTACCCACTCCTCGATAATTCATCGTATTTCATCAGAGCATCGACAGTTTTCCTATTGGGAATGATGAAGGATAGGAATATGCTCGATAAACTCTTTGAAATGCTTGAAAATGACGATGAACCAATTGTTAGACAGCAAATTGTTGTTTCTCTATCAAGAATTCAGCAGTACAAGCATGACGATGCTATTCTAGATAACTTAAATAAGATAAAAGCTACAGAAAAAGACGAAGAAGTCCTTAAATTAATAAATTTGGCTCTTGAAGGTAAATATGATGAAGTTCAAGAGGAATGTAGCATCCTTAAGATGGTTATAGAAGCTGTTAAATCGAATGGCTTCATAGAGAAGTACTACTGTGGAACAATGATTTGATTTATCTTATTTGACTTTTTTTTAACACTATGTTTCATTTTAAATTGTTTATTTTTTGTTCACATACAAATTTTGATATTTTAAAAAACATATTTCAATATTTAACTAAATCATCACAAAATACTAGGTTTATCAAGTGTGTTTCGTCATTATGTGTAAAAAATCAAATGATTACCCTTAAAAATACTTCTGTTAAAAATCATTTCAAAAATTATACTTAATATTGATAAAGTATGAACATAAAAATGCTCAATATCCAATATAGAAGAAGTTTTATGGTAATGATTTTCTCCAAAAAAGTTTTGAATCCATTTTTATGGTACGAAAACAATAGAAGATGAAGTTCAAATTTTAGAATTTGAATTTTTTTTGGAAAATTTATTATTAAATTTGAAATTTCCATATCTTTTAAATAAAATATGGAAATATTAAATCAATGTAATAAATTTACAAAAGACACATCATTAAATTTCATAATAATATCTTAAAACTATTCATGATTCATATTTCCATCCATATAAATCATCTAAATTATCATTAATACTGTAAAGTTTTGGACCTAAAGTTAATATCAAATCTATGCCTCCTGTTATTCAGTTAAAATACATTGATTTCTTAAATTCTATTCGATTCTCAATAACAGGAGGGGCAAATTGTCAAGAAAGAAGAATATCAAAGAAAACTAATGAGGTGAATCGAAAATATTTATTCAAATAAGATAATGAATAGAAAAATAAGACAAAATAAAAAAATTATAACAAAATTATTGATGAATTATTTTTGTGAGGTTGGTAAAGGCTTCTTTAACTGTCATGTCAGGCTTTAATTCTTTAATGCAGTAGTTTACAGCATTCTTGAACTTTTCTGCTTCTTTGAAGCTTGTAATATAAGGAGAAGTGTAGATTCTGGCCCTGAAAATATCATTAACGAGTGTTGATGATATTGACATTCCTCCTGGTGGATAAGGACCTTTGCAAATTGAAGTTGCAATTTGAGCATCAGTAATATCGCCTCCTGTAGTCATTTTACCAATGTTTGTAACACTTACAGAGCCAGTCATTGCTGGTGGATATGTTCCTTTGTATAAATGATTAATAGATCTTAATGCTTCGCCATTCTTTAATTTTTCTTGCATATCCTTACGGAGTAAAGCACCCAATTCATCAATAGTCAATTTAGCATACTTTGTAGCGATGTTTGTATGTGCATCAGCAACAATTAAACTATCAATGTTGCAATGACTCCAATCTGGGTTTTTCATGTATCTTCTGGCATCAACAGCAAGTTGGCTGGTAATAGAAGTTAACATTTTGTTGTATGCTGAAGCAGAAAGTGTTGCCGCAAGCATCATTTTTTCTGTAACTTTCGACATCTTTTCTTTGATTGGAAATTCAATCAATGTGTAAATTGCATATTCCTTTTCTTGTTTCTTGCAATAATTTCTGATTGGAGTAGTCATCGTTGAAATTTTGCCATTTGCGTTAGCTAATTGATCAGAAAGTGCATCAATTATTGATGTATGGATTTTGGCTTGAGGATCTTTTGGTGTTTCTCGTCCACACAAATGATCCAAAAGCATCTTCATGTATCCGCCATCTGATGACGAATGATTGCAATTAAATATAACTGTGTCCTTATTATAGCATATTGATGCTAAGCGTGTTGACTCAGGAATTGTATAATTTTTGGCAACAAATTTATTTGCTTCTTCTAAATGAGGAAACTTATCAGGAATTTGATAAGTTGAACATGGCTGATCTGTGTAAACATAATTCTTACCATCAAACAATGTTCGACAGCCTATGCATTTTTTATAAATTTCATTGACAATTTCTGAAACTTTATTGTTCTTTACCTTAACAGCAAGCTGAACATAGCATCCAACAGATAATTGGAACTTTTCAAAAGCATTAGGAAGCATGGTTGATGGCCCAATCATCAAAAAAGAATAAAAAAAAAATTGTTGATGGTATTCGATCAACAATTTTATCGCAGATATCCATAAATTCTCTTCTTCATGCGAGCAAGAGGTTATTCAAAGCTAATCATAAAAAATTTGAAATTTTATCGAAGATATTAATAAACATTTAGGTTAAGTGTAAACAAAAAGTAGTAGAAACTTAATAAACAACTATTCTTAATCATCTTGTATTGAAACAACACGCCATATTTGATTGAATCTTCCATGTTTTGGAAATGGAATGATATCTGTATCTTGGACTATTTTTTCTGCCCTAATATCAAGAACTAAGCCATTGGCATTTGAAATAGTACCGTCAGAATTTATATGATAAATTTGTTTGCTATCGCTAGTCCTTGGGGTGAAAACAAGGGGATCTTCATTTGTTAGTAAATGACCTGTTTTAAGAGAAATGATGTTATTGTCTTGAATAAGGAATTGTTGGTTTATTGTGTTAATATAAGTACCAAGAACAGCTTTTTCAACGCCATCTGGGCCGATCTTCACTGACAAACAAAAATCTGGTCGAGAACTGCATAAGATTGAGCATCTCATGATAATATAAAATATGAAATTGAGAAAATTTTTTTGGGATGTTTTTTTTTTTGCAATTCTTAGAAGCTCATAAGATGATTCATAAAGTGATCAGATAACGATTTTGTGGTTGAGAAACAGTGCAGTTCAAGCCACAATAAATAATGGTTGGGAATTATAGATTGAAGAGAGAGGGTCAAAGTTGCTATTTGTCACTTTTCCACAAGAATATAATGGGGAAAAAGTTATCATATAGTTGATCTCATTCACTGAGGTGAGAGATGCATTTAGTGTAATGGGATAAACAGTGGGATTGCTGCTCTAAGTCCTAGGTTCGAGACACATTGGCTTCATTTTTCTCTTTTTTATTGACGTAAACTATTCAATTTTTGTGTTCTCCATTCAAATTTCAGAATTTTTTTTGCAGATTTCACGCTACATTCGAAGTTACCTTTTGTAACAACCACCACTGCCTACGAAAGACGAAAGTGTGTCACGATTTCACCCGGAAATCCGACGGTTGTTTAAGAGTAAGCACTTTTGGCACCTACTCATAGATTGAATCTGAAAATCGGATCATTTTTATTGCAATAGAAATTATTTCTTTACAATAAAAATGCAGCCTGCTGCGAAAAAAGTTGCGCTTATTGGAACGCAAAAAGTCGGGAAGACTGCATTACTCACTAAATTTCATTTCGGTACATTTAACAAGAACACTGTCGCAACTGTTGGCGCTTCTTTTATACTTCATCATTTCATGATTAATGGCCGAGATGAATCTTTTCAAATTTGGGATACAGCTGGTCAAGAGAGATATAGAAGTTTAGGACCCATATATTATCGTGATGCTTCTTGTGCTATTGCAGTATTTGACCTTACTGTTCCTGAATCATTCGAAGAAATGAAAATATACATTAATCAATTTAAATCTCATTGTCAAAACTACGCTCATATCTGTGTTGTTGGCAATAAAAAAGATATTTATAAAGAAGGCTCGGATTTTGACATAAAAATTGCAGAAAGATATGTTGAAGAAGAAGGTTTTACATTACATTTAACCTCTGCTTTAACTGGGGAAGGCGTAAATATTCCTTTCCAAGAAGTAGCTGAAAAAGCTTGCGCTCAGGTTGATTCTGAGCAGCGTTCAATAGATCTATCCAAGTCAGAACGTCATACATGCTGTTAGTTTATATAAATTACTTTGTTATTTGAGTTATTTTATAACTTTATATAATTTTTTTGATTATTTCATAAGCATCCCCAAATTATTATGGATCACATTATGTTATAACGAAAGTTCAATTTAGAATGAATCTTTCACGATTTTGTAGTAGTGATGTTGAAGAATTTTTATTTAGATAAAAATGTAATGAGATTCAGATGTGTGTATGCATACTATTTAAATACTATAATCGGAGCGAACATTTTGGTATACAAAAATGATGTTCAAATTCATTTTGAATCGAATTCGCTTCCAAGTCGAAGGATTTCCAATTCATACGACGTATTTCCTTAATTTCATATTAAAATTAAATTATCTTCAATCAGCTTTTTATTCAGAAATAAAGCTCTCAAAACTGCCGGAACTCAATATCCATTTTCTGGGTTCAATATTCAATGTACTACGAATTTCTTGTAAATCGGCTACGGTCTAATTTTTTTGAAAGAAGAAAATTTTTCCTGAAAAAAGCAAGTAATTTTACATGATAAAGGATGACTAATTAAATGCTAAAATTCAGAATTGAATACTTTCGCCGTACCGTACCTTGAATAACCGGCGAACCATTCAATTGGTCATAGACCAATTTGAGATACCCTTTTCAGAGGAATCTAAAATGTTGTTTATATGGTTATTTATATATTATTTAATCATTTTCTTAAATAAAAATCATAAGTTCTCAATTTTTCTTCATAACGATTCTTATAAATTTTAATGTTTTTACTATGAGTGCTAAATATTATTAATTACTAAATGATTTTAAAAAGAATAAACGTGTTTTTACTTTGTACGTTAACATACGTTAATATCACTTCGGCTATTGATAGAGGCCAACAGCGCCTTATTAATGAGAAAAACATTAGCCTCTTATCAATGAGATGGAAGTGTATTCGTGGATTACAATTGTGAATTCAGATACACTTCCATCTCAAAAAATGCAATCAAATTTGTATGGAATTGAATTTTTTGAATACATGCTATTGGCAGTTGGGTTTTTAGTGCATTTATATTATATTGGTACTAAGGCTTTTGGAAAATTTACAAAATAAATTTAATATTTTGTAAATGTTATCGGTTCTTACTGTTATAGACCTAAAATATATTTTTTCGGTTTTCTCTTCAAATAATTGAAAGAATGATACTATTATAGGTTTATTATATTATATAGCATATAATCATGCTATAGCCGAAAATTATAAGTTTTGAGAAGATTGAATATAACACAAATAAATTTGAATGTAAGTTAAATTGCTTGTTGTTTTTAATAGCTATTTAATGAGAAATCCAATATTGCAAAATTCAAATTGAATGATTGAAAGAACAGAAAAAGTCATTCTTTTCAATTTCGAATATGTTTCATTGTATTTATAATTATATGGCAAATAAGATATTTAAACTTGATTTTTGAAGGAAAATTCACAAAATTGAATAAATTCAAATAATTTTTATTCAAAAATAAACTAGTTATTTGAGTTTAATACTAATTATCTATTCAAACTACAAAGTTTGTAATTTAAAATATTTTGTGAGATCAGATTGAATTAATTCAAGGTTCTTTTCAATTAATATTAATGACCATATTACGCATTTTCGAACATTCTAAACCAAATATATAAAAATGGGAGACGAATGTTAAATTTGCTAGACATGGGGGAGTTGTCTGCAAAGTTTTAGCTCTTATCTCTAACAAAAAATTAATTTTTAAAAAAATGACCGAATACGTTTCACAGCGAGAAAAAAATAAAAGGCAAGATAGAATTTTCTAGACATAAAGAAGTTGTTTACCGAGTTTTAGCTCTTATCTCTAACAAAAAATTAATTTTTAAAAAAATGACCGAATACGTTTCACAGCGAGAAAAAAATAAAAGGCAAGATAGAATTTTCTAGACATAAAGAAGTTGTTTACCGAGTTTTAGCTCTTATCTCTAACAAAAAATTAATTTTTAAAAAAATGACCGAATACGTTTCACAGCGAGAAAAAAATAAAAGGCAAGATAGAATTTTCTAGACATAAAGAAGTTGTTTACCGAGTTTTAGCTCTTATCTCTAACAAAAAATTAATTTTTAAAAAAATGACCGAATACGTTTCACAGCGAGAAAAAAATAAAAGGCAAGATAGAATTTTCTAGACATAAAGAAGTTGTCTACCAAGTGTCAGCTGTTACTTCTTCTCAATACTGATATAAAATAAAAATCTTTATTATTTATTTAACCTTTATTGTTTCATTAAACTTCATTTATTTTATATTATAGTTTTATTCTTTTAGCTACTTGTAAAATAATCTAATTTTATATCATCATTTTACCGGATTATTCTTCAGTACATCGATTGTGTATCTAAAATAATATCATTATCCTTATTCTGTTTTTTCCAAAATTCTTTTAAATATCTTTTTTGGTTAGATTACTTTGTACTTTTTACTTTTATTTTTTAATTTCAAAAAAAAATTTGGTGATTGTTCTATTCTTTTACAATGTGCATTATCATATTCTAATGAATTATTCATTACATACATTTAAAAAAACTTGTTAAAAATGAAATTAAAAAATTATGTTTATTATTACGCTGTGAATGTGTCAACAGCGGTCATGCCTGTATCTGTATCCCATATTTGCCACAACCTTTCTGTATCTGCATTTGTGTATTTCGGTTTCAGCTGATACATTTGATTTGGCGTGTAATTTGTTCCAGTTAATGGATTAATTGGGAGATCTTCATGCGGAGTTAGTATGGTTATCTTGGGTATGGAGGCACTGCGTTCCTCCGTACGCAATACTTGTGAATTTGACACTTTACAAAACCGTTAACGTATATTTTACAACACAAACGACAACACTAACTTAACCTTAAATATTTACAAAACCACCACCCACTTCACTTCACTAACGAACTCACTAATGTAAAAATAAACGTTCTCACTATCGTTCTCACTAACAACTTCACTAATGTTCTCATAAATTTTCCTCAATATCTTCATCATCAGTGTTAACCCTATTGTAGTCATACTTGAAGCCATAAACTTTCTCTAACTTCTTAACGTACAATTTACATAACTTACCTTCGTCATCGTATGGTTTAATGATATAACTATTTCTATCTTTATAAACAGTCAATGAAAAGTCAACTGGTCTCGGATGTATTTGAAAGAACATGTTATGCTCAGGAAGGAAGAATAAATGTTTAAATGTATGTTTGTTATACTGTGGAATTCGAATGAGTTGCTTTTGTTCTGTCATTTACATCCAAATAAAAATTTTCAGTAAAATAAAAAATAAACTTAAAAATTAATGATATCACCACTCCCACACGTATGAAAACATCCATTTAAATTTAGGTGAAGTGGTGAGATCTCACCTCTTTTTTCACCCTGTTGAATTCATTACTTTATAACTCTCTTCCTTGGTTTCTTTTTAGTTGCTTTCTTCACGTCTGTCTCCAACTTGACTGTCTTTCTTCTTCGTCCGTAATGATACCAGTTACTTCCACCAGTCAATGGGTCAAATGGTCTTTCGTAAGGGTTTCCATACATTCCATAGGGACCATACGGAAGAACTACTGGTGGAGAAGAAACATTTTCTTTAGTTCCATCGACTCTATTTAAATGCATTGTTTCACCTTTCATCTGGTCATTAAAGTCTTTTGCGTGTTTTGCAAACTCATCGTCCTTTCCTAAAGCATTTTCTGACTCAGTCGCAACCAAATTGGATGCTTTATTTATGAGCCCTATTTTATTTAATCTTAACTTCTTTGCAACCCAGCCTCCAATCTTTCCTTTATTTGCATCTAATGTCTTTGAAACCCTTCCTCCACTCATTTTATTTACTGCGTCATAAGCTCCAAGTGCTTTTGCTCCAAATGCTAATGCTTTTGTTCCCATTGCGCCTAAAGCTGCCCAAGCTACCATTTACCCCATATTAAAATCATCTCTCTTCAATATTATCTCATAAAAGTTCTCGTTACTGGAGAAAGTCAATGAAACATAAACATTCTCATTCATAAACTTCTTTCTTATCTCATCTATTCTCAATAAAATGTCTGAACAATTGCTAACATCTTCTACAACAGTTATTTCATCATGAATGACCTTTAAAAACAAGCTCATTTAATATGCAATTAAAATCATCTCAATAATGAGTCCATCCTTTCCATCTTTAGGTAGCACAACATCTTTCATTGAAGAAGGTTCGACAAGTCTTATGTTAAACTTACTGACAAAGTTTGTTATACTATAATGCTTCGGTGGCGAATACATGTAGTTTGAAAGACATAATATAGATTCTTCAGCAAATTCACTTATACTGGATTTTATAACAATGTTCTCACGAGACCAAATACCACCAATTGACAATCTTGTAAGCAATCCTGCTGAACCTTCAACTGTAAACGTCGATGGTAACATTCCACGAAGGTCATCTATTGACATCGTTGAGTCACTGAATTTAAATATTTTCTTAAAGCAATCGTCATTATCTAACCATGCAATAGCTTTGAAGTTTTCATTCGAATATACATCTGCTTCATTAAATGTAAAACCTGACTTCTTTGCAGAGATGACTTTAAAATCTATTGAGTTTGTTTCAAAATTATATGCTATGGTAACTTCTGAAGGTAATGGGTGTCCTTCCGCAGTCAGTTGTTCTCTCACTACCGTTTGAAGCTTTGTGTTAAAAACTTTCATGTCATCTCCTGTGTCTAGGTTCACATACACAGCAATAGGAAAACTATCTTGCTTCTTTGTCTCATCATTATATCTCAAAACATTAAAGTTCTTCAATAATATTGTCCTTCCTGCTGGAATACTTCTAACTTGTCTTATTTCAATAGCTTTCTCACCTCCTACATACTCTACCCAGTGTCTTGGATATTCATAAGTATACTGACTTTCTTGAATTTTGGTTGGTTTCATCATAACGTGTTCATAGTATATCTTTATACTCTTGTCAGTTAGACTCGGTGCTATGTTCTGAATATTTCTGACTTGCATTTTTAATGGAGATAAAATGAAGCATTTAATACATGACGTAGATGAAGACATGAATGAAACTACAGACAAACTTAACTCTTCTCTTATTCTTCCTTTCAGTAAGGACTATGAGTTCTGTTCAAATGGTGTTTATTTCTATTGTGGAAAGATGGGGTCAGGTAAGACATTTAACCTCATTCGTCATATACTCATAACAGAGCGTTTAGGTCAAGATTCATATTATGACCAAATCATTATATCAGCAACTTCAGACTCTATGGACTCAACAGCGAAAACATTTATGTCAAAAGTTCAAGCCTCTGTCGTTAAAGTTCCAGATAGCGAACTCATTGAATTTCTTCAACGTTACATTCGACGTAAGAGGAAATATTATGCCATCGTTGAATTTATACAGTCAGGAATGCAAAAGACTTCAGAAGAGATGGAAAGAATTATTGACAAACACCACTTACGTCAATACTCAGGAGTTTACGATATGAAACGACTTACAAACTACATTCTGTCAAAACTTTCAAAATACCCCTTCAAAAAGTATCCTTCAAACACTCTGCTCGTTTGCGACGACTTCGCCGGAAAAGGTTTAGTGTCAAAACCAGACTCACCATTAGCTAATATCATTACTAAAGTCAGACATTACCATTTAACTGTAGCAATACTTATGCAAACATGGAGGTTTTTAGCTTTAAACATAAAACGTCTCATAACTGACTTCGTTATCTTTCAAGGTTTCTCACGCTATGATATTGAACTCATTTGGAAACAGTCAGGTATAACATTACCTTTTGAAGAAATTTGGGAAGCATATAAGTCTCTCATCTCTCCTCGTTCATACCTTGAGATTCATATCATGACTAATACCATTAAAGTCAAAAATATTCCATGGGAACGACCAACATTGTTTTAAAGTTTAACCTTCAACTGACTGATGGTAAACAAATTCCATGCATCTCTGTCGCCATTTCTGTTAATATTTTTGCTGTCATTCATATCATCCACTTCCCCATCCGTTAACTTTTGAGGATATGCGTTAGAATAGCTGTTCTTAAATGAAGGCTTTTCACCTTTGAGAGCATAAACTCTATAACTTTCTGCATACTTTATGTTTGAACCTCCTGAGCCATCATTGACATAAATTTTTATAGGCTTCCACCCTTTGTTCATGTTCCTGCTTCTTCCCTTAGCTCTTTTGTTCAGTAGTTCTACATCTTTATACACAGCTCCTGTCTCAGTGAATTCAACAATATTTTCATTCGTTAGCTTTACATTCAAACCCTTGTCGAGTATATTGTTCATTTCATACATATAAAAGGTTTTTATTCTATATGAAATGAGAAGCAAATCCATCTTAGCTGGTGCCGTTAATGTTCCAATTGAACCAACATCAAATGTTGACTCACGAACGACAAACAATATTGTCATAAAGAACTATAGTTCAGAGTGTTTGAAAGAAAAAGAACCAGAACTGAAATCCGTGAATTTAAACTCAGCTTCAAACGCTAACGCTACATCAGATGTTAAGTTAGAGTATCCACCACTGGACCAAGTTCTTTCAAGAGAAGCCAACGACAACCCTTACACACAATGTTCAAACAAATCCTTCAGATAACGTAGACCATTACCTTCTTCAGTTATACCAAACAATTTTACTCAAAAGACGATAAGAAGCTTTTGACAAATCTTATAAGCAAGAACCAAATAATTCTAACAAAGGAGGACCTTGAAAATGTTATCTCACGAATAACAGGAAAGCAATGTGTCATTGACTATCTCGACCCTGAAATCGAATGCTGTGGTCAAACTCCACTATTCATGAAAATAGGTAACATCCGCATCATTGAAACACCAGGAACTACAGGAGTTGAGTTTAAGTATAAATATTCGAACGAGTATACAAAACTTTCAACAGAATATAAACTTTGCTTGAAATATGTTTTAGTAAATTAAAGCAATTTGTAATATCTATCCAAAACTTCTTCAACAGTATCGAACTCATCTTCATAATGCAAACCTAATCTTATTGACTTGGTGCAGTTCTCACTAACACAATATAGCGCTTTGCGCTCGGCGCCTTTGACGCCTTTTTCTGTTCTCTTGACTGACATAACTAACTCATTTGTTTCATCAAACAGCAACAACCAAAGTTCATGACCTAATACATAACATTCATACTTTATATTTTTAGCTCTGAGTTCTCTTGTAAGCTGTTGCATTTAATATTTCTAAAAAGTCAACTTCAACAGTCATTCGCACTGGTGCCTTCAGTTCTACAGGCTCGCCCTGAAAGTCAACTAGTCTGAATTGCATGTCTTTCAAATTATGAGGACTAATGCGAACCCATTTACCTAAATGAGTTGCTATGACAGGAACGTTTGGAATGAACATTGAATTTACTTCATAACAGAAAGACTTATATTCTACTGAACCTTTACTATTAACTCCTGAAATACCTGTGACATTAGCTATTTTAGACTCAATGTATAAACAATTGCCATAACATACGTATGGAACAGATTTCATCTCAATCGTTTTGTCAATACTTTTCAAAGGAAATGTCATATGGTATGCTCCCAGAAGCAATTGAACTCTATGACTCATTCGTGTTATCTTAAACTCCTTCGCATAACTGAACTTCAAAACTCCTGCAATAAGTTTAACATTCATTAAGTTTTCTTCGTTCTCCTTGTTTATTGTAGTATTTATGAGCGCATTTAACACTCCAGCTAATGTTTCCATCTTATATTCTACATTATTGTGAAATCTTATTTCATGCTTCTTTCCATCTATTTCAAACTCCATGAAATCTGTTTCATCTGTTATGACAAAAGTTGCGATAGTATTGAAGTCAACAACTCTGAAAGCAAGCGCTTCATTCTGAAGACCTAAGTTTGTTTGTAGCTTTACTGTTCCGTATTCGTTTGGGTCAGTACTTTGCAAATAGAACAACATTTTATTCTCATTAAAATATGACTATTGCTGCATATGCGTATGAAACAAATGAAGCAAGAAGAGCACATGAACTAGTAAACGAAAACTCAACTTTAACCATTGAAGGCAATGATTTAGTCATTGACGATGGAAAAAACTAAAAAAGTCATTGATTTCGATACTTTTAACACTTATGACCCATTCATTACAACAAGCAAGTTCCTATCATAAATGATGGAACGGTGCAATATATAAATTCTACAGTAGATGCCTCATTAGTGAAAGTACTGAATGTTCTCATTGAATTGTTAAAGAGCTTTCGATTGACGACAACATTAAATGCCTAAAGAATTTAGTCATGAATGAGAAACAAATATTAGGAGTTGCTGGTAGCAGTAATGATGTACACCTTATGACATTAGAATATTATAACGAACATAAAGATGAACTGAAAGGAGAGAAGGGTGACACCGGACCTCAAGGACCACAAGGAATACAAGGAATACAAGGAATACAAGGACCTCAAGGCGAAAACGGTTTGGATGGAAAGGATGGAAAGGATGGAAAAACTGCTAAATCATGGATATGGGACCTTATAAATACTGGTTTAACAGCTGCTTCATATGGAGTTCTTCAATACCAAATCGGAAAGATATGGGCTGTACTTGGTGAAGAAGCTTTAGATGACGTCAAAAATGCTTTGAACTTCATTTCAAATGGTTCTGATACTATTAAAACTTTATCTGGTTGGATGCAAGAAACAAGGAGTCAAATAGATACTGTAAGACGTATAGCAAACAATGCACGTACGGGATTGGATACTTTACGAAAAGCACAAAATACACTAAAGGAAGCAAATGATATTCTTGGCTCAGTATCAGACATGCATGAAGATTGGCTTAAAGGTATTGACAAATCTTTAAAAAATCACAGTCAGTCTATTGCTGACTACAAGAAAAGTATAGATTTTTTACATAGTGCTATGGACGTACATGATGGAAGCATAAGGAACTTACTTAATGCTAACAATAACTTACCAGGAACTATTAAAGCATTTATAAAGTCCTTTGTAAAACCCGGTGCTCTAACATTTAGGTCTTTGAGAGCAAGAGCATTGAAGTCAAGAGATGCAGAAACTCCAACAGAAACTCCAGAAGGAACTGAAACAACAGAAACTCCAGAAGAACCACCAAAACCAACAGCTAATGAAATATTGTTCGAATATTTTCCAAGGTACTCTGTTCTCATTGCATACATTCAAGAAATACTTAAGAAAGCAGACTTGACTTTAGGAGATGATGAAAGTTCTGTATATCTTTCGTTCCAATTCCAAATAGCAGAACTTTTGAGACAGATATGCTTAATGTATGACAACATCTCTGATTTCACAAGATATGACGACGACCATGACCCGAACACGGTGAAGAAGAAGTTTTACAAACATCCATTAAGACAGGAAAGGTTTTAACTCAAAGTCTCATTATTGACACCAAAGATGGCGAAGTGGACGTTCTTCAAGAGCTGAAGAAAAATACTTCTTCGGGAGGTGGTGGTAGGCATGAACTTGAAATAAATGAGATAGAAGAGAAATTAGCCGAAAAAGCAGATAAAGAACATAAACACAATATCTCCGATATAAATGAACTTCAAGCTACATTAAATAGTAAAGCGGACAAAAATGAACTTGACGCAACGAACAAAGTTTTGAAATCTCATAAACACAATATCTCCGATATAAATGAACTTCAAACTTCTTTAGACAATAAAGCAGACAAAAACCATGTTCATTATATAAGTTCTGATGAACAGATTATAACGGACTATCATGGATATTTAACACAGGGTGAAAAAGTGAATACGAAAAATGTTAATGAAAGAAGATATAAATTCATTCGTGCTAAAGGTTATGACATACACTGTACTGTACAGTATGACACAGGTATAGCACCACAATCATTTGGTTATAACGCTGAAATTTATGCTTCATACTTTTTGTTAACGGTGTATTAGTTGAACCAAGATTTACTTTGAGAGTTAAGTCAAAAATAACTTTTGAAGATGCTATTAAAAGTAAAGCTGACAAAGTTGAACTCGAAGCAACGAACAAAGTTTTGAAATCTCATAAACACACATCTCCGATATAAATGAACTTCAAGCTACATTAGACAGTAAAGCCGACAAAGAACCATACACATAAATCCTTCACTACTGTTAGAGCAGACGACATAATATTGAACTTTGACCTTGGTTCAAATGCACCATTAGAAAATCCAAGTACAAGCGTAAAAGATACTCTTAACAGTTTAGATAAGAGTTGCAGGAACATTGAAAGGTCATGCCAGAAACTTTGAAGCATATGAACTACCAGCAATGTTAGATAAGAAAGCAGATAAAACTTATGTGGATGCAGAACTAACAAAGAAATTTTTCGAAACCAGATACAATGACATTTACAACAGAAATTATAAATGGTGAACCAGCAACTCCATTTGAATTTGTTAGAGGTCTTCAACCAGATACTTTTGAATTTTTCTTGGATAATTCTATTGAACTAACATTACATTATAAAAGTGGAACAAATGCAACATTTCATCCGGGAGATACATTCCAAATGGTATTTAATGACATAAGTTCTTTAGAATATGTTTATAGAGTTATGAGCATATATGATTTAATATATCCTATAGGAGCTGTTTATACGTCTATGAATCCAATAAATCCAAACACTTTATTTGGTGGTAGATGGTATGAAATAGTTGACAGTTTTCCATTCTACACTAATACGCAGTCAATGAAGATGGGAGGTTCAAAGAAAATAGGTATTGAAAACCTTCCTTCACATATGCATAGGTTCAGTGGAAGAACATCTGTGGAAGGAAACCATTCACATTCAATAACAAAAAGAGGTTATATAAATCTTGCAGCGGGTTCGAATAGACAGGGAATGAACAGATATGATATCTCAGATGACCCCAAAGATGTTAGCACAGGTATTTTCTGTGGAACTGCAGGAAATCATACACATGTTGTAGCTGGTATTACAGACCCAGCAGGTAATGGAAAAGATTATATGCCTCCTTATATAACAATGCACGCTTGGATACGAGTTGGTTAAAATCTTTAACTTTACATAAATGAGCTTGAAAGAAGTATTCGAACAACATCCATGGAGGTCTTTTAAGAAATTCAATGAAGCTGCCAAAGAGTTCGGGATTTACTAACAGAGCTGAAGTGAAAAGGTTCTTTGACAAAAATGTTGTACATCAAACAAAAATAAACCCTTACGACTACTTTTTACCAATTTACTCCAACACTCCTGACGCATACCAATTTGACACTCTCATTCAAAGCAGAAAAGGAGGACATAAACCATTCCTCATCTTCATTAATGTTAACACTCGCAAAGCTTTTGCGTATATAATGAGAAATAAAGGAACTCATGAAGTGTTAAGAGTTTTACAAAAGTTTGTAGCAGAACATAGCCCAAGTATTTTAACATCAGACCAAGACGGTGCATACCTCAGCAACGAAATCACAGAATTTCTCATTAAGCATAACATAACTCACTACACTACTGAAGACCATAACCATAACATACTCGGTATCATTAACCGCTTCATAAGGACTCTCAGAGATTTAAATCAAGAGCGAGACTTTACCGAAGAAACAATGAAACATTTCATCGAAGTTTACAATTCCTCAACACATTCTACAACAGGACATACACCAAATTCAATGACACAACAACAAGAAGAAAAGTATATACAAAAGAAACGAAGTCAAACACAAAATATCAGAAATTCAACACAATTTACTCTCATTCCTGGAACAAAAGTTCGTGTAGTTCTTGACGACAAACCGTTGACAAAGAAACGTTTAAGGTTAAGTCGAAATTATTATATCGTAGACTCTACGCAAGGTAATGGATATCTTATAAAAGCTGCTGACGACTCCATAGCATTTTACCCTCGTCATAAATTAGTCGAAAGTAGTAATGGCAAACTTGCTGAAACCATTGACGAAGCAAAGCGAGGAGTGGTTATTGAAATACTTGACTACAACATAAACGATGACACTTATAAAGTAAGATATGAAGGAGGCGTTGAAGATGTTATACCATCTAAGAACTTGAGAGAATCTAAACCAACACATCTGGGACCATTAGAGCGGGAGTACTGGAAAGATAAAAACATGCCAGAAAGAATAAGAAAATTCTTCTAAACTTTTTCGTTGGATGTAAATCAGACATGAATGAGAACAGTCATGATATCATTAATGGTACCATTTATTTTAACATAAAGACGCAAACGGACTCTTTGAGTCCTGAAGGTCTTTCAGACCGAAGCGGCGGGGCATAGCCCATGAACAAAAATAATGAATTTTTGACATTTCCTTATGAAAGAAAAATAACGCTAATTTTTTTCTAAGAAAAATTTTTATCTTGTATGTAAAGACAGTAATGACAAACATTGAGTTTGAAACAGTTAGAAAGATAGACAATGACACCAAAGTGGTTAGAATAGGTGATTTAAACGTAAGATACTCAAAGAAATACAACAAATATTCTTTGTCAGACATTATATCTCCATCTGGAAAGAAAACAAACGACTGGGTTAGAAATGCTTCAACTCAGAAAATTTTGACAAGAAATCCTGAGCTTATGATATCAGTAGCATTTCATGGAACAAGAGCATATCTTATAGACAAAAGTCTTATACCAATAGTTTTGTTATGGTTAGACCCAGTTGTTGGATATAACTTCATATCATATGGTTCATTCGATACGGAACGTTGCAGTGAAGGCTTACTTTATATCGTTCAGAAACCGAAGGACTTCAACACAAAAAGATATAAGATAGGAAGGACATATAATATAACTCAAAGATATGACAGTACAGTCAATAGAGTCAAGGTTGTGTTTGTTAATGATATGAGAGCTGCTGAAACAGAACTGCTTGAAGTTTTTGAGAAAATGTATGGTGCTCCCACGAAAGGTAAAGAAACGTTTGAAGTAGATGAGATAGATAAAGCTATAAAATTATTTGACGAAGTTGCTGAAAAATACATGTAAAGCGTTTATTTTTGGTCTTTTGTGAAAGTCAGAAAATAAAGTTAGTTTTTATTTTATTTATTTTTTTATCCTGTATGTAAAGACAGATATGTCAACATTAGAGAACACAACAACTGCTATCGTTCATGAAGTCATAAATGAAGAATACGAATACATACAGTATAACAAACAATTGAGACTCATTCGTTCTGTCAAAGACGACATGTACCAAATGCAAAGTATTTTGACGGCTTGTTTTGCTCCAGATACTAAGCTTCCTAAAGACTGGTTTAGGAACCAAAGCACCATAGAACTATTAAGTGAAGCACAGCGAGACGTACTTTTTTCTGAAAACAGTGAAGAACAGCGAGTAGGTAAAAAATCCCAGTCGCCAAAACTCTATGAAAACCGTGAAAAATTGCCAAACGGTTTGAGAGGATATTATGTTCATAGACTTTTAGTAAATGCAGTTGCAATGTGGGCTTCACCACGTTATGCTTGGAATATTTACAAACTTCTTGACGAACTTCACAGACAAGAACGTGGAGAGATGGAAAAGAAACTTCAAGCAAAAGATGAAGTCATTGAATCCAAAGACAAAAGCATACAGAAAAGAATACCGCGTTCAGTACCAAAAGGAAAGGAAAAGAACTATAAGTATATGATTTATACTGAAGAGTTGGAGAATGAAGAAGATAAAGATATGGTTATGTTGCATTTAGTCAGAAGAAACAACAAAAGCTTTTACGACCTTGCTAAAATATATAAATCTGACAGAAACTGGTTCTATCGTGAAAACTTACCGATTTCAATGACACCGAATGAGCAAATAAAAGAAATTGTCAAAAATACTCTTCCTCAAACACACTATGACATCAAAGGTTGCACAATACTTACCTTCAAAGAAGACTTACCATTACTGAAGGAAAAAATAACAGAATATTTCGATAACTTCAAAGAGGAAGAATGAAGTCACGACAACATTAACGAAGAAGTCACGACAACATTAACGAAGAGAGAATGAGGTGAAAAAACAGGTGAAATCTCACCTCTTCACCAAAAATATATTTTTGGTTAAATAGCTTCAGGGTCAATTTCTTCAACCATTTCACTTCCTTCGTCAATGTCAATAGAAGCTTCTTCAACCTTTGGTAAGAACTTTTGTATAACATCTTTGTTCGTTATTGTCTTCAGAGATGAAGGATAATATTTCACATTTATTTCACCCTTCTTATATTCTTTCTGTTCGGAAAGATTTAAAGCAATACTGAAGAAGTCAATGTTGGAGTTCTTTATAACAGTATAATGAGTATCTTTGACATTCACGAAGAAACCCTTTTGTTTCAAAACTACTGCTAACTCTTGTGAAGTATAACGTTTGCGGTCAATGACAATAGCTAATGGTCTGACATACTGACCGAACTTAGATTCTTTCACAAACTTCTTGTTAAAGATAACATTAACGTTTGAAGCACCATTGAACTCATTCTTGATGGCAGTAGCGAGAGCATTGTATGAAAAGAACTTGCAATCTTGCATGTGTTTCATTAAAATAAAAATTTAAATATTTTAAAAATAACTTAAAAAATCTAATCTAATTTTTTCAAAAAATATTTTTTTATTTCCTACTAAAGATGTATCGGAAGTTGTCTAAGTTAGAACACTCGGAAATAAAACAACTTCTTACAGAAGCTAATATAGATGTTGCAAAACATTACGCGACAAACAAAAAAGCACTCGCTGACTTCATTAAAGACTACAATGGTGCAATAAGTTATGATAGAATTCATGAGTTCATAAAGCCGCAACGCGGCGAGGACGAAGTCCATGCAAGAGCATTTCCTTTAAATGACATTGCTATTGACTTATATCATAGACGTTCAGTACCTCATGAAGTAAGAAGAGAAATGTTTGACATAACAAATGCGAACGTTGGTCATACTCGTAAAGCTCTTTCGCATGATGTTCGTCAAGAAATGTTTGACATAACAAATGCAAACGTTGGTGAAACAAGAAGAAGAGACGACACACTGAAACAACAGAGAAGAGAGATGTTTAAAAGTGCTATAGAACAAGTTCGCAAAGCTAACGATGTCATTCGTTCCATTGACGACAAACCAAAAGAAGGTGAGAGATGGTTAAAGAAAGATGAAGAGAATAGGAAGAGAAATGTGAAGTCAGGCAATAGACTCATTGACTTTAACATCGAAGCTTTAGATGAACCAAACAGAGAATATTTACACAAACATTTCGGTAAGGTTTTCATGAGACTCTTAGAGAAAATTAAAATAAACTCGCAACAAAGATGGATGGTATGTTATAAACTTGGTGGAAAGTATGAATGTTCTACGTTAAACCTCAATAATATTGGAACATTACTACATCAGCTCTTGAAGGAGAACTTTATATCAGAGATAGAAGCAAATGCTGCAGGTATTGTTGAAATGCACTATGACTTCTTCTTGACAAACATAAAGAATCTTACTGAAATAAAGATGTATGATTTAACAGAATATGAAGGCTTAACGATGTCAGATGTAAAGAAAGGCAAACCAAAAAAGAGACCATATAGAGATGAAAGCACACTGACAAATGACCAGAAAGCCATTTTGGAAGCTCTTAAGCAAACAGGAAACCCAGCACTTATAGAAAGCTTTTGGAAAGATAATGGTGAAAAGAAGTTTTATAAGAAGAGAAGCGGTCAGTTATGGAAGTATCTTTGCACATTACCTATAAATCTTGAACGCTACCAAATCTTCAATGAACTGAACAAAAGAACTGCAATACTTATGACAGAGGACAATTGTTTCGTTTATGCTTGCATTCAGGCTGGAGTAAATGAAGAAACTATTGACCACATGAGAGAAGTCATTCGTGTTAGAGACTTTCCTCAAAGTAAAGTACAAGAAATTTCTGACGCAACAGGTATAGCATTTAATGTTACCATTGGTTATTTCAATGACTCAAGACATAATGAAATAAAGAGATATATACCAAAAGAATGCGAAACTGTTAGAACTATTGACTTACTTCTTGTTGAAGACCACTACATGCTAAATGAAAGACTTCCAATGACAACATACTTCATTCGAAACTATAAAGAAATTCTCAAAGCTTGTGGTGGAATGAACATTGAGAAACAGATGAAGATTTATACAAAGAGAGAAGATAAATATGTAGTTCGTTATGATAGAACAACACCGTTATGGGATGTTATGAAAACATTGTGGGAGTGCAAATATTTCGAACCTATTTCTTATGGAGAACTTTTCACATATACTACTGACTTATATAAACAGAACCTTGCACCATTTAAAGATTTGACATATGCTCCAAAGTATTGTGTACAACTGAAGAAGAAAGCAGAGTCAAAAGAAGTAAATAAAGCTAAATGTAAATTCATTCCTGAGCACGTTTTCTTTGCTGACTTTGAGTGTAGTACGGATGGCTTTCATAAAGCTTTTAACATCTGTTATGACAGTGAAGATGGTTCAGTGAGTGAAAGCATTTGGGGTCAAAACTGTGCAACAGAATTTTTGGAAAGACTCCCTGACAAGAGTTTAATATATTTTCACAACCTCAGTTATGACATAAACTTCATCTTAAGACACATGACAGAAGTGAAAGGAACTCCCATCATTAAAGGTTCACGAACAATGCAAATAACTGGTTTATATAAAGGACGGGCAATTATTATAAAAGACTCTTACAGTGTTATAAATAAGAAGCTTAAACTATTTCCTGCTATGTTTAACTTACAAACAGGACCGAAAGAAGTATTTCCATATAACTACTACAGCAGTGTTTTGTTAGCAAATGACAACAGAACTGGTGTCATTTCTGAAGCATGTAAGTTTATCCGGGATGCAGATACATTTATGAAAAACATAGATTCCATCAAAGGTTGCAGAATAGATGAGAACCACTTCGACTTAGAAAAATATAGCACGTTTTACTGCAAACAAGATGTAAGAATTTTAAGAGAAGGTTTTGTAAAGTTCCGCAATGACTTATTGAAAGAGTTTGATTTAAACGTTTATGACTACGTTAGTATTTGTTCAATTGCTAACAAATTGTTTGAGAACAGAGTATACTTCCCGAATGGAAATCTTTATGACCTCTCAAATAAACCAAGAGAATTTATTTCGAGATGCATTCAAGGTGGAAGATGTATGTTGTCAGATAACATGAAACAAAAGAGCAAAAAGAAACTCATTGCTGACTTCGACACTGTTTCATTATATCCTTCAGCTATAGCAAGACTTTATACTTTAGAAGGTATTCCAAAAGTATTGAAGGAAGAAATGTTAAACACAGAGTATCTCATGAGACATTTATTCGATGATGACCAAAAGGAACCCATTGGTGAAAAGTTTATGTCTGGCTTCTTTGTTCTCATTAAGATAACAGAGATTGGTATACCCAGACACTTTCATTTAATAGTTTGCGACCCTGAACTAAATCCAGAACTTAACGTTCCAAGAAGTTCAAACACTTGCTGTCTCATGTATGTTGACCATATAACATTACAAGACCTCATAAAATATCAAGGTGTCAAATGTGAAGTGTTGCAAGGATACTATTACGATGGAAACAGAGATATGAGAATAAGAGATGAAGTAAAGAAGTTGTTTGAGTTAAGGTTAAAGTATAAGAAAGAAGAAAACCCCTTACAAGAAATTATAAAACTCATTCTGAACAGCATTTATGGCAAAACTATTCTATCTCCTATTGAGTCAAAAATAACCATAGTAGATGACAAAGATGCTATAAGATATGCTATAAGAAATTACAACCATATAGTGAAGTTCGAAGGTTTGGATGGTTCAGATAAAACTATTTTCAAGCTAACGAAAAGCATTTGCAGACACTTTAACTTCTGTCCACTTGGTGTTAATATTCTGTCTATGTCAAAACGTATTATGAATGAAGTATTCTGTACTGCAGAGGACATGGGTCTTCAAATATTTTACCAGGATACCGACAGTATGCACTTATATAATGAAGACATCCCAAAGCTTGCAGCAGAGTTTAAGAAGAGATACGGTAGAGAACTTATAGGAAAGAACCTTGGTCAATTTCATAGCGACTTTGCAGAAATAACACCTGGAAAACAAAGTTTAGCTTATAAAAGTATTTTTGTGGAAAGAAGACCTACATAGACTTACTCACGAATGATTTAAATGAAGTTGCATTTCACTGCAGAATGAAAGGCGTGAAGCAAGATGTTATTGCTTTAACCGCTAATGAAATGTTTCCTGAAGCTATACAATGCTATTACAATGAAGATAAGAACATTCACATACCTGTTGGAACATATGACAAAGACTCTGAGTTCAGTTTAATGAAACTTTACAAAGCACTTTATGATGGTCAAGAGATTGCATTCGACTTATGTAAGTCATGTCAACCTTGCTTTGCTGAAAAGTTCAACTTTTCAATAACGACTAAAACAAGCTTTATTCGTAAGTTGAAGTTCTGAGGTCATTTATTTTTGTCAGCAATGAGGTCATTTGTGATAAAAATAAGCCGCTAGCGGCATGGGCGAAGCCTATGTGGTCATTTACAATACAGCTATTGTAGAGTTTAACAATTGTGCTTCAATGTATAAACAATCTTTCCCATCTGGAGGTAAGAACACTGGGCACTTATGGTCATGAGTGGAGAACATGTCTATCCAAAACTCACGATTGAAGCCAGTAAGCTTGTAATACTTAGGATTTGACAGTGGTGAAGTTCTTGTATGACCAATGAACTCATTTTCAACTCCCTTACTTAAGTTTGAATATAATATAGCTTGCTTTCTATCCCAAATGCCAGGTGTTACAATCTTTGAAAATTCATTTTTCCTCGGAAGTATTGCATCATAATTGAAAACATTCTTGAAGTCTTCATTGGGTTCAGAGATTTGAAACCTTATACGTAATGGATTTTCTTTCTTTTTAGCGACTTCATTGAATGGTGAATATATAACAAACTGACAGTCATGAGTTCCATCTTCATTTTCATTAAATTCATAATGAAAGTCTATAAGTTGTGGCTGACTACCTTCTTCTTTCAGTTGTGCAAGAAACTCACGTAAAGGCTGTAAAGTTTGTACTTCAATATTGAACTTTTTCTCGAACATCTCATTAAATGAAATCATACATTGCAACAATGTTGTATCGTCTTTAAAGTATTTGTATATGTGAATGTTTTGGGCGCTTAAAGACTGTTCGTCATTTTCTATCTCGACTTGAAGTATAAAGTCAACCTTTCTGAAAGCACGTGTTATATACATAGATGTTATGCCAATGTACTTCTCTTCATTTATGTTCACAATCCAGTCTGTTGGAAACTTAAACGTTACTCTGTTCCCCTTTATTTTGACGTCAGGGTTTTCACTACTGAACGCAACAGATAAAGGTATTTGTCTATACATTTAGTTTGGATAAAAATAAACCATTTACTCTTTCTTTGCTTCAGCTTCCTTTGCTTTTTGTTCTTCCTTTGCTTTTGCTTCTTCTCTAGCTTTTTTCGCCAGCAAACGTGGGTTCTTCTGTCTTCCAGCAGCTAATGCAGCTAGTTGTTTTTCACTAAGTTTTCTCTTTGGTCTCTCTGGCTTTTGTTCTGGTTTTTGTTCCTTCAGTTCGGATAAAATTTGTTCACGAATTTCTTTCTTCAATGCTTCAACATCTATGACCCCTTGGGTCTTGTCCGTAGGATTTGACTGAGTCATTTGACTGTAGATAAAAAACTAAATTAAAACTTTAACCGATGTAAAATGAGCTTGTCAAAATCAGAACGAGAGTCTATTATATTAAATGACGCCAGAGGAATACAACATCCTTTCTATTATGTAAGTCAGAGTAAAGATGGTAAAATATATGTAAGAAAAAGAAAGGTTCCATTAGCGAATACAGAGAGCGACAACATTAAGGTGCATGGCAAGGGCGAAGCCACGAAGCCCATATAAAACCTTCTGTACAAACTGAGCCACCAAAAGAACAAGAAGAAAAGAAGCCAGATGTACTTTCAATAACGAACCAAGAGCTTATTGCAAAGTTCGTGAATTTCATTGAAAAGCAAACCGAGTCAAAGAACCCTGACCCACCAGTGAAAGAAGTCGAGACAAAAGAGAATGTACAGTTCATTGAAAATGTCAAGAAACAACTTCCACCACGAATACCAAGAAGAAGAGTGAGAATAATGAAGTAAATAGATATTTTTATCTGAAGTAAATACATGCAGAACGAACAGTTAAACGAATTTACTCCAGCAGAGCATATTCATCAGATTCGCTCATATTTCGATATCATAGACAATGCAGTTCAAATTGGTGACACTAATAGAAAATATTCTGACGCAAAGATTCCATCACAACCTGGAACTGCTAAAGATAACACATGGGTAACATTCAATCTCTCACCTCCTGGTGAAAATATGTTGGACCTTTACAATACATTCATTACGTATAAAATGGAAGGTCAATTTATTGTAGATAAAGAAATTGGTTCAGGTTCCAATAAAACAAACCCACCAGGATTTTGGATTGGTTTCGATGACGCTTTCTATGCAGTTGCTGGATATCAAATCCTTGCAAATGGTCGTATCGTATATTCTCAAGACAACGCAAGAGAAGAAGCATATATAACTTCAAACTCACAAACTACCGAACAAATAAAGAAAGTCGATGTTTTTTCAAAGACTCGACATAAAGATGTATGGAGTCATTCGGGAACATGCAGAACAGGACAAATTGTTGGTGGTCCAATTACAGCAGGAAAATCATTTGATTTTAAGCTTCGTTTAAGAATTCCTGTTAGAAGATTCCTTCCATTAGAACCTATTCGATTTATTCCAGCTTTTGCAGGAAACATTCAGCTTAAAGTAAAGTTCAGTAGCGACGCCTTACAATGCACATCTATATCTGTAAATGATATCATTGCTTTCAATCCAACTCTTAAAGTTGCATTTGCTTCAGGTTCAAATCCACCGACAAATAAATTTGTTCCATGGAATGAACCATTCACTATGATAACGAGTGCAACTGAAGCTAGTGGAACAGTTACTATTACAACTGTAACCCAGCAACTATTTCGAACAAAGATGGATTTTAATGAATGTTTTTTCATCCAAAGTCATTCTCTTTAGACCCTAACATTTATACAGAACTTGTAGAACATTATACAAACGAGGCTTTATGTTTTCCTGTTAAAGTTATGGATTGGATTCCTATGGATGGTTCATTCTCAAAGAATACAGATAGTTCAAGTGCAACATTTACAGCAGCTTATACGCCTATTAATGTTAAAAGTATTTGGGCACTATTTAGAAAGAAAGACAACTATTATGTTAATTTTGAGAACCCTAAGTTTAAATATCTTCAGCTTTCCATGGGAGCTTATGGAAATATGCCTGCAGAACCTGAAAAATCATATGGACCTGTATTTTATGAAATGGTTGCGAACGCTTGCAATACAAACAATGATATGATTGGATTTAATGAAGATGTTATGAGGTCATTGGTGGATGATGGTAGTGTGGAACATAAATGGGATAGCTATGACAACACACATTTCTTATGTGGTTTTCCAACAGAAGTGGACTTTTGCTTCCAGCAAGGTCAAACATCTACTGCTCCAATAACATACAAATTGTCTGTTAAAGGACCTATTGAACTAGCAACAGAAAATGTACCAAAGCCACTTATTGGATTTATGAGGGATTGTTGCTTTGCAATACAAGTAAGACAGTCAGGCATACCAATAATAAGACTTGACGACTATAACTTAGCAGCGGACGACAGTGAGGAATAAAGGATGAACGTTTATTTTTAAAGCTTATAAATGAGTTCTTCATCAAGCTCTCGTGAACCTTCACCATCTGTGAAACAAACTTTACCAAACGATTATGGAGCACCTATTGAATATTTCTTACGAGCTGCACAATGGCAAAGAGCAGTCTCACCAAGGTTAGGTGTTCCACCAGCTCCTGTCAAAAATAGCATTTGGTCAAGTCCTTATATAAGATATGGTCTCCCACTAGGTTTGCTAGCTACAGCAGGAGCAGTAATGATGTTGAAAAGAAACAAAGCAAATGTTATAAATAATACTGAAGTAGCTGAATTTGAACAAACTCCGACACCATCGCCAAAACCAACGTCAAAACCAACGCCTTCACAAACAACACCTTCAATGACTCCTGAACCTATGAAAGTACAAACTCCTGTTCAAAAGTCAACTCCAAAACCGACTCCAACATTTAAACCAGAACCTACTCCTCAAATAAATCGTAAAACTCCTGCGTTTCCTTACTGAAAAAATAATGTTAGTTTTATTTTATTTGAACATTTTATTTAGAGTAAAATGACGACTAAAGTCACTGAAGCAATGAAACAAAAATTTTTGGTAGAATACATTAAATCAGGAGCGGTTCCAGAAGGTTTTTACGTTCATACTATGAAGGATGGTAGAGTTCAGTTTAGAAAGATAAAGCAACCATTAGATAGAGAAGGTATATTAAGAAGATTAAACTTCATGAGGACAACATTGCTGAACTTAAGAAGAAGTTAGAAGAGTTGGAGAAAGGAAGAGAGTTATAAAGTAATGAATTCAACAGGGTGAAAAAAGAGGTGAAAAAAGAGGTGAGATTTCACCACTTCACCTAAATTTATTTTTGGCTATGTTTTCATACGTGTGAGGGTGGTGATATCATTAATTTTTAAGTTTATTTTTTATTTTACTGAAAATTTTTATTTGGATGTAAATGACAGAACAAAAGCAACTCATTCGAATTCCACAGTATAACAAACATACATTTAAACATTTATTCTTCCTTCCTGAGCATAACATGTTCTTTCAAATACATCCGAGACCAGTTGACTTTTCATTGACTGTTTATAAAGATAGAAATAGTTATATCATTAAACCATACGATGACGAAGGTAAGTTATGTAAATTGTACGTTAAGAAGTTAGAGAAAGTTTATGGCTTCAAGTATGACTACAATAGGGTTAACACTGATGATGAAGATATTGAGGAAAATTTATGAGAACATTAGTGAAGTTGTTAGTGAGAACGATAGTGAGAACGTTTATTTTTACATTAGTGAGTTCGTTAGTGAAGTGAAGTGGGTGGTGGTTTTGTAAATATTTAAGGTTAAGTTAGTGTTGTCGTTTGTGTTGTAAAATATACGTTAACGGTTTCGTAAAGTGTCAAATTCACAAGTATTGCGTACGGAGGAACGCAGTGCCTCCATACCCAAGATAACCATACTAACTTGCGGTGTGTTATTATTGTACTCCCAAATAAAGGCAGGAATAGCCTGAATGCTTTGGCAGCGCTCCAATGTCGGCCAGAATCTCTCAATCTTCCCATTTTGGTAGGGAGAATGAGAATCTGTATGCCGCCATTGGACGCCCCAAAGATCAAGTAGATCTTGAAAGGCGCCCCTATTTTCTGAACCGTTGTCGGTCCAGAAACAATAAGGGGCGCCAAATTCAATGAAGGCGGAAGCCGCAACGTTCGCTGTCGTCGCTGCCAGCATATCTGGTATTTGTATACACGCTAGGACTTTGCGGCTAAAATCGTCGATTATGCCATAAATATACTGGCCACGAACACCCTAAAATAATGAACATCTGCGTGCCAGATAAGATTGGGTGAAAGCGCCCAATATCTTACTGCTGTTTCTGGCCCGGCATGCTCTAATCGCGTCTTGGTGAAATGATTTTCTTTGAAGTATCTGCGTACTTCTCTATAAGATACATCAATTTGTTGTAATTTCAAACGTTTCCATTGTTTTGTTTGACCACAGGGAAAGGCCCAGTGGTCATGTATCACAGCAAGAGCTTTGATTTGGTCGTAGGGATTGACCCTACGACCTTTCTTGCCTTTAGGCAATGGGATATTCTGTAAGCTAAATTGATTTTGTAAAAAAGATTTTGAAACATCTAAATATTTTAAATCATTTGATTGAAGGGTTGGGGCGATGGGAACATGGGTGCAAGCTTCTTCCCATGTCATTTTACCTTCTTCAATCTGATTGGAAATACCAATTAGGTAAATTCGATCGACATACCCTTTGTAAGGATTCATTTTAATGAAGTACGTTAACAATCAAAATATTCTATAAGTGTCTAGTATGGAATTCAAAAGAATAAAGAAAATGGTAACGTAAATAAACGTATTATGAAATAATTTATAATTAAAATGAAAAAAAGAAAAAATAATAAGTAAAGTGACTGGAAATGAAAATGAAAATCAGTGTACAGTTTTATTTTTTTCTCGCTGTGAAACGTATTCGGTCATTTTTTTAAAAATTAATTTTTTGTTAGAGATAAGAGCTAAAACTCGGTAAACAACTTCTTTATGTCTAGAAAATTCTATCTTGCCTTTTATTTTTTTCTCGCTGTGAAACGTATTCGGTCATTTTTTTAAAAATTAATTTTTTGTTAGAGATAAGAGCTAAAACTCGGTAAACAACTTCTTTATGTCTAGAAAATTCTATCTTGCCTTTTATTTTTTTCTCGCTGTGAAACGTATTCGGTCATTTTTTTAAAAATTAATTTTTTGTTAGAGATAAGAGCTAAAACTCGGTAAACAACTTCTTTATGTCTAGAAAATTCTATCTTGCCTTTTATTTTTTTCTCGCTGTGAAACGTATTCGGTCATTTTTTTAAAAATTAATTTTTTGTTAGAGATAAGAGCTAAAACTTTGCAGACAACTCCCCCATGT